CTCCCTTGCCAGAAGATTCACCCACGAAGGGTGTGTTTATATTACTGCCTTAAAGCGCACTGGCAGGGGTGTGGACGTCTTTCCCTGATGCATAGCTGCCCACACCTTGGTTAGAGACTAATTAGGAATAGCTTAAGGGCTCCAATCAGTGTGAAGCTGGTTTTGAGAAGCAACGGCATCAGGCAGTAGTATCTTATAAGGAAGTACAATATACATTTGCATTTTTTATAATGTCTTGTGACTAAAAACCCAGCACTGGAAAGTTAATGAGTGCCCAGTAAAGGGGAATGTGGGCATAAGCTTGAATTTCAATGTGTCGAGTTGCTGTTCAAGGCACAGGAGCCAGGCAGTAAAAAGGTGACAACCTTAGCCACCTTTTAATGATGATGAAGGCAATAATAATACTTTCCACACCCCACCGCTTTTGCATGAGAATGCCCCAGACTCACTTCTTTCCAGAGAATGAACTGTATTTCTTTTATCTGGTGAATCCTGGGAAATCCTGGAGAAAGTCCACACTCTAATAATGATCTCATGGCCAAACAGTTACAGAGCAGGGAATCACAGGTGGGGATTGCACAGGTGCTGTTGCACTCAGGTTACTTAATGGGCCTCCCTTGGAACATCTGGCTGGCTACTGTGAGAATTACGGTAGGTGCTTGACTAGATGAGCAGCCATGCTCTTCTAATGTTTTTAATTATGAGTTTCCTCATAATTTCTCTCTCACCCCTTATGTGCACACTTGAGCTGGCTAAAGACAGGAAACTAGTATTAAACAACCTGCTGCACAAGAAAAATAGGAACAAATTAAAGGCAATTGAGGGTGTTTGTGAAAAATATGAGAGCGCCCGCTCCCATTGGCATGTTGCTGGGGGCCTCCCACAACCTGGAATTAAGCCTGGCAGGCAAGGAGGGTTCTTGGCTTCCTGTGCCCAGTGGTATCTGAGCCAGTCTGTGCCCTACTTGCCTTTCATGTAGTGGGTGATGAACGTACTCCTGGGGTAGCATGCAGGATCTCAATGGGACAAGTATGACCGGGCATTTGGCCACAAACACAAAATGAATTCCAAAGGTGGAAATGCATCATCAGCAACAAATCTGCAGAGCGCATGACGGGAAATGAAGGGCAGAAGCACCCAATTTGCCACACAATAAGTGGAACTTGTAGTTTGATCCCAACAGTGAGAGAGAATGGGGGAAAGTGGGGATGGAAAAGTTAAGGTTCTCTCCCCCCCCATCCCCCCATTTTCAACAGTAGGAAATGCCAAGGAGCCAACTAGAGATCCTCCTAGATCTGCAAAATCAGAGAGCTTTTATCTCAGTAGTTGGTTGGTGGCTGTCAATTCTTTGTTCACTGGACCACAGGAACACATCTCATTTTTTTAACTGAGGTTTTCCTTACACTTTCCAAAGGCTGGTATGCTAGGCTGATTAATAGATCAGGGAGAAACGCCTTGGGATATGTTCCCCTTTGTGTGCTTGTGCTTCATAAACGCCCATATTTTGGCACACGTCCCTTTCTGCACAAAGGCGTCTTTTACAAGTTGTTTAAAGTCTCCACCCTTCTTTGATCTGCATGGAAATGAAGGGGCATGTGAGGTTGTTGCTGTTCGAATAGGTCTCAGAGTGGGCTGTTACTGGAGGGAACAGCCTCGCTTACAGATGAGGTCTCTCTCTCTCTCTCTCTCTCTCACACACACACACACACACACACACGTATGAAGCTGTGTAACTCTGAGTCAGATCATTGCTCTATGTCGTGTGGGACTACTGTCTACTCTGACTGGCAGCCACTCAAGATTTGTGACCCCCTCAGAATGCTTCTCTGAAATCTTTTCACTGGTGGTTCTAAGGACTGAGCTTTGGCCCTTCTGCATAGCAAGCAGGTGCTCTAAGACTGAAAATAAATCCATGCTAAGACCATGGGAACATATTCATTTAGTTTTCAGGAATGCTTTAATCAGAGGTCAGCAAACTTTTTCTGCAGGGGGCTGGTCCACTGTCCCTCAGACCTTGTGGGGGGCTGGATTATATTTTGAAAAAAAATCTATGAATGAATTCCTATGCCCCACAAATAACCTAGAGATGCATTTTAAATAAAAGGACACATTCTACTCATGTAAAAAAAAACAAAAAACACTGATTCCCGGACCGTCTGCGGGCTGGATTTAGAAGGTGATTGGGCCGGATCCGGCCCCCAGGCCTTAGTTTGCCTACCCATGGCTTAAATGCTTTTTTGGAGCCAGTATCACAAAGGCCCCCTGGAATACTAGGATATTGACAGTGGAGGTCATGAAAATAAAAGGAGGCAAGATCTGGTGCTTTTGTTAATCAGCTGTTTATTTAGCTCAATGCATTTCAGAGGCGTCTCCTTTGTCAGGAGCAATAGATTAAACACAGTAAAAATAATGATAAAACTCGCAGGCCAGTGACATTCATAATGGGGAAGAACACATATTGGGTGAAAGACACCCAAACATGTAAGAAATCTCCTATTGCATTGTACATTTCCTCACTAGGGATGCTGCCTTGGCTTGCATTTGCGGCCAGATAACAGAGGTGCTTCCTAAGTAAACTTTTACTATGGCAGTCTTAACCAGGGCTGGCCCAAGACATTATGGCACCTGAGGCCCTGGTTTTAACGGTAGAAATTCAGTGCCTAGAAAAGAACAGAATATAGTTTGGGTGCGCTTCTAAGGCAGGGGAATAACAGCAAGAATGATGTGTTTTTTTATCAAGTGGTCTATAAATTTTCTAAATTAAAAAATTAGTATATACAAGTGAGGACAACAAAATGTTGCCAAGTATTTTGAATTACAGTATATATGTAAGAGACATTGGTGTGAACGGAAAAATAAAGATTTGGGTTGGTGTCTTGCGTTTTTCTCAGTGTGAGATTTAAAAAATAATAAAAATGGAAAAAGCAGTGACTCATGATTGCCATGATCCTAGGCTGCAACCAAGCAGGAAAACTGATTTGATTTTTGTGTGTGGGATATTTTGCTGTACTGCATCTGACTTCATCATTCCCCATCACCTTATTTCTTGTCAAAATGTTCACCCTATGTTTTGCAAATTATGGCTGCCAGAATAAATTGTATACATTGATGCACAGTTATATAATGTAATTGGAGTACTAAACACAGAGATTCTTGGCACGGAATCTTTTCTGGAATACACCCCTGAAGGCCCATCAAGAAGGGAGGGAGGCAGTTTGGGCTTTGCAAAGGGGTGTGTGTTGGACAGTGACTGCTCCTTAATGAGCGAGGCATCTTGTCTGTGGGGTGGCTGATTCAGTAGATGCCGATACCCAAGTGCCCAACCCCAGGCAGCAGTGCCCTCCCTGTTTCCCTCTGAGGGAAGGGGAGACCTCTGTTAAGTTGCTGCGAGGACAATTTCCTCTGTGCCCTGTGCCACTCTGTAGGGCAGGCAGCGTGAAGGGCCTGCTGGTGGTGGCAAGAAGTGAGCCAGGACGGTTTGCCGTCCTCCATCTTGCCTGCCAAGAGGCCCTGTCCAATAGGCCAAGGAGAGGCCTGCTGGCTTCACTGTCTGGGTGGCCCCAGAGACTCAGCTGGACCAGGGATATAAGAAGGTGAGAACTGAGAAGGCCAGCCCCATCTTCCCCTCTGTGAGCCCAGCCCCACATTTCCTCCTCTTGCCTCATATCTGAGAACCTTTCCCCTCATAGGAAAACCTATGGCAAGCAATTAAATGATTTCCAAAGAGTGATCTGCTATCAGTAGAAAATGATGCCAGCAATTGCCAGCTGTTTATGTCAGACTTCACCCCCATTTTGTGACAGGCTTCTCTCGTGCACCCCCATTTTGCAGACTGGTGAGCCTCACTAATTTTCTGTGGGGTATGCCAATCATGGTATCTTGGTTGTAATATGGTGAGTGCTGAGCGACTCAGAAAGATTCAGGCACACCTCAGTCTACTTCAGGTGTAAAGGAAAAATGGATCCAGTAACAAGTCACATGATGCGTTGTAACCTGCTTCTTTATAGTGTTCAAAATTTTAGTGAATTGTTTGCTCCATGCATGGAATGGCTATATCACAGCTGTGCTTTGCAGATAGGTGAGTGATGGCTGCCAGGGTAACTCAGAAAAGTTGTGTTCTCCTTTCTAGTACAAGCTAGCCCACTTTCTCCGCTGTGCATCCTAAGAGCTCCCACCTAATTTCAGAACCAGGGTCTATGCTTTATTAGGCAGCTGGTCTTTGAAAGAAACTGCTGGGCATGGTTAGAAAAAGCAGAAAGTCCCAGGAACAACAGCTGCTAATTTCTGGCAGAGGCAATAATTCACACTTGCAGCCCAGGATCTCTTGTTAAGTTCTTTCTGAGGAAGAAAGTTTGCACATGGTAACTTTTATCACCTTGCTTTCATTTAATTGCATTGCATTTATTATATTTATATCCTGTTTTTCTTCCAAGGAATTTAGGGTCCTCCCCGCACCTGCATTTCATCTTCACAACAAATTATGTGAAATCATTTTATTATTGATGATTGATTATATTTGTTATATTTATTATACTTGTTAGTTGCTATAATTTGCCCAAGGCAACTCAAAGTGACTCACACTTTGATAGGGAGAGGATAAAGTAGGATAGACTGAGCTACATGAAAGTCTCCAGCATTGTCACTTTGGAGGGACCGATAGACTTAAAGGCTTTCCCTGATTTGGTAAATTCAGAAATTTATCACCTTTAAAATAAAAGTGTGACTTAGCCTCAGATGTTGAGGAAAAGGACACTCTCTGTGCTTGAAGCACATTCTGCAGAGTGGGTGGTTCATCTGAATTCATTTGGAGATGACAAGTTAATTGTTGTCAGATGTATTCGTTTTGGCAGCGAGCAGAACTGCTGAGACTGCAGGATCCTGCCTTTTGGTCTCTTTGGCACTGGTGTCACAGTGAAGGAAGCCACCCTTGCAAGAAGGGAGGTTGGCCCTTGAGCCTGCGGCCTACCCTGCTACAAAGATCACTCCCAGGAAGCCAATCTTAATGTCTTCTGAGCATGTGCGTAGATGCTACTGTACCTTCTGCTTCCATTTTAAGTCAAAAAGGCCACAATTTTCTCAATGTTCAGAATGTGGATACATATTGGGGTTCCCCTAATCTGGAGTTAGAGTTCCTATTCTTTGTGGTACTTGAAAAGTGGGTAAGTGATGCAGTCTCCCAGAAACCTGAAGGGGGTTTGGCCCAGACTACCCTCTCCTTTAGCTTTGTTTCCTTATAATGTGGGAAGAGGCCTTATTGCTTTGCTGTTTTGTTTTAACTATTTAGTTGTGTTTTTATCTTGTATTTTATTCTGTGAACCACCCTGAGGTCTTATGATGAAGAGTGTATGAATTTTAATAATAATAATAATAATAATAATAATAATAATAATACAATATGTTCTGCTAATTCTTGCTTAAATAGCCTACCCTAGATTCTAGTAAATGCTAATAATGCAATTAAAAGAAGCAACACAATCTCATTTTTAAAATAGTAATTTATTAAATGCTTAAATGTTTTTGCACATTTATTTCATAAAATTTATTTACCACTTGATTGTAGCAAAGCAACCTTAAAGAGGTTTACAAAAAGAGTAAAACAAAAAAATCACTGATATTAACAGCTTAAAAGAGCTATTTTAAAATTATGTAAATTAGATTCCCTTATGTTAAGAATTTATGTTTTCTTGGAGGAGAAAGAGGATTGATGTAGCAGTCACCAGAGCAAGAGCTGGCTTTCTCATAAAGAAAGGTGGGCAGCTGCAGATTTCAAAGGCAGGGAGGGCACCTCCAGGCTAGGGCTGGCAGAGAGTGTGCTGTATGTTGAGAGCAGAACAGGGGACAACATGGACAATGTTCAGAAGTATAATATAAACTCTTTATGATACGCTCTAGCTGGCTTTAGAAACCCAAACCCAGCTTGTGCTGGTGGTATGATGGGTCGGGCCTTCCTCTTGCTCTGCCATGCTGTCATCATGGCTGTTCTAAAGCTCTTGGCTTTAGAGTCCCATTTCTAGCTGGAGTGACTGTGAGAAAACTGTACTAAACACTTTTAGCCACTTCTTTTTCCCATACCTCCCACCCCCAGTTTAGGGGGAACTTTCCTTTTTCAATATAATTCCACCAGGGGACACCTTGTAAGCCTGCAGTCCTGGGAAGCCGTACCAGCAGCTGCATAAGCCCTTTTAGTCTCTCTTTTTCACTCTCTCTCACACACATGCACACCCTGCGCACTGATATCTACAATAATAATAGTTTAGCAACAGCCCCACCCCTGCTCAGTCAGGGGAAGGATTTTGCAGCGTAAGCTGTCTGCCGCCACTCTGTCGAGACTAGGTGAGTGCTTCATTTGCACGGTAGAGGAGCTGGGCTCGGTGGATGGTGGTGGTTCAGAATGGTGGCACAAAAAATGAAGAGGGCGGATACGTCGATGGCCTCTGCCAAGTAGCAACCTGAGTCCCGGCAGGCACAGTTTCCACCTGTTGCTCCTCCTGAGCCACTTCACGCCCTCCTTTCCTTCTCTTGGCAGGATTCCCAGTCCCTGGACAGTTGTATCCAGAGTACGCTCTCGGCACTCTACCCTCCATTCGAGGTCACAGCAGCCACGGTTCTGTGCCAGGTCTTTGATGTGGTGGAGAAGACATACCGTGGGGACGGCCTGCACTACCTCATCGACTTTCTGATTCCAGCCAAGCACATCTTGCAGTGCGTTCAGCAGGATGCCTGTGTGAGTATCATGCTGCCTCCAGGTTGACCCAGAAGATTCTGCTAGCGCTGCAGGTGGGAGCTGAGAACCCGCCATGATGCTCATGCCAAGGCTCCTACTCAGCTAAGGAGGAGGGGGGACAGGGAGCAGTGCCACCGGATGCACTGGTGAAAGTAGTCAAAGGGTAGCCCAAGAATCCTTAAGGGGACGCTGCCCTCTTGCCCATGGCAATGAGACATACTCTGGATTCTCCATCTCCACCCCCACCTCCCAGTAGCAGTGATTATTTTGGAATCTTTAAACGTTCTGACTTGTTAAGTGTTTATCATAGTCAACAATTATGTAACTGTCCTACTTAAGAAAAACAATGTTTTTTCGGATTTAAAAACATTTTGTTTTATGCAAATGCATCGGTGTTGAAGTCCAGTCACCGTGTGACCTCCTTCCAACCCCGCTGCATTGCCATGCCGGCATCCTAGCTTGAGGGTCCAGCCTGAACATTAGCAACAAAACATGCCCTCCATTAGCCACATGTTCTCTATAGATGCATATTAACGCAAGAACAAAAAGGGTGGGGTGTCTTGTAGGAGGTGTGTTCTCTTGCCTGGATTCTACAGTTACTCACCTTCAGCTCCCTCCCCCCACCTACTCTTGGCAGGCAGCAGACTGTCAAGTTTCTGATGGAAAGGTGCCAAGTGATTGCCCAATCAGAAGTTTTGCCTCTGTTCTCCTTTGCTGTCACAATATTTGCGGAACTCAGTAGCTGCTAAGGAGGCTCCTTCTCCAGTAGCAACTGTGGCTCTCTGGTTTGTGCAGACTTTACGGAACCAGATCTGGCCCAGGACTCTGGTGCATGATGTGGAACATCCAGGTGGCTCTTCCTTCCCTCCCCACTGCTGCACATTCATTTCAGTTGGACTTACATAGAAGAATTGGAAGATTGTAACCTATCATGGTCTTCATGGAACCCAAAACCTGTCCCCAGGGATGGCTGTCCCAGCTTGCCTCCTAGCAGTGCTGCCTCTGTGTGGGACTCTTGCCGTAGCGTGTTTTCATACCCAAATCAGCTTTCCATGGAAGTCAAAGGGACTTGTTTTTGTGCGCAGAGTCAGTCAGAGGGTTGCGGGTTGTGTAGGCAGACTAAATCCAAAGCAGGGAAGGACCTGGGGCCTGTTCTAGCTTTTCTGTGGCCTCAGGATCACCACTGTCCTTCTTTCCTCTTTTCTCAAGCTGTAGAACCACATTCAAAGTGAACAGGAGAATGGAAAGCCCCTCCCCCTTGGTGTTGCTACCACCAAAATGCTTCACTGAGCAGCTTTTTGCTTATTGATGCATTGGTGCTTTGCCTTTTGATCCTGGTCCCTGACTCATCCTTTAAAACAGTTTCACAGTAAAACAAAAAAATTGACAAGTAAATAAACAATTCATCCTGGGATTGATGCTCTGAAGGGCATGGAAATGCCTGACATTTTAAAAAATGCTCCAGGACTGCAACCACATAAACATTACAAAGCCGAAAAAGAAAAAGCATTCAACAAGATTTCATTGTTCTTAGAAATCTAAACATGAAGAACAGCAAATCGATAGATATGGGGAGGAAGTTTTACAATGTAGCACCACGGGGAAGGTCTCTAATAGCTACATTGAAAGGTGGTGTTACCTGAAGATCTTACTAGTGAGTCAGGGGGTCTTTGAGATACTCTCATCACAATTTGCCATGTATTCTAGAAATAAAATGGGTTGTGCGCACTCCGACATGCCAAAAGTCAATGTAAGACCAGCCCCAGTTTTCTGGCTGTTTCCATTTGTGCTGCTGTTAATAGAAAGCTATGAGATCATTGTTAGGATGTCTGTTGTCTGTTCTGAAAACCCGCTTGCGGTCAGTTCACCTGGATTATCATTTTCCTTCAGGTCCAGTATTGTGGATTGCTGTTCCGGCATGAGGGCTGGCCCCTCTGCATCCATGAGAAGATTGTAGTTCAACTTGGCTCCTTCGACTGGCGAATCTTGAGACCAGGAGACTTTTACCTGCAGGTGGTCCCTTACTTGAAAAAGTCCCCACGAATCATTGTGAAATGTTTGGCCGAGGACAAGCATAATGTTGATGAGCTTGTGGTTCCTGAAGTCTCCTACACTTCCATTTTCACTGTGGAATGGCTGAATGGCATCAACAGGGAGCGGATGGGAATGGCACTGGAAAACTGCTTACTAGGCACAGAAGATAAAATATTCCGGGTGCCCTGGGACAGAATAGTCAATCCAGAATTTATTGAAAGCCCCCCAAAAATGAACGGTGGCCTAAGTTCTGTTCCAGTGACTGAACAGCCTTCAGATTTGGTCTTTTCAGAGGTGCCGTCTCAAAGCAGCTCCCTTGAAGTGGAGTCCCAACTTTTTAATGGGCCAAGTTTACCTGAAGACAGCTTCTTTATGACCAATACAACAGAGCAACTTGTGAGGGCAGCTGCCAGCATGGAGTGTGTGAGCCCAGGCCTTAGAGAAGACTCTATAAGTGACCTGGAAGGGGAATATGTGGAGCTCACAGACGTTTCACTGCCTAAATTTGGACCTCAATCAGTCTCCCTCAGTTACTGCACTAAGCCGAGGATGAGAGTAAAGGACAAGCCTGCAGCCAGTCAGGACAGCAGCACTTGCCTGAGGAATGGAGTTGGTTTAGCAGTCATATTAATGCCACACGGGCATCTGGACACAGCAAAGCCCTCTGATACCCAGGCCAGTAATGCTAGGAATCTTTTGGAGGATGATCATGAACTAGAAAGTAACAAATTGCTATTGGAAAATTATGAGGGGCCTGCTTCTGGCTCTGATCCCAAGGAGCTTTCTGATGTAAAGGGGCAGGCCCAGCCAGGACATGAGCTTGACTGGAGGTACGCAATGTGCAGCTACCATGATGGAGAAGATGCTGAATGCAGGTCTCTGACAGCTGTGGCTTCTGAAATGACAGAGACAGCTCAGAGGAATAGCACAGAGCTGGAAAATGGCAGCAGGGTCTCTGAGCATGGCTATTGCTCTAGTGTGCTAGGAACAGGCACCAGGGAGAGTTGTGGGAGTTCTGGGAAGGATAACTTCCCTGAGCCTCATTTGGGACATTTGGCCAAGGACTCTGACCCTTCCAGCCCAAGGTTGCAGGAGAATGCCTTTTCCCCACCCATGCCAAAGTCACTGTCACCAAAACCCTTCTCTGATGTGAGGGCGGCAGCACACAGTCACCTCCGACAAGAACTGTCAGTAGAAGTCACAGGTCACACTTCTGAGCGGCTGGTGGAGCTCCATCACCCAGTTGAGCAGTTGGAGAAGGTGAGCCCAAGGCCAGCAGAGGCATTAGTTGGGTTGGGCAGCAGTGTTTATGGAGCGGAAAGCCTCCAATGTTTCGCCAAGCAAAGTCTCTCTGAGAAGGAGAAGCAGACCAGTTCTGGAAGCACCTTGTCACTCCAAGGTGAGACAGAGGCACACCTGCTTCAAGAGGCTGGGCAAGAGAATGTGGATTGTTCTCAACCGCAAGCTGAGAGTGCTTTTCTGCCTGTCAGTTCTGGGGTAACAGCAAAAACATTGGGGAGCAGCTGCAGCAGCCCTTCAGTGGAGACAGATGCACAAGTTGAGGATGCTTCTAATCAGGGTAACAAAGAAGAAGCTGCGGCTTGCTGGGTGGACCTACCATACCTGCTAAGCAAACCAAACACTTTGATGTTGGAACCCCCCCCAGAGGTGGAATGTTTGACAGGCAAGCCCCAACCCAATAAGGAGGGCCAAGTAGCACCCCTGCCCTCTGCACCAGTGAAAACGAGGTTACAAGGCAGCACCAGGAATGTCTCAGATGGGGACCAAGTAGTCACAGGTAGGATTTGTGTCATTAATTTGGGAAATGTGGGTTTGTTTGTTCTTCTGGCAAAGTGACTTTTATGCAAGGAAGGCAAGGGGCGGAGGTTGAGAGTTCAGGCCTCCTCTGATGCTTCCCTGCGCCAGGGAGGAGCTTTAGCATCCTCAGAGTATCCTAGGACATTTTTGGACTAAATGTGGGTTGAATATTAATAGTAATAATCCTACCAATTTCCACTCTCCTTTTCCCATCCTCCATAAAAAATGACAACCCCCCCCCCCGCAAAAAAACCCCACAAATTTCTAGCCCTGGTGTTCCATGAAGGGTCCTGCTTGCCAGTTTCCTACAGGCATTGGGTCATTGGCCTGATCCAACAGGACTCTTCCTATGGTCCATTTTGTGCAAATAAGCAATTTGCATACATTTGAAGTGTGCAAACTTTTCTGGATACATAATTTAATTTTCTGGTTGCAGGATTTTGATTTTTGGAGTGTTTGTGCAGCATATACATAGGCCTCTATAGTGCTTTTATAACACTAATCTAAACTAAGTGTGACTATGCAGGCATGAGGGTTCCCAGAGATGAGGTCGCAGCTTGGCTCCTCTTCCAGCCTTGCTGCTGCTGCCCTGCTACCTTGAGCTAAACCATGGTTTGGCTTAGCATGTTGTCTGAACCCAGGCTTGTAGTTTGTCTCCCCCTGGCAGACTGTGAGCTAGAAACCCACTTGGTTGCAACTTGTGCTATGGAGTGAGACAAATCATAAGCCTGGGTCCAGACAACATGCAAAGCCAAATCATGGCTTATTTTTGCTGCAGCAGCTAGGAAAAGTCACCTGGGGTGGAAACAGAAGGCTGAGAGGATGGGCAGGGAAGCAGTCCATTAGGGATGTCCTTGTTGTTGTGACATGAAAAGAAGCAGGCCTTGCTTGGTGTGCACTTGTGGAGCGCATGTGAGTGAGTTTGCCTGCTCGCTTGGCACGTGCTGGAGCTGAGTCAGAGGAATCGGCTGCCTGCCTGCCTACCTGCCCACACAGTTGTTGCTTAACTCACAACATTTCAAAATGATCCGTAATGCAAATGAAGCTCCCTCCCTGAAGAAGCATTTAAGTAAAGATCTTGATGAATGCTTCAAGCAGGTTAGAGCATCTTGCATGCTCAGTCTATTATGGAAGGCAAAAACTGGCTGTTTTGGAAACCTGAGTGTGTATTTGTCTGTCTGTTCCTTCCTGACTCCTTCTCCCTGTCCTTTCTTGGTGGTTGGCTTCAGAGATATGCTGCACCAGCAGGGTTGGCTATGTGGGCAGAATCCAGTTGGATTTACATTAAAAATAGGAAGTTGCCTTATACTCAGTCAAATCCATTTGTCCAGCTAGCTTAGTACTGTCTACACTGACTTCCAGTGGCACTCCAGAGTTTCAGAGAGGAGTCTTTCATATCCCATCCTGGAGAAGCCAGCGGGGATAGAACCTTTGGACCTTCTGTGGACAAATTGGTTGCTATCCCACTGAACTATGAGCCATTCCTCTAATTTGCAAACTCCCTTGAAATGAATGAGACCTGTGCAGAGGTGCTTTTTGAGGAAGTGGGTCCTTGGCACAAGTGTCTGGAGTGGAGGCCAGATGTCATACCACACCAGCAGACAGCAGGCCTATAGCAGCAGACTTTGGAGAGGGACTGTGTGTTTGTGTGTGTGTGTGTGTGTGTGTGTGTGTGTGTTTGGTGCCAGGGCTGCACTTCTTGCCCTGCTTGGCTCTGAAAGCTTGCTCCCTGCGAGTCTTCACTTGGGTCTGACTGAGATGTACACAAATTGTGTTTAATTGAGTTGTTGGCAGCTTTGCTATCAAAAAAAGATGCCCCTTAATGTTATTCATTGAAAGATATTGCTGAGTCAGAAAGATCTGAGGTAATTTTAAAAAATGAAAATAGCTGTTAACCTTCCCTTTTCTTGTTGAAAGGCAGCTTGTCCCAGGCCTTTTCCTCTTCCCCTTCCACTTCTGGAGGTGGGCATGAAAACAAAGAATGGGGAGAAAACTCCTTTCCATGCTTTTTTAGCATTCTGGAGGAGGGTAACATGGTGTGTCCTGGTCTGCAGTGGTATGGAGTACCAATAACAGCAGAAATGGCTCTGAGACAGAAGCTGCAGAACATCAAGATGGTTTGTCACCAAGGTTGGCTGTCCCAGACCTCTAGCAGCTGCTGTTTCCATTCCATGCAGGATGTGTGCTCTAGGGGAGAGAAGTAGTTATGACATGATAATGGGTGGTGCTCAGCTTCTTTTAGTCTCTCAAGGCCAAACTACTGTAACACACTCTATATTGGGCATCCCTAGATGGTGATATATTCAGAAGCTTCACTTGGCAAAAACACACAGCAGCCCACCTTCTCAGTTACAGCAAAGAACGAATTACATCAGTTCTCCAGCATCTATCTTAGCTCCTTATTGTCTTCTGGTCACAATGTAAGGTGTGGCTCTTGACCAAGAAAACTCTTAGGCTTTGTTTCTAATTACCTCCGAGGCTGCCTTCTCTCCTCCCTACGCTTGCCACAGGGAAGATCAGTCGAGAGTGCAGCCTCGGCTGTGCCATTTGCATGCCACGTTTGACAAGGAAGGTGTTGAGAGAACTTTTTTTTCCTGGTAGCTGCTTCTTGAGGCAAGATGAGATGTCAGGAGATCTGATAGCAGCTTTCTGCCAGTTGTTGTTGAGATTTTTTTGTGCATGATGGTGGGGCAATTGTTTCAGTTCAATGCAGACATAGAGCCTCACAAATTGGATAAATGAGGATTAGCACTTGGGCAGGAGACATTTAACCCTTTCCTTCTGTGCTGTTTTTCCAATCTAAATTGCCTCCCCAACCCTGAAGCTGCTTTTATCCTAGGCACCTATATCCCCCTGCAGGACAGCTTCGGTTAGGGGGCATTTAGATCAGGAAAATGGTGTAGTCAGATTAGAAACCTGCCCGTCTTGAATTTGGTCCTGTGTTGTTTCTCTAGGTCTCAGCTGGTATATTTCCCATGGGAACTGTTACTCCCCTCCCCTCTTTGGGCTGATGTTCAATGGCTATGAATAAGCAGGTGTGTGGAGTAGTGGCTTTTAAACACACTATAATTGGGTATTTTTGTGTTTATTATATTTGCTTTATTTTTAACTGTCGCAGTTTAATAAATAAACTAATTTTCTCTGAATTTATTTGGCAATGGTGACACGGGTCTCAGTGCATCTGCGACAGCATGGGCTGTAGTTTGCACAGTGAAAGTGAAGGCAGGCAAGCAAACCTGCCAAACCAACCCTTCCTTCTTCTCCTGATTCTCCTATGCAAAAGAGGCCTTAAGAGGAAAAAGCAACAATTTTATAACCCAAGCTTCACAGCGAAATACCCAGCACAAAGTGGGTGATAGACCTATTCTTCTAGCATCACTTTTTCTTTTACAGAAGCCTCATTGAAATGGGTAGAAGAATTCAGCAGAGGAGGTGACCAAGTTAGGCTGGTGCCAGCTGATCATGGATCTATCTGGGAAGAAGGCTCAGCAGTGGCCACACACCAAGAATATCCCTTCGTTCCATCTGGTGGAAGTCAGCAAACTGTCCCCACTTCCATGAAGGATGTAAACTGGGAGGTGCTTAGGAGTGGAGTTGCCTGCCTACCAGGTAATAAGCATGGCTCTTCATAGACTGTTGCTGAAATTCTTTTGCCTTTGCAAAAAGGCAACAGGTGGAGAAGGGTTGTGTGTGTGCCTGAGTGAAGCTTAATGTTTACCTTATAGACTAGATCATTCTATGCTTCTCCTTTGGCTTGTAGTGCTGAGAGCAGACACGAAACATTGCCCATCTCAAGGTGAAAGAGGCAAGACCACCTAAACTGATGGGGCTGCTATGAGCTGCTCACTGCCTTTGCCTGAGGGCCAGTGTGACTTGATAGTGGCCACAGCAGGATTCCCAAAGCATGGTGGCTGTCAAACCCTTTCCCACATTGGTGCTGTAGCCTCTCCAACACATGCTGAGATCGCTTGCTTGTTTTGAAGATGTGGGGGGAAATGGAGCTTTCAGAAGACCACTCCAATGCTTGAGTGGGGTCTTCATTGACAGCACTCTGTTCATTGTATGTCCACAGATGCCAAATTCTGCCCTAAGGACCTAATTACTGGTATGCAGGTTTGCATTTGTCTTTGTTAACAAATTCTGCTTCTAGGATACACGTTTTCAAAATGTGTTTGTTTTTTGGTATTCATTCATTCATTCTTCTATACATTCATTGAATATTTAGGAAAAGTCCATTTCTCTGTTGCAGTCGTGAGTGGATCTTCAGTGAATGAGTGGATATGGTTTTGCATGCTTAAGACTCCTTTTTAAAGGTGGGGAGGAGAAAAGCCAACTGAGGCTTGAGGCTTACAATAGCAGCTGCTAGACTGGGTGGCCCTTGCTGGGCTGGAGGCAACAGGTGAAGCCAGGTTCTTGTATTTAAGCCAATCAGTGCCTTAGGGTGCCAGAATATATATTTTTAAAAATATATTAAAGAGTGATTGGAAGAGAATAGCAAGAGGCAAGAAAAGTTTCGAGGTTTGAGGGGAAGTTCTGTTAATGATTTACTTCAGTTGTTTTTATATTTTATTGTTATTTTGCATTTTATTGTAGTTAGCTTTCTTGAGCAACATTTTGTAGAAAGGCAAGAGACAGATGTAACTAACTAACTGGATAATAACCCAGTAGTCCATGTCTTCAGTCTTTGGGCTCTAGTCTTAAGTACTAGGTAGTAGTACTACTAGTAGTTTTCAAATGGTGTTCCACATACTGCATTTGCATGAAAATCTTGCAAATAAAAGCACCCAACCCAAGTAACAGAAGGAGAGAACTGTGAACTGCCTTTTTTAAAAGTAAGCGTCTTTCACACTTTCATTCTTCTACCTCACTAAGTCAGGCTAGTCTTGTTTAGAAGAGAGCCCAGGGAATCGTCTGTGTTGGGGTTCCAACAGAGACATCCTTTTGGATCAAAGGCCCAAGGTGAAACCCCCTAGTTGTTTTGTCCACTAAAAGGATTAGGATCCACAGGTTATCTCATTAGAATAAAGTCTGTGTGTCTGCCTGCATTTTACCTGTCCAGGCGAATGGCCAATGGCCAACATTTCCCAAGGGCTTCCTGTGCGTGGAAAGAGCGTAACTGTAATTCCTGCCCTGTCGCCAGATATAACCAAATCATCCTTATTCACAGGCACCAGAGACAAGTATGGACATGCGGTGGTCATCATCACAATGAGGAATACAATTTGGCTAAACCCACACTGCAATGCTAGTGAGCTGATGCGCCTCCTCCTGTACTTACGGAGTGTCCTCAGGTTTGTGGGATGTCTGAGGAAGGGAAGAAGGAGAGAGTGACTAGAGCAGGAAGAAATACTGCTGCGCAATATATGTATCACACCAGTAGACCTTCTAGTGTTTCCCATTCTGCAGGCTGCATTTCTTCTCCATGTGTGCTGTTTGCAGAGATACTTTTAAAAATCAGGAGGCATCGGGGCCATCAAGCCCTGAGCGCAGCAACTTAATGAACCTTCAAGATGGAAGTACTGTTCTTGTTGTTGTTTTGCTAAAATTGCACTGTGGCCTACTTTACTGCGTAGTTGAGAGGATAAAAAAATGATAAAGTGCTTTGTCAAATTTTAAATGGCATTACAAAAAGTAGTAAGCTGCAAGGGACTGTTCAAATGAGAACATAGTATGTAAAGCCTATACAGTACATAGTATAGGAGCATGGATGACACTGTGCCTGGACAGCCCACCCAGGCAAGCCTGTCCCAGCAGAAACTCACACACTGGATTTGCCAAAGACTTGCATGTAGAGTCTAATGTGCACAGACCAGAAAATCCTGGTTGTGTCTTTTTTCTTTGATTTTTAGACTTACTTGTTTTTATATAACTTCAGACCTTGCCTAAGCACTACCCTCCGGCCAGGGGTTGACAGGCTAGAGATCTTCTTTATTACATTAATTGCCTCATTTCCTCCCAAGGAGCTCAAGTTAGCACTCATGATTCTCCATTTCCCCATGGGGAAGTTTTTAACATTTTATTATGTTTTTATATGTTCTGGAAGTCGCCCAGAGTGGCTGGGGAAACCCAACCAGATGGGTAGGGTATATTGTTGTTGTTATCATCATCATTATCATCATCATCATCACCACCACCACCCTGTGAGGTAGGTTAGGCTGACAAGACAGTAAGGTTAAAGATTTCACTGCTTCAAGGTTCAATAGTGGAAATTTAATCCTGATCTCCCAGATCTTAGCCCAGTTAATATCTCTCCACCTTATTCCATATTTTGGGGGAAATGTGTAGAAGTGAAGAAGCTGGGGGAAGGGAATACTTTTCCCCATAGGTCTGAAAATCTATCGGGTCCCCTATCAGCACCTTTAAAGCTAACCAATTCAGGCTGCAACCCTGTACATACTTATCAAGGAGCAATTCTCATGGAGTAAACAGTACATAGTAGTCTGATCCTTGTCTTGCTGTTGTCCACTAGACACAGGAAACTACGTTGGTCTGTTCCAGAGATTTATGCTGTGTGGGGTTTTGTAAATAATAATAATAAATCCTTCAGAGTTCTTGATGTGTTAAGTTAAATTTTAAATTCTAAGTTTCCTTAGAATTACAATAATTTACTATTACAATCCATGTTTAATGACACTTATTTAATTAAATGTGCATTTATTTATTTATTAAAATGTGTAGTTATTTAAAATGAAGATTAAAAATGCCCTTATGCATGATTTTAAAGTGCCCTTTTGCAGTGGTTCTCTCCCCCCACTCCATGAACATTCCTCAAATAAAAGCCCTGAGGACCAATGTGGACAGTCAGCTGCTATTCCACTTGTATCATGGAAGAGAAGGGCAATAATTGGGTAGTGCCAAGTTCCACCTGTCTAGAAGCACCCTTGGAGGTATAAGAGGCCAGTGGGTTGAGGGCTGTTGAGGGCTGCTGTTGCTGAGAGGCTATTGTCTGGAGTTGGGCACTCTGGAATAGCTTGTATGGATTCTCAGCAATGAAGTCTTCTCTTCTTTTTGACTTCCAGGCCCGAGTGCCAGGCTTTGGGCCTAACTATCCTGGTAGATGCCCGTCGATGCTCTCCAGTCCCAGCTCTCTTTAAAGCTTTAGCTGTTCTGCAGGTGAGGCCTTTGCTCCCAACTCTTTTTTCCTCTTCTTCCCAACCCTAAAGAGTGACCAGAGGAACCTGGTTAGAACAAGTGGGTAGCAGTGCCCATCAGGCCATCAAATTTGTCTCTTTCACTTTAAAAAATGGAATGGCTTGTAGGAAGGCAGAGCAAAGTCTGTGCAAAGCAAACAGCGAAAAAAAGATCCTTGCCCGGCTGCTCATAAGACCAGACGAGACTTTGGACCAGAGCCAAAGCCAACAGCAGGGGCTCCTCCAATCTCTATTTCTGCTCTTTCAGGATGCTGTCCCTCGCTGCATCCATGGGGCCTTGTTGCTTGTTGAGAAAGATATCAGTTTTCGATTGGAAAAACCAGCTTCTATACAGGTATGAGAGGTATTCACACACCTTTTTCATCTCTGAGCACTTCACTCTTTTACTCTTAGGCTTGTTTGCCTCTGCAATTCTATGTTGCAAAATTCTGGGTAATCTTATCTAGCACAGAGTTTGGATGTGGAGGAATTTCAACTTCCTTTTATTTTCCTTTATTTAGCTTCCAAGCTCAGTTGCAGGGAGACTTTAGAAAACATGTTGGATGTGTCATTCCAGGTTGCATGGGCTGGCACACTGTGACTTTATATTTTTAACAAACCTGCTTCAATGACTACCTTTTATTTGGATAGGTACCGTATTTTTCCCTCTATAACACGCAGATTTTTTCTCCTAAAAAGGAAGGGGAAATGTCTGTGCGTGTTATAGAGCGAATGTGTGGTCCCTGGAGCCAAAAAATCAAGCAAAAGTCAAATCACGAGTCACGGAGAAGGGAAACCTGAAAAGAGTTTCAGGTTTCCCTTCTCCGTGACTGCTTTCCTGCATTCTGCCTCAGGGTCTTACTGCCCACCCCTCCTCTGTTTCGTTGCTGTGATTGCTGAAACGGAACAAAGAGCAGGGAAAGCCCCTCCCCTCCAGGCAAGCAGAGTGTCGTTCTTTCTAATTCCTCTCTGTGCTCCGGTGCTGCTGGGGGAGAGGGAGAGAGAGTGGGGGAGGGGGAGGGAGAGGGAGAGGGGGGGGAGGGAGAGGGAGGGAGGGAGAGAGGAGAGAGAGAGAGAGAGAGAGAGAGAGAGAGAGAGATGGCTGGCTTGGGGGGGAACTTTTGCCTTTCTTTCCTCCCACCCGTTAAATCCCTCTCCAGCATTCTTAGCCAGCTGCTTCTCTGCCCTCTCATGTCCCTTCTTTGTTTTTCCTTCGCTCCCCACTTAAAATGTGGTTACAAAGCATAGATCCCACTGTTGCCTGGGGCTGCAATGGTGCAAAAACGTGGTTAAAAAGCATGGATCCACATGGATCCTCAGGATCTTTGCATTGGGTCACCCCAAATTCACCATCAGATCACATAGCATGTCCATGGCTACAGCCTGCACCAAAAAAAGCACACATCCACTGTTGCCTGGGGCTGCAATGGTGCAAAAACGTGGTTAAAAAGCATGGATCCACATGGATCCTCAGGATCTTTGCATTGGGTCACCCCAAATTCACCATCAGATCACATAGCATGTCCATGGCTACAGCCTGCACCAAAAAAAGCACGCACCCACTGTTGCCTGGGGCTGCAATGGTGCAAAAATGTGGTTACAAAGCATGGATCCACAGGGATTCTCAGGATCTTTGCATTGGGTCACCCCAAATTCACCATCAGATCACATAGCATGTCCATGGCTACAGCCTGCACCCAAAAAATCACGCACCCACTGTTGCCTGGGGCTGCAATGGTGCAAAAACGTGGTTACAAAGCATGGATCCACAGGAATTATCAGGATTTTTGCATTGGGTCACCCCAAATTCACCATCAGATCACATGTCTGTGGCCACAGCATGAAGCACAAAAATGATACATCCACTGTTTCATTCAGAATGTTTTTTCCCTTGTTTTCCTCCTCTAAAAACGATGTGCGTGTTATGGTCAGGTGCGTGTTATAGAGCGAAAAATACGGTATTTAACTACACCACTCAAATAAAAGGAACTGCTGGGGGGAACAGTCCACTTTTCTGTAAAAATGTTTTTTCCTGTAGATATATATCTGCTGCTTCCCAGTGAGAAGAAAAAGAGCCAAACATTTTTAATGGTTGTAGCCATTTTGAATTTCCCAAAATGCAAAACGTACATCAGAACAGGGCTTTATAGGAAAAACAAAAAGGCTGCTCTGATTCTCTCTCTTCCCTTCCCACAAATTAATTTCACATTACCTCCATAATACTGCTGAGACAGAACAGCTTCTTTCAAAGCTGGTAAAGAAGCTCAAAAGTTGTCCTTTTGGTCCAGCTGCAGCATTGATATTTGTTCCTCTGTGGCCTCTTGCAGTCCTCCAAATAGAAAAGGTTCTCTCCAGCTACATTCAACTCAGAACAGACCCATTGAAATTAATGGATTTAAGTTAGTTGTGTCTGTTAATTTTAATTGGCTTACTCTCTGTAATACTTAGTTGGTGGCAACCAAAAGTTCAGAATAAAGCATGCAACCATAGTTTTTGTTTGTATGGATTATTTTGGGTGAAGAATGTCAACTTGCTCCAGATCTGAACATATTTGTTTCAAATTACGAAAGTGTTTTGTGCCCAGTCACTTTTCATGACTTTCCCCTCTTTTAGGATGACAACCTGACTCTTTTGTGCATGATTTAGATTTCACATGACTTGAGCATGTGGAAAGGAACCAGCCTCTCAGGTTGAGAGAGCAAACCTGACAAGCAGAAGGCATCAACATGCCAATATGTCAGCTGAAAGGGAAGACAGCAATTAAACTAGGCGAGGAGGCTGGGGAAGGCGGGGAGATATTCTCAGTGCTAGAGGAGAAATGGCTTAAGCCTTAAGCCAAGGAGGCTCTGGAAAGAAGGGAGAGCAGCAGAAGACAACAAACAAGTACAGGTACCTCGGAAGTCGAACGGAATCCGTTCCGGAAGTTCGTTCAACTTCCAAAACGTTCAGAAACCAAGGCGCGGTTTCTTTTTGGCTGCAGAAAGCTCCTGCAGCCAATCGGAAGCTGTGGAACCCGCGTTGGATGTTCGGGTTCCAAAGAACATTTGCAAACCGGAACACACACTTCTGGGTTTGTGGTGTTCAGGAGCCAAAACTTTCAACTCGCAAGGCGTTCAACTTCTGAGGTATGACTGTATTATCAATTGGACTAGATAAGGAGTGCTTTGCCATCACCAGGGGAAACCTGAGGGCATTGCTTCCCTTTTGTAACTCATGCCTGACCCTGGGTAGCTCCTCTGGTGCTGCTCTGCTGAGCTGCCACCAACCAGCTGGTCATCTTGAGTTTCTGTTGTTGGGGGTTGGGCTGTGGCAGCCACCCTTCACCCGCCTTGATTTGTTAGTCTGTGTTCACTCCATGCACTTCTCCTTCATCCAAGGAAAATCTCTGGCTCTCACCAGGAGTGTCTACACATCCCTTGGCTCTTGGGACAAGTTTTTAACCCATGGTGACTAAATCACTCTGACCCTCCCTATCCCCTAAGTAAAGGTAAAGGTACCCCTGCCCGTACGGGCCAGTCTTGACAGACTCTGGGGTTGTGCGCCCATCTCACTCAATAGGGCGGGGGCCAGCGCTGTCCAGAGACACTTCCGGGTCACGTGGCCAGCGTGACATTGCTGCTCTGGCGAGCCAGAGCTGCACACGGAAACGCAGTTTACCTTCCCACTAGTAAGCGGTCCCTATTTATCTACTTGCACCCGGAGGTGCTTTCGAACTGCTAGGTTGGCAGGCGCTGGGACCGAGCAACGGGAGCGCACCCCGCCGCGGGGATTTGAACCGCCGACCTTTCGATCGGCAAGCCCTAGGCGCTGAGGCTTTTACCCACAGCGCCACCCGCTCCCTATCCCCTACTGCTGACCAAAGGTAGAGGCAGAACATAGCCATCATGGCTGGTAGCCCTTGATAGCTTCCCCCTCTTCTGTGAGCTTGTCGTACCTCCTTTATAAAGCTAGCCAAGTTGTTGATCTTCACTGCCTTTTGTGGGAGAAAATACCGCAGCTCAGCCAGGCGATGCTGTGTGAAAAAGTCCTTTCTTTTCTCTGTCCTGAACCCTCCAATAATCCTCTCTTGTTGCCCTAATCTCTCTCCTCTCTGAACCTCTCCTGCAAGTGCCTTATCCAAGATGCAGCACAGCTGGGAGATATCGGTGTGAAGGCCAGCAGGAGAGTCTGGGCCCAGTTCGCTGGCCCATTGGCCTAGCGCAGGGCTCTTTGCCTCAGCTTTGCACTTGCATGTTTGTTTCTCCTCAGTGGGAACTTCTCACCTCCATGAAATCCCTCCACAAGCACATCGAGGGGGGCAGCTGCCCCTAGAATTTGACGGGGCCCTTCCATATTGCCATCAGGACTGGCTGCGCTTTCGAATGGTGAGTGAGTGATGCTCACATCCGGGCCCAGTAATGCTGCCGCTTGGTGGTATGAGCATTTTGGCCATAGTCCAGACCAGTCTCTGGGGCCTCCCAGCGTTCCCCTCCCTAACCCAGGGGGAAACTGCTTGCTTTGAGAGCCTCAAGGAAGGAGGTGGGCTGTCAGTCAACTCTATGCTTGCTGGCCTTTCAGCGCCTGGAGCACCTGCTGCATGGATGCGAAGATGCCGGCACCTTCCTCAGGGAAGCCATCCAAGCTGTGGAGTCCAGCAGCTGGCCAGAGAAAGTGGAGGTGAGCCTTCTGCTTCCCATCTATAGTTGTTGGAGCAACAACCATCACCTGTTTCAAGAGTTAGGAGAGTAAGCAAGAGGAGGGGAGCACTGAGTAAATGATACAAACATTAACATTTACAATCACACCAATGTATCATTATTAAGTTTGGCCGCCATGGCCAGAAATGAAGGTCCGCTCCAGGAAGTAAAGAACAGTTGCCCAGAATGTATTATGGGAAGTGAATGGTGTGTCAGTCTTGGGCATCCCGGTGCTCCTTTCTTGCCCCAGAGAGACAGCTTGCTGGGGAGGAGACCCTGGAGTGCCTGAAGACCTGGCCAGGCCAGCAGGCTTTGCAGCACAACTGCAGCAGAGAGCAGGATATAAGGATGCAGCGCCCTCTGCCATGCTGTGTCATCTTTTCAGGGTGAAACTTGGGTGCTTCTTGCTGCCTGTCGGCCTCAGAGCAGCGCCTAATTGTGTCAGGAAGGACGGGAAAGGACCAATTGATCTCAGAGCAAAGCAACTGGGTCTAAATCATCATAATACCTCAGCAAAGAGGGAGGATTCTTATCTTCTGTTCCCAGGTCACTTTTAGGAACTTGTGAGGGGTGGTCAATTTTTTCAGGCTGCTTTTCATACTGGTTAAGAAAAACATTTGATTGTAAATGCCCTGAGCTGGGTCTGTGTGCTTTTCTTGGTTTCTCAGGAGGCTGATGCCTTGCTGAAGAGCTACAGGCAATTAATGAAGACTGTTCTTGATGATAGACGACTGGTCAGGTTGCAGCTGGAAGGAGGGGCGCTTCTTGCTCGCCTAAGGAAAGAAGAGTCCTGTGTTACTCTGACGGAGGACTACAGGTGAGTCTACAGGGAAACAGAGAGTGGGGAGGGAGGGTGGCCAGGAGAAAAGCAGGAAGGATGGGTGTGCTGTGAAAGGCCCCCAAGCACACAAGAACTGCCACTCTGTCCCCCTAATGCATGAAGCCATAGGGGCTCTGGCAATTCAGATTCTGCCCCCAAATTAAAATTAAATGATGCCCATAAATAACAATGACTCATATTAAATTATTTTACTATCTAATGCTTATCCAACCTTCCCTCTGAGGAGTTCAGAGTATGATACGTGGTGTTTTATCCTCCCAACAACCCTGTGAGAAGGAGGTAGCTTAGCCTGAGAATGACTTGCCTGTAGCTCTTCAGTGAGCTCCAAGAGCAAGGAAGGATGCAAGCTCCAGTCCTTTATCCACCATGTCACACTGTTTTGTGAGTGACATATTTGAATGATTCAATGATGGAATGCTTTTTGTTTATTTGCATAGAGGTGCTCCATTTGCACACTCTTCATACCACTTCCCAGGCAGGCCCTAGCTCCCTCTGCAGCTTCCTTGGGTGGGAGGAGTTCTGCCTGCTGGAGGTTCTCCCTCTGCCCTGGGACTCCAGGTTATGAGGAAGGGAGAGCTGCCTGTCTGGAAGCACAGCAGCAGGTCTGCTGATCTGGACTCTGGAGATTTGGGCAGGGATTTGCTGTGCGCACGCACAAGTGTGAGAGGCAAAAATGTGCTATGTTGTTCAAGTGACGGCCTGCAGAATCTAATTGCATTGAATTGCACAAGCAGAAAAAATGCCCTCTTGGGGCTGGTCCACATGTCTGCTTCTCCCATGCCTAGAAAGCATGGGCTTGAGTGGTTTCCTGCTTGTTCCGTGCTTTCTAGGCACAGGTCCGAGCAGTTTTGTGTTTGCCCCATTGCTCCCCCCCCCGAAAACCACTCTTCAGTGCTAAATCAGAATAAATAGCAACCCGTAGAAAATCCAATTGCCATTTGTTCCAATTCAGCACTAAACTGTGGGTTTTCCCGAGGGAAAGCGGGGGGCGGGGGGAGGAAGTGTGGATAAGCCCTTAGTCTCACATTCAGTACTTTGAATACTTCTGAACTTGGGATGTGGCTGCACAGACCAGTCCTTCTATTGATGTGCTTTCACTAGCAGGGCTGGATCAGGGGGACAGGGAGGAAACGCATTGGTTTTCAGCAGTATACAGGACTAGCCAAAAAAAAGAGTGCTTGATGGATTGCCTGCTGCTTCTTGTGTCTGTAACAGTGTAATGCAAAATACATCTCCCCTACCCGTCTGGCTCTTGTGGGAGGATCACATGTACAGACTTTGGGGTCCCTTGTCACCCTGCCTTTATTGATTTACTCAGGTTCATGACAAAGACCTTGGCTCCTGGCTGCCTTTGCCTTGCTGTTGAACCAGTTTGTTGTGTTTACCTTAGCTTTCTGCCTGTTGAAAAGCTCCACTCCAGTTGCACTCAGGTCTTGTTTGCAAGATTCCCACAGGCATCTGGTTGGCCACTGTGAGAACAGGATGCTGGACTAGATGGGCCATTGGCCTGATCCAGCAGGCTCTTCTTAAGTTTGCAAATACCAAATCAGCTCTTTGTACCAATGCCCTTTTCCAGCAGTGCTCTGGGGAGTCTGCAGTAAGCAAGCTCCAATGACCCAAGCAATGAGCCAGGGCTTTCCTTTGGGGGTACTTTCCATGACACTTGAACGGAAGTTCAGGGCCCTTCCATATGGAAGTTGGTTGGCTTTCCTCCAGCAATCAGAATCCAAAAGCAGGGATGGGGAATCTTCTTCAGACAGAGGGCCACATTCCCTTCTGGGTCGCCTTCCAGAGGCCACATTACAGTGGTGAGTGGGACTAGAGGCAAAAGTGGACAAAGCAATGGGGGTGACTTTGTTTTACCTTTATACCACCATCTAGTTTCTGTTCATGCATACATCATGCAGACAAAGAAAGAAGTATTAAATGAGTTCATTCTACTCAGGCAAAAGCAGTACTGGTGGGTGTGGCTCAGGAAGGGGCGTGGCCTGGAGAGAGTCCTGTGGGTGAGTAGGGGGCGCTGGAGGGCCACATTTGGCCTCGGACCAGAGACTCCACATTCCTTTGCTGAAGGAGATGCCTGGAAGTGAACCAGAAGCCAAAGGCTGTAACCTTTCCTCATAAGGGAGTTGCTCCACCCTCTTGATCATTTTGAACCTTTTCACACCCTATAATATCCTATTTGGGGTGAGGTGAGTAGAAATGTACACAGTCTTCCTGGTGTTGTTGCACCATAGGATTGCATAATGGGGCATTATTATGCTGGCATAATGGGGCATTATTATCTTTCCTAATAATGATCCCTAGCATAGAATTAGCCCTTTTTCACGCTGTTGGCCGCACACTGGATTGACATCTTAATCGAGCTATCCACTGCAACCTTATTTATTGAATTTATTTATTGAATTTATATCCTGCCCTTCCTCCTTAAAACAGCCTTTGTTTTTAGAATCATTTAATTGCAGAGTTGAAAGGAACCCTGGGGGTCATCTAGTCCAACCCCCTGCAATGCAGGAATCTCCTGGTTAGTCACTTTCAGCTCAGACCCCAAGGGAGCTGATGAAGCCCCACTTAGCTGACAAGTAACAAGCTGTGCAGCAACAACCCTGCTGCCCTCAAGAGAGTTCCAGGCCATTCTGCCAACACTTGGATCACCCCCACTTTGTATGCCTGCACTCCCACCTAGGCTGTCCTAAGGCTGCCAGTTCCCTCTGATGCTTTTGCAAGAGTCATGGCCTGGCTCTGCCTGTTGCTTGGCTCTGACCTGGTTCAGCCTGGGAAGGTCTCCTTCCAGTCTGCGGCTTGCCTTGTAAGGGCCTGTGGCCATGCTCAGGCACTGTGGGTGGGCTCAGAAGACTCTGAAGACTAGCTTCCATGCGGCAGAGAGCTCTCCCTGCCAGGGCTAGTGGTGATAAGACAAAGGGCTTGCCCCCTGCTGGCCCGTATTTGAGACGCTGTCTTTGAAGCCTGTTCCTCTTTCCGCTAAGAGTGCCTGCATTTTCCTTTTGAAATTGAGTGAGTTCAGTTTCCTTCTTTCTCAAGCACCCCCACCAGCCCTTCAATGAGAGAAAGAGCCTTCAGCCTGGTAAGGAAATCTCCAAAAAGGAGTCCTGCCAAAAGCAACTTTCAGACACAGGAGTCTAAAATTACCCTGGAATCACACAAGACATTTGTTGGCACTTGCTGTTGGAACCTTCCCCCCACCCCCCTGCAAAGTAACATTGGCCAAGGAAAACAGATTCCGGTGAGGAGGGGGAGGCTCTAAACCCACTTCAAGCCTCTCCTTTTTGTTGTAGGCCTGCTTGAATCTGGTGATTTGATCTGGAAAGTATGTGTGGGGTAACCTCCTTTACTGAGCTCAGCACAGGCGGCAAGGCATACTGGCGCTCTGCCATCCTAAACTTTTTGCCCCACTGCTCCACTTACCAGATCCTTCTTCAAGGCTTTGAGCACAGCCTAGGGAAGGCCCCTTTCGGCTGGCTGTGACTGCTGCCTCCTGCACAGCACAGAGCAGAACAGGCAGCCGTTGGCTGTGTTTGCCCCAGATTGGGGTGAAAAGGGAAAATGAATTCATTGATTGGATGAGCTTCTGGACCAGGAAAGGTCTCTGTGCAAGCTTGCCAGTCATCTTGTCAGCAGGAGTAATGGGTGGTGGGGGTTGTGGCAGTGCAATCAAAAAAGTGTCCATACTACCTTCTCCACCTACAGTAGTTCTCAGATATTTAGATGTTTCCAGGGCAGACTGAGATGCTGCTGGGTGTGAAATGAACTTTGAGGCAGCTTGGCAAGCCATGCAGCCATTCACAAGGAGAGCTTCCTTTCCCACTCCCACAAATCCAACCAGAAGAGAGGACACCAGCAGCTGCTTGCTGCATCCTGATCAGAAGGGAAGTGAAGCTCTTGGAGGGCAGTGGGACATTGGCATCTGTTCTCTGCCCTGCCACATGGCTGTGCAATGAGCTGGTGCCCTCCTCTGTCACCCCATCACCCTCCAATGTCCTGGAATCTTGGGCCTTTGTTTGAGTCACAGCATCTCAGGGATTTAAGCAGTACCCACAGTAGCAGGTTGTAAGAAACTGGAACTCCAGCTGATGATACCTGGGCCATGCTTCCCTTTCAGAGATGCGATGGAGGCAGCTGTTGCGCTTTACAATGGAGTGGACGAGGGCATCCATCAGCTGGTGATGATGTCAAACAAGCGCATCCAGGCCCTGGAGTTGGTGATAGACTTTGGAGCCTTTGAAGAAAGCTTTCGGGAGGTTTGTTGACATTTTTCTGGCAGCTCAGATGGATTTACAACCCAATCCTTTTAACTGCTGTGCTGGCCAAAAACTATGCACAGTCGGGCTCAGGGGTTGGTGTTGACAGTGAAGCAGAACGTCCACTAAACAGCACCTGGGATGGCTGAAATTAAATCTTGACGGGGCTGAAATAGTGGTGATTGGCAGGCCTTGGGCCAATGGGAGTTTCTTTCACCTCCTTTGGCCACTCAGTCTTGTAGCCTGGGGTTGAGGTTGATTGGCTGTGATCCATCACTGGAGCAGGTTAACACCACTTGTTAAAAAGGCTTGCATTTTAGAGGTCAGTAGATAGATGTGCATCCTGCATCCAGTTTGGACTCATGTTTTCTGTTATTGGAAGAGCAGTGGGACAGGGCCTTTCCCTGGGCTTGGCAGGTAAGGTTCCCAAAAACATCCATGATATAAGGACTGTGCTAGCAGCATGAGCAGCAGCATCTAGGAACTCTAGGAGCAATGTGAAGTGCCACAATTGCAGCGTCCCAGTCTCTGGAGTCAAGAGACCTCATACTCAAAGTTTTGAGCAAAGAGCTCCAGAGCCCGCCCTCTGTCATTACAAGCATATGGATTTATTCATTCTAAGTATTTTTATGTAGCCAAGTTCTCAAGGCAGCTTACAACACAAAACAGGATAAAAAGAAACAACACGGAAAGAGATCACAATCTGAAAGTAGCACAGAATCACATGGCAGAGATTAAAAATAATAATAATCTAGAAGGCTAAATGATTGAGAGGAGAGGAGATTCCCTTAAGTGGGAGGTGGAGGAGGCACCACTCATTCCCTAGTAGACCAAAGGGCGGGGTGACTCCCATTCTTTCCAGGAACAGGAGTGTGTGGTTTTGCTCTCTGAAGGCGGAGAGGCTTCTTCTTGGCCTTGATCTACCTTTTTGCCTCTTGTAGGTCAGCAGATGGATGGAGAATGTTGGTCAAACACGGCTCACGGAGCTGAGTGAGCTGGATGGTTCTTTGGAGGTCTTGCTTAAAGCACAGAGGCAGTTCCAGGACTTTGAGCTCGTTGCAAGTGTAAGTCCTCTCCCGACACTCTCCGCACAAATCCACAGGCTGGCTGCTTTGTTTAGAGGCAAACACTTTTTCATTAATATATCATATTCCAAGGCTGAGCAGTGACATGAAAAGAGGTTCTGGGGCTAAGCCCTAAAGAACCTTGGCTCAAAGAAAACTTTCATTGTACATTGGTTGTGCCTTGGTGAACTTTAGGATCTGCAGGCAGGACTCTGCATGGGCAACTGCAGTGGGTCCTCACTGGAGACTGGGAGTCTCCTGATTTTTGTATGCATATGTGCACATACATACCTCAGAACCAGTGATGGAAAGATCTGTCCACTTTAGCTCTCTTGGGGTTTATCTGCACATCCATTTGTTCCATGTTCTTCTGCTTGTTGCAGTGCAGATTAGTACTGCCACAAGTTTTGTGCGGGATTCTGGGTTCCCATGCCACATCTTCCTCCATGCTATTTCAAGGAGGCATCGGTGAAAGAGGAACACTCGCACAATGTGCCACAAGGGAAAATGAGTGTTTTTCTCTTCAGGTGCCCCAAAAAGGATTGGATCATAAGGGGAACAAATTTCTATTTGGTCTTAAAGGGGTTTTTCTTTTGTTCTAACCCAACAATGAAAAGCATGGCTTATTTTGGGGTTTTGTTTTGTTTTGCATTTCTACATTGGGATATAAATGAAAAGCTTTTGGACAAGTGTTACTGATTTGATGCAAATTCTAAGAAACCGCAGGGCAAACAGGCCCTTACTTTCTCATTTTTCCAATCTCAGATTCAGTTCTCCACATTTCTGCAGCAGTTTGCATTAAAAAAAAATATTAATGGACATTCTTCAGCATTTAGTGCAAATATATCCTAATAAATACATTATTAAATGCAGTTTAGAGTAATGCACACATTTTTGTGAGTGATTTCTTTTAACATAATGCCCTTTTGTATGTTATTTTTTTACTAATATAGTCCATGTTTATGTGCCCTTTCTCCTCATATATGCATATATGTAAACATTGATTGGAGAACAGCAGCACAAAATTTGGATAAGCATGAATTTCAAAGGATTGTTCTGTGTTTCAATTCTCATAACATTTTGGAAACTGCAAATATGATTGATTTGGCTTTAAATGTCAACTGAATCAAATTTCTTCTCCATTGCTGCTCAGAACTCATTTTTTTCCCCTTGCAACAGTGTTGGAGTGGAAGTTGCAGGACACTATTCCCCCTCTCTTATTCCAGTCTGTATTGCAATGTGCTTAGAGATTTTGCTTGCGATGGCACTGAAGACTCTTGGCAGCAGTTAAAAGGGCTGTTGTGATGTCATGAAATTTTGACAAACATTCTAACTTCTAGTAGAACTGAGAAAAAAATACAGTAAGAGTAAGCAGCTGTGCAAGCAATGGTAAGCAATGCTGCACAGCTAGATTCAGCAGAAGAAACCGTAATAAGACGTTAAAGAGGACATTTGAACAATATAGAGGAAACTATGCACTCTAGCCAAGTGACAAGAGAGGTTACATCACCACCTACTGTTAGAGCAGGCCACTTACACCCTTAGTCACCTTTGACTGGACTTAACCATCTAGGGGTCCTTTACCTTTTTACCTTATACCCTTAGTAACTTGTCTCTCCAACATTAACCCCTGAGAGCAGGAAAAAACCCAGCTATTGAATACTTGCAAATAGTCTTCTGAAAGGGAAATGAGAAGTATGTTAAGGAGGGATTGAAATTTTCAAAAGACTTCCCCCTAGTGGGGAAACTAGGAACTGGGGCTGAAGTGCAGCAGAACTTGGAGCTGTGGGGCAGCCAAGCCAGCACTAGGAGAACAGAGCAAGCGAGGCAGTGAAAAATGTCTTGGGGGCAGCTCTCGTCTCTATTCAGGAATGGAGGTTTCCCCTGCATTTGCAAGCCCTATGCCTGGGTGGCTTAGCTTCTTGTGAGGAGGAAAGATGAGATGGATTTTGGCAGGAACATTTCTTGCCTGCAGTGCTGTGGCATATACACTGGCTGCCTCTTATTTTTCTTTGTCATGCACCCCCAATCCTCCACACACATGCACATTGCTAGGCAAAGGGCCCATAGTGCTCCCCTGATCTTCAGGACTACAACTTCCATCATCCCTGATCTTGGACATCTAGGGCTGTTGGGAGTTGTAGTCTGGAAAGGCCACTTTCATGCATCTCTGTCCCATGTTGAGACCCCCTCAGCTCAACCCACCTGGTCTTTGGCCATATTTTACAGCCTTTCCAGAGGTTGGTGAGTCATGATGATTCCACCAGGCAGGCCTATATGATCAGGGCTGGTCCTCATGCCAAGAAAGGTCCCAGGACCACATTGGAATAGTCAGCTTAATCAGACTTCAGGATCTTTGCAACACCAGGAGAAGCTGCATGTATCCACCAGAGGCGATGCAATCATTTGCTGTTGGGCTTTGTTTCCAGGAATATTGCCGAAGGGGTTGGGAATCTCTGAGAGAGATGGACAAGTGGGAAGATGCTTCCTCTGCTGAGCTGCACGCAGGGTGTCGTGTCAAGTTGCAGATGTACAGAACCCAGTTCCAGAGGTTTTGCAGCCAGCTGGAGGCCAGCAGGAGCCGGATAGGCCAGACGATCAAGCTGTATGAATTCTTTGACCAGGTGAGTTCTGTAGAGGGAGACAGATGTCCCCTAATGTAACTTCTGTTCAGATTCACTGCCATGCTGTGGCTTGCACTCTCTCTCTCTGTGTCTTAGCATACGGCATTTATTTGCCACAGCAGAAGTTGAGCTTAGTCATGGATCCTTGTTTGGATGCTTTTTAGCCTGAAAGCAATCACAGCGAGACTTTGAGTATGAAAATAAGAGAGCTATGTTTATTATAGGACATGCATGCTTGATAGGTGGAATTGGGAACTCTTTCCTAAGGGCTCATTTACACTTCCTTTGCCCTGCCACTTTCCCCTGCAAAAACCTGTGGCTTAGCACTGAACCAGAACAAAGGGCAACTGGGTTTTCTGCACATTGCTCTTTGTTCCAATTTTGTGCGAAAGAGCGGGCTTTCCAGGGGAATGAAGCAGGACAAAGGCAAAACAGCTACGACCTGTGCCTAGAAAGCCGGAGACAATCAGAAAATCACTTGGACTGTCTAGACACAGGACAAGCAGAAGTGTGGACGAACCCATACCCATGCCATCTTACTGGCCTTAATAAGCTGAGTTGCATCCCAGCACTTCCAACAGGTTCAACAAAAGTCAGGCAGCTGACACCCCTTCCCTGCTTCCAGAGAGATTTGGGACAAGAGGTCATATTCTGTGTCTTGGCAAGTGGCTGGGCGGCGTTGAGGCTTCTCAGAAAACAGTCCTACTTTCTGTACTTAAAAAAGAAAAAGCAAGATTCTTTGCCAAAGAATCACAGGTTACATTCCATAGTTCCTAATTCCAGTCATGGAAATGCATATGTCACTCATGGAGGCTTGATTCCTCTTGGCTGAATGTGTGAACTGCCTTTGTTGAAAATGATGGCATTTGAGTCCTGCCAGTAAAGTTTGGTCTGTGGCGACTCATTCACCTGTACAAGCCACCACTGGTCAGCAAGTAGTTCAAATGCCTCAGGTTGGGGGTAGGTTATAATAGTAGTCATTCTAATTTCCTGAAAAGAATGGGAGACTGTGTATCTCCTATAAGCAAGGACAAAAGAGCACCAGGCACCCCTGAGAGGAGGTGGGGTGGGGGTGGGGGGGTGTTTGGGTTGTTTTGGTGCCTGTCTCTGTAAGAGCTTTTTTGCTTAGGAGCAGTAATGGAGTGCTGTCCCTCACAGGCCCTGGAGCCTCTCCTCCTCCCCCCACTCTTGTGCTGACTCCAACCCTTCTCTCCAGCACCCCCACCTGCCCCCTTCTTCCATCTGGCACTTCAGCAGGGAGCATTTGCCTGTGAATAGGCTGGCTCTTTGACTGGAGCCCCCTCATTGGTTACTTTTGGGATTGGCTTTGGCTGCAGAGGAGACAAGAGCAGGACTTCCATTGGGCTTTACACTTTTGGTGGTTCACCCTGTGCTACGGAGCCTCTTGGCAGAAGGATGAAGGTATGCTGGAGCTTCTTTCCTTTGTCTTGCAGGGGGTTCATTTCTGAGGGGATACCGTTTTTCTCTCTCAGCTGCTTGGGGGTGTCAGTAGCAGGGAGAAGAGAAGAAAGGAGATGTAGCCTCCCATGCAAAGTTAACCCAAATAGGAAGCAGAGGTGCTTGTTGTCTTTGGGGGAGTGTAGAGTTCACCCAGGATGCGGGAAGGCCTCCCCCCACTTCCCCCCCAAAAAACTCTTGCCTTTTTTCTTGGCTGGTCAATTTCTCATCTGTGATGAGGGAAGGCAAAGAGGGAGGAGCAGCTGGCACCCAGGAACAATCACCCCAACTTTGACTGATAGAAAATGCTCTCCCATGAAATTAGGGGTGGGGAACTTGTGACCCTCCAGATGTTGCATGGCCAATGATCAGAGATGAGGGTGGGGGCTGCAGCCCAACAACTTCTGGGGGTCCGCAGGTGTTCCCTCTGTCTCAACATTAAAGGCTCAGGGCAGGCTATCTGCACTTTCTTTTGCACCAAGTATATAGATACTACAAATGTTTCCTAGCCAAGCATTGTCTTTGTTAATAAGTAAAAATATAAGGAGGCCTTTTGGGGAAGTATCAGTGTGGAACTCTGATTGCACTGTATGCTGGTGTATCTGCATGAGTAAAAGGAGAGGATGGGGACCACAAAACTTCCTAGACTGTCCCTGTGCTGACTTGTTGATCCTGCTTCTGTGTTAAACTGATACTCTAAGGGCTGATAGCCTCACATCCTCTTCACCTTCCTCCTCCTCCTCCTTCCAACTAAACATTAGGAAAAATGGTCTAACAGTAAGAGCTGTCCAACAGAGAAGCAGGCTGCCTTGGAAGGTAGTGGACTCTCCTTCACTGGAGCTTTTTAAACAGAGGTTGGGTGGCCATCTGTCAGGAATTATTTAGCTGTGATTACTGCATTGCAGTGGGTTGGATTTGATGATCCTCAGGATCCCTTCCAACTCTGTGATTCTATCTCTTTTGTGCCACGGAAACTGGAGACAGGGAGCATCAGAGTTGCAGATGCAGCCTGGGCTTGCAGATGATTTTCCAGGCCCAGCTGGAAATGCATGTCTAATGAGGGAGTCTGCACACATCCCTTGCTCAGCCTGCTCTGTTCAAAGTGGCAGGCCTCAGACTCTTGGCATCTGCTCTTCTTTTCAGCCCACAACCCCCCCCCCTTGGGGGCTGGCCTTGGAGTTCTCTGCATGTCTGCAGTGGGACCAGTATTGTGAGCACAGGACTGGACATACCAAGGATATGCAGAGTTCTTTCATGAAGACACTTTCTCTTGTAGGCTCTGTTTCATTAGTCCCTTGTGTGGGATGCTGTCTCAGGCTGTAAAGGCCAGCCATTGGCTGGGAGATTATGGACCCCCCCTGTGTCCTTTAAACTCTACATTTATGGGCTGTATTGTGTTCAGGGTGGGGGCGGGGCGGTATATGCGATCACACTTTCAGTGCTATTTGCTCCTGCAAAAGTTTTGAGGTGGGCAGACTGCTCAGTACGCCCTGTAGCTTCCTGTGGAAATTTTGTGACACAAATGTTCTGGGCAGGGGCGTTCCTGATCTACTTTTGCAGTGCTGCCCTTTAGACAACAATACCAAAGCAACACTTGGGAAAGCATTAAAGGTAAAGGTAAAGGGACCCCTGACCATTAGGTCCAGTCGTGACCGACTCTGGGGTTGCAGCGCTCATCTCACTTTATTGGCCGAGGGAGCCGGTGTACAGCTTCCGGGTCATGTGACCAGCATGACTAAGCCGCTTCTGGTGAAGCAGAGCAGCTCACGGAAATGCCGTTTACCTTCCCGCCGGAGCAGTACCTATTTATCTACTTGCACTTTGACGTGCTTTCGAACTGCTAGGTTGGCAGGAGCAGGGACCAAACAACAGGAGCTCACCCCATCGCAGGGATTTGAACCGCCGACCTTCTGATCGGCAAGTCCTAGGCTCTGTGGTTTAACCCACAGCGCCACCCGCGTCCCTTTGGGAAAGCGTTACAGAACAATTAATAAAGTCGAATACAGTGGTGCCCCGCAAGACGAACGCCTCGCAAGATGGAAAACCCGCTAGACAAAAGGGTTTTCCGTTTTGGAGGCGCTTCGCAAAACGAATTTCCCTATGGGCTTCCTTCGCAAGACGAAAGCCCATAGGGAAATCTCCGGGACAGCGGGGAAGCGCAGCGCGTCTTCCCCACTGTCCTCGGACCTCCTCCGAAGCCTGGCGGTGGGGCGGGGACACCTCCTCCCGCCGCCCGGCTTCGGAAGGCTGCTCCAAAGCCGGGCGGCGGGGCGGGAACACCTCCTCCCGCCGCCCGGCTTCGGAAGGCTGCTCCAAAGCCGGGCGGCGGGGCGGGAACACCTCCTCCCGCCGCCCGGCTTCGGAAGGCTGCTCCAAAGCCGGGCGGCGGGGCGGGAACACCACCTCCCGCCGCCCGGCTTCAGAAGGCTGCTCCGAAGCCGGGCGGCAGGGCGGGAACACCTCCTCCCGCCGCCCGGCTTCGGAAGGCTGTCCTGAAGACTTGGGATGGGAGAAGGGTTTTCCTTTCCACCGCCAACATTCAGAATGCTGTTCTGAATGTTGGCGGTGGGGAGGAAAAACCCTCCTCCCACGCAAGCCCTGGGAACAGAGGAAAAGCGCTGCGCGCCTTCCCCTCTGTTCCCGTACCTGTCCTGAAGGCTTGCGGTGGGGAGAAAAGCCCTTCTCCGCACCGCCAGCCTGGCAAGCGGTTTCCATAGGAACGCATTAATTGATTTTCAATGCATTCCTATGGGAAACCGTGCTTCGCAAGACGAAAAACTCGCAAGAAGAAAAAACTTGCGGAACGAATTAATTTCGTCTTGCGAGGCACCACTGTAATATGTGGACTCTCCACATATGCTACAGAATGCACTCCCATCTGCCCAAATACCCACTACAGTCTGGCAACCAAGATGGCATTCATGGGGACCTAAGCCCTGCTCAGCACTCCCTACTTTGTTTCTGACAGGCTTTGGCCTGCTTACATTTATTCAGAATCTGGTCCAGACTAGAACCAACCAGGCCTAACCTGGAAGAGGGGGTGAGGAACAACGAAGCCAATCATCTGAATGGACGTGGGAGAGGCCGCACTGAAGCAGAAGAAACAGCCATAGGCTACTGCATTTCTCACCACCACCAGCCCCCAAAAGCCTTTCTTGGAAATTGGCAAAAGGGGGTCACTTTTATTGGGATGTGAGGCAATGTTCAGCACTAGCTCTTGCTTTGGAGTTGGTTGCATTAGTGATCTTTGTTCCAATGCAGTTATGTCTGAATTGCGGCGTGCAGGGGGGCATGTTCTGCATTCACAGCTTGTCCACTTGTGCTATTCTTTAAGGCTGAATCCCTCCTTTGGCTTAGCCCTACTCCATATCCGCCAGAGCTCTCCACATTCCCTCTGGGGACAGTTGTTTTCAGTTTGGGGCTGAGGCAGGGGTAGGCAACCTAAGGCCCGTGGGCCGAATGCGGCCCATTTGCCTTCTAAATCTGGCCCGCAGACGGTCCGGGAATCAGTGTGTTTTTACATGAGTAGAATGTGTCCTTTTATTTAAAATGCATCTCTGGGTTATTTGTGGGACATAGGAATTTGTTCATCCCCCCCCCCCCAAAAAAAATAGTGCTGCCCACCACATGGTCTGAGGGACGGTGGATGGCCCACGGCTGAAAAAGGTTGCTGACCCCTGGGAGGATTCCACACACACAAGGCGCCCTCTGGTGGCACCCTCTGACTACACACACACACACACACAGAGAGAGAGAGAGAGAGAGAGAGAGAGAGAGAGACAGACAGACAGACTGGAACAACTCCCCACAAATCTATTGTTGGGGCAGAGTATTGGTGGGTGCGGGGCATTTCGGGACTGATCCTGCCATGTTGATCTTCCCACTACAGGCAGCAGGCCAATGCGTCCCCTGCACTCTGCTTGGGGGCCTTTTCCAGTCTTGTGTCTTTGCTGTCTGTAGAGTCAGCCAATGCCCAGTCCTAGCCGTCCATGTGATACTTGACACACGTTGGGGGGCAGAGGAAGGCACATGGAAAAGCTTGATGTGGCTTGCAGACTGTGGACAAAGGAGAAGAGGGTCTTCCCTAGACAGCTCCAAGCGCCGCCTTTCCTGGGGAGGGCCTGAGCAAGCCAAGCTGCTGCTGCCTCCATCGCAGCCTGGCAGCCGTGCCTGGCAGTCAGTCAGGCTGGTGACAGGGCCTAGCCTCAGATAGAGAGCCTCTTGTTGTGGCCTAGCTGCAGAGGCCTGTGGACCCCACCCTCCTTCCCTCCCTCCACTGATCGCTCTTTCCTTGTCCCACCCCTACAGGCCTACGAATGGGCATTGGAGGGCATGCGCCACCTTTCCAGCATCAGCACAGAGGAGGGCAGCTCCCTTGAGGATTGTGCTTCAGCTCTCAGGAGCCTGGAGAGCTACAAGAGGCAGCACCCAGAAATCAGTAGTGCCAGATTCCAGGAGATGAAGGAGCTGGCATGCCAGCTGAAGAGCAGCCGTGCCCTGAAGCAATGGCAGCTAGCCTGGTCCAAGTGCCAGGAGACCATGCTGGGCTTTGAAATGAAGCTGGAAGCTGCCCTGAGGACCAAGAGTTCTCTGTGCCCTCCTGACTTGAAGCCATCGCCTGAGGGAGAGCTCAGCCAGGAGGGCAGGCCGCCTTTGGAGGGGCCACTCCCCTTCCGTCTCCCTGGGTGGACTGGGGAGCAGGTTGTGCTCCCAAGCCAGGTCATTCCAGAGGCTTATAAGAAGGAGAAGGTCACCCTGGAGAGCATTGTGGAAGTCCTGGAGGCAGGACCCTCCCGCCCCTCCACCCCAGCCTCTGGCCAGCAGCCATTCCCCAAAAGGCCCCTGAGGAAGGCCCAGAGTTTTGACCTGCCCTGCACAGAGGGACTGCACTCTGGCTGCCAGCGGACTCTGAGTGAGCCAGCCCGTTATGGCAACACTGGCGTCTTCATCAAGGGGCTGGAAGTGAGCAGTACTGAGCATGTGGCCCGGCAACACCTCGGCCCAACCAGTTGGGCACCTGGCGGCTTGCAAGCGGAGCAGAGGAGCAGCCTCTCCATACCAGAGGCAAAGAGCTTGGGCAGGTAGGTATGGATGAGGTTGGAGTATCACCTGCTAACAGCCGTCCAAGTGGGGCTGTGGGCAGATCCAGTCAGAAGCCTGTTTAACAGCCAGTCCCTTTGGGACTCCTCATTCAGGGAGGTGGGTCAACAACAACTTGTCAACAATCTACAGCGGGCAGTTAAAGTGGAATAGCACCAGCATATGTTTGTAGTGTAGATGTTCCCTGTTATTTAATTCTGGGGAGGGAGAATGGACCAGCAGGGGGAGTCAGCTGGCAGAACAGTTGGCAGCTTAAGCATGGAGCACTGTTCAAAAAGGCAAGAAGAAACTGGTGAGGTTGGAGAGACGTCTTTTGGGGCAGTTGCAGATTAAAAATGCTTCAGGGATGTGTTTTTATTTGCAGCTGTTGGGGAAGAGCTTGTTTTTCCAAGCAAGCTGGTAGGCTCTCCCTCTGGCCCCACAGACCTTGAAGAATCGAGGCCTCTTCTCACCATCCTCCAACTTTGCTCCTGGCTTCCTCTCTTGCAGCAAACTGCGGCACATCATTGAGGAGATGGTGATGACTGAGCAGGAGTACGTCCGGTCCTTGCGCTACATCATTGAGAGCTATTTCCCTGAGATGGAGCGGCTGGACCTGCCCCAAGACCTGCGGGGGAAGCGGAGCGTCATTTTTGGGAACCTGGAGAAGCTCTACGACTTCCACAGCCAGTACTTCCTGCGGGAACTGGAGAACTGCTGTAACCACCCGCTGCGGGTCAGCCACTGCTTCCTGAGACATGTAAGGGGCCTAGAGAAACTCAGGCAGGGCTGGGGAGGGGCTGGTTGCAGGGAACTTTGGTAGGTGGGCAGGCAGGCCTCAGGGTAAGCATTAGGGCTCCCGAGGGGAAATGCCCTTGAAATGCCCGTCCACAACACCAGTGTTTCTGGCTCTAGGCCCAAGGACCAGTGCAGGAGCAGGAGGGAGAGGTGGTCAGGCAGACGACCAAGGCCTGCTGAGAGGATTTTGCAAAGGGGAACAGGATAAAGGAGAGTCAGCAGGAGCACAAGCTGAAGGCCTCCAGGATGGGGCCTCCACTATCTTCTCTGGACATGGCCTAGCCTGGGCCTGCCATCACCTTTGGAAGCATGAAGGTCTGCAGGCTTTTGTAGTGGCAGCGCTCTACTCTCCTTGAGGCCCAAGCTCTGTATTTTGTGCCTGTGTGCTTGTGGCCAATCCCTTGACAGAGTCTGTGGCCTCCCTTTGTGGGGGGCCTCTGTGCTTCTAACCCTTTTTGCAGAAAGACCAGTTTGGGATGTATGCTCTCTACAGCAAAAACAAGCCCAAGTCTGACTCGCTCCTGGCCAGCCGTGGGAACTCTTTTTTCAGGGTAAGTCCTGCCCCCCCCCCAGCAACCCCTTCCAGGCATTGGACTAGAGTGGAGCGGCCCTTGGTCTTTCTCTGGCTCCAGCCACTCAGCTCCGCTCTCCCGCTCTGGCCTCCAGCTCAAGCAGATGCAGCTGGGGACAAGATGGACCTGGCCTCCTACCTGCTGAAGCCCATCCAGCGCATGAGCAAGTACGCCCTCCTCCTGAAGGACCTGATCAAGCAGTGTGGGGAGGCTCAGGAGCAGGAGCTGGCCTACCTGCAAGCCGCGGAGGAGATGGTGCGCTTCCAGCTGCGTCACGGCAACGACCTCCTGGCCATGGATGCCATCCGGGACTGTGATGTGAGTGGGCTGGGAGGAGGAGGGGCAGGGGAGGGGAGCGGATTCCTGCCAGGAACAGCACCAGCTGAGCTCCTGGCTGCCTCTGCATCTCCTTGATCCCATGAAAAGGGATCTCAGTGCAGCAGCCTCACATCCTGGAGTGCAAGGCAGGCTAGAAACCGACTGCTCTGGGATGGAGCAAGAGGGACTCTGGCATCAGAGGCCTGTCAGGCTGCCCTTGGCGACAGGGCACCTGCTACTTGTCCCCGTGGCCCGCAGTCCTCTACTCCCATGTACAACTGACATCATTCCCCAGAATGCTTGCCAGTCCAGACCTTTTTGCAAATGAATGAATGGTTTCTGTGCCCAGGTGAACCTCAAGGAGCAGGGGCAGCTGGTGCGCCAGGATGAGTTCAGCGTCTGTCTGGGCCGCAGGAAGTGCCAGCGCCATGTCTTTCTCTTTGAAGACCTGATCCTTTTCAGCAAGCCCAAGCGGGTTGAGGGGGGGCTGGATGTCTACATCTACAAGCGCTCCTTTAAGGTAAGGCTGCCCGCTGCTGCTTGCGAGTGCTGCTGCCTCTCCAAGAAACTAAAATGGCACCAGATAGGGAGGGGGATGCCTTCTTCACAGGCTGTGCAAGAGAAAACTTGGGGGAAGCACGATGTCACACATTCAGGCAGCCAGTTTTATCAGCTGCCTCAGGCAGACCTGCACGATTTTTGATACATCAAGGTGTGTGCATGCATTGCAACCAGATGCTCAGCTAGCCAGTAGGCAGTGGCACTAGGGTTTTTCTGGAGCCCACGTGCGGCTTGTGGGCTGTGTGAGTTGGAGGGCAGGGCTTTCACACCTTCATGTTCCCAAGTGCATCTTACATCACCTTCCCTGTCAAGCTTACCAAGGCTGAACTTTTCAGAGTGAACCTCTTTCCCATTTGTAAGCACTAAATCACACCACACCACTGAGGTGGATCATCATGGCAGCAGCTCAGGAGCCGCCTCTGCCTCACCATGTATACCCTCAGCCCAGCATGTGACCCCAATTGCCTCCTGGCTTGCTGACTCACTTGCTCTTTCCCTGCAGACAGCAGACATTGGCCTGACTGAGAACTCCGGCGAGAGTGGGCTGCGCTTTGAGATCTGGTTTAGAAGGCGGAAATCGAGTGACACCTACGTCCTGCAGGCCAGTAGCCCCGAGACCAAGCTGGCCTGGACCAGTGACATTACCAAGATCCTGTGGGAGCAGGCTGCCCGCAATAAAGGTTGGCGTCAGTAAAGCCCAGGCACCCTCTTCCCTGTGGGACCATTGAATCCTTTCTGCCAGAATTAGTGGCTCATGGAAGCAGGGAGCGGCATAGAAGGCTTGTTGGATAGGGGCTCCAGGTTTCTCCGGGCATGACAATTGCAGACATAAAGTAGGTCATTGGTTCCTGGGATTCTCCATGGAAGCCCCCACTCCCACTAGAGTGACTGGTCACACGAAATAGAGGTGCTCTGTCCTGTGTCCGAGAGAGAGGGGGCAGTTTGTCGTGCTATATGCAAAAGGGAGGAGAGCTGCAAGTGCCAGCTAGGCAAGGCCCAGGAGCCCTGGACTTCACTGCACCAGGTGACCCTCCCCAATACTACCAGCAGTTGTTTTTCCCCTGGCTAACGTAATACCTGGGAGATGCCAGCAAGATTACTTTCTTGGGAGAGATTAACTAGAGCATTGACAACTGCCTGGGACAAGCTTCTTGGTCTGGTGGTTGCTTTGTCCTTTAGGACTCCTTGTGCCCAGAGCTGCTACTCCAGAGGCAGCCAAGCTATGTCACCTGGTGGACCAAGTTTGATCTAAGTTGCCCCTTCTACCAGAAATCTGCTTGTCTTGCCAGAGACCGAGGCTAGGTTTGGTGGCCCTGAGAACTCACAGAGCTGCTTTTTGGTGAGGCTAGACATGTTCCTCATGGTTGTTGTCACCCCCAGAGATCCGCATGCAGGAGATGGTGTCCATGGGTGTGGGGAACAAGCCTTTTCTGGACATCAAGCCGAGTGAAGCTGCCATCCATGACCGTGCCATTGATTACATTATGAAAGGCAGGGGTAAGTCTACCTCACGCTCTCACACCCCAGCCCCCCTCAAGGACCCACGCAGCTGCTATCCAGCTCTTCATGACTTGCTTTCCCCCTTTTTTGCTCTGTGGCAGGAGCCAGGACTCGGGCTTCTATTGCCGTCTCTCTGTTTGACCACGCCAACCCTTACAAGAGGTCGCAAACACCACTGCCTGCTGGCAGCCCATCCTCCTCCTGCACAGTGCTTGGGCCTCTCAACTTGCACATGTACCTGAACCAGTCTCTGCTGCCCAGCATGCTCTCAACCAGCCACTCCTTGGATGCAGGCACATGCATAGAGGAGGATGAGATGGAGAACGAGACCAGCAGCCAGCCTTCCATGAGTACGTATGAGGCCTCAGTTCTCTCAGCCCTGTTCAGGATCCATCCTTGCTCTCTGGGAGTTTCTAAAACCATTGTGTGTTGCAGATGGCTGCTTGGCTTGGCAGAATGGGGGGTGGGGGAAGAGAGAGAGATTCTAGACTCTCACTTTCAGTCCATGGCTGCATCGTTCACTCATGCTATGAGCAACTTGACTTTCTGGCCCTCTTGCAAGCTATCCTCCCCCTGTGCACTTACTTGCTGTTTTGTGATGGTTCCCCAGTTCCAGCTGCTGTGGTTCCTAAGGACACTGAGAAGAAAGGGAGGGCACTATAAACCTTAGAAATGGGGGCAAGCAGTCCAAAAGGAGAGGCCCCTGGTTTTTATAGATCAATAAAAAAGCTAGTCATGAGCATGGGATGGACAGTCAGAGGTGTGGCCTAAACTAGGACGTGGAAAGGTTGGAAGTGTTTAGAGCATTGCTGTGTCTGTCCCCAGAAGCTGAGTGGGTTCTTTGGGGGCTTGCAGTTTCTTACACATCTGGCTGGGATATACTTCTACCCCTGATGGACTCTTTTGTCTAGTGGCTGAATTTCTTCTTTTTGTCCCCAGCGACTGAGAGCTCAGAATCCTCCTCCCAATGCATGTCCAGGAGCGGCTCCAGTGGTTCCGACAGTGGCTGCGTATCCAGCGCTCCCCAGGAGAGCTTCTGTGAAGACCTTGGCTCACCCCTCCCCATCCCCGAAGGCTCTGCTTTTCCCTCCCCCACAGAGCAGAAAACCTGTTTCCCCAAAAGCCAGTACGTTTCAGCGGTAAGTGGACAGGACCTTGCCAATGTGCCCAAGAGATCCAGGCCATAGAATCACTAGTCCTCCCTGCCTTGCCCAGGGAACCTCAGCCCTGTCTGTGGCCTTGACACTCTATCCTTCCAACAGACCATGGGAAGCCAACTTGAGCCATTTCCGTAAAACAAAGTGTGTGAGGCCCCACTTTAGAAATCAGCAGTTGGGGTTGGGAGACTGGGAGTTTTCCTTAGTGGAATACAGGTGGCCCTTGGGATGCGGCTGAAGTATCAGTTCTCATCATTCTTGGCTGGAGTTGATGGGAGGTGGGTCCAGCTCCTGGGCTAGAGACTGGCAGGGTGGGGTGGGCAGGATCCTTGGTTTGTAGGTGCTTGTGGCACATGCTGCTCCTCTGGCCCACACTAAGCAGGATTGGGGGCGGCGGGGGGGGGGGGAGAGAGCCAGTCCTCCCTTTCACCATGGATCTATGTTCAAATCTCCCAGAGTCCCCTGATCATGGATGATGCTGTGTTGCAGGTCTAAACGCTGGTTTCCGTGATGTTTCTCAGGAGACAAGAAGAAGGAGCCTGTGTATGTCCCCACACAGCACCCAGGAGCCCATAATAGTAGTGGAGAATACTGAGCAATTAACTAGACTGGGCCACAGCACTGGACATGAAAATGCCTTTGTTTGTGTGACTGAATTGTGGAGTGAGTTGAGTGCCCCCAGTGCAGGTGTGAGTTCCTGCTGCCTTCTGCTGCTGTTTTACAAGGCAGCCCCAGTGAGCAGCAGCAGTGAAAGGTTTGGGCGCCATTGTTGAGGGAGGGGGTTTAGGGGGAGAGTTGTCAAGTTTTGGTGGTCCTGATGTGGCTACGGATAGAGAAACAACTGTACGTTGAGGGTATGGATCAGAGAGATAGATGCTGGCTGGTCACTTGTCTTTTTTTACAGTTGACTTGCTTTGTTCCACAAGCTGCACATTTAGGGGAAAAAAATTTTCAAAGGGCAGAATAAAGAAACAAAGTATTTATTTTGTTATCCAGGCCAGTTCTTTGTATAGGTTTGCCTGGTCTTGAGATAATTTATTTCCTTGTCCATACCACTAATTGCTTCATTAGCAGATTCCACAGGTGCCTCAGAGCCAAGTTGTCACTAAAAGAGTTGTTTCTTTCTGTTCATTGTTAGGAAACTAAATTAATCGACAGGGCAGCACTTACAGGGGGTGGGGGTCTGAATATGCAGTGGAATGAGGGGGTGAAATCCAGAGGCATCAGAATGGGCAATGACATTGCCGAGGGCAAGTAAGAGAAAAACATTTTAACATTTATTGAATTTTGCACAAAAAATAGTCCATGAACATAGAAAGCTAGCACAGCAGGTAAGAACCTAATCATAGAGTTTTCTTCCTGGTGTGCTAGATTTTAACCCGCAGGGGGCTTTCCCATTGGGGGAGCATTCTAAAATGGGAGTTCTCATTTGCTGTCTGAAGTGTTATATCTTATTCTGCTTCATGTGTAGACCAAGCTGTTAAGCATTTCTGAACCTCCAGCTGGGATCCGACCCAAGGGACAGTGGTCAGCCTCCTTTGACTTAAGGGGAAATAATGCACTTGAGTTCACAGTGATCTGCCTGCCAAGGCAAGTCAGGAACAGGTCATTGCTAGTAGAGGCAGTTCTAAGCCATTTCTGCCAACCTAGCTGAGGAAGTACTGGCAATTTTCTGAACCTCAAGCATCTGGAAGCCAGGCAGTACTGAAATTGTGTGCCACACAGTTCTCTGCTGTTGTGCTTCTGCTTCTGGCTTTAGTCCACAAGTGCCTCTTCCTTGCCTCCCATTTACTACCCATATTCCCATTTCATTCTAAAACCCATGAGCTGTAAATATAACCCCTATTTTACATTTATTTAATGAACTGAATTTATTCAGCCCACTCCCCACAAAGAATGGAATACCAATGCTCTTTGGTAGAATATCACCTGCAGCACACCTGGAAAGGGATGACTTTAGAAACTTCCAAGTAATGTTTCTTGATTAATATAACTTTGACTTTTATAAACAAAGTGTTTCCCAGAAAACTGGAGGAAGCCTGGGATCAATTTTGGATGAATCAGTATCTGGAATTACTTGTGCTGGGCAGTTTTTTTCATTGCTGGAAAAAAATCCTTAATGTATGCCTGCCTGGCACCAATGTTATGTTCAAAGTTTGACTGAATTACTTAATAAAAGTTGTTTCTTACAGTACATTTTAGCTTGATTGCATGTGATCATTTCTAAGAGCTTTTGACTATTGTCATCACAAGATCTGACTAATTTTGCTTTTGCAATTCCATATGGGTAGAGATATTTTGACATTATGAAAGCATCTGTACAATAGAGGAAGAACAGCATTTTAAACTCAACTCTTTATTTTTTATGTGAACTGAAAGGAAAGTGAAGTGGCTTTGCTCAAGTTTAAGTGGTTTTGAGTCTGCTGACGTGTGATATAAAAATTAATTTAGCCCAATAAGGTTGATGGCTGTTCATCAACACACACGAAAGGCTGAGCAAAACTATTTCCCCTCCCTAAGTTTGCATAAACAAAATGGGAAAGAGAGCGAGAGGAAAATATTTTGAAACATCCTTCCCTGCCTTGCTCCTGCTCCTCAGTACTTCAAACCCAGGTTGACTGGGCAGCAGCAAAAATAGGTATCACAGGTTGGCTGTAGGGAGGCTTCTCTGAAAGTGCAATTATTATGAAACATCATCTTTATTATATTATCATATTTAAACTCTGCAAATAATAAATGCAGTGTTAAAAAAACATATCAGAGCCCTGCCTGGACCGTTCCTTTCAGTTGATTCTCTAATACCCTTACAAAACCATCTATGGAAGTAGCTTATGCAGCAGGAGCCAGGATTTCTGCCAGTGGGTGGCTTGGGTTGGACTGATGTGAAGGGGTGTGGGGAAGAGAGAGAAGAAAAGGCACACCTATCCACTCTGAGAAGATGCTTCAGCTGCAACCCTTCCGTACACACTGGGAGTAAGTCCCATTACAATCAGCTGAACTTACTTCCGAGTAAGTTCCTTTCCCTTCCTTTTCCAACAAGCCTTTCAAGAGAACATTTTTATCCCAGTCTGCACATGCATTGGACCTGAACTTCTTTCTTATATAGGTATTTATGGGTGGTGTTTTTATTGTTCAATCATTTCAGGAGTGATCCATTAATGAAATAAATATAGACACTGAACACAGCAAGCCAGCAAATTCATTACAATACCATGTGTATTGCCTATAAAAGTGAAAAGGAAATTCCAGAGTAAAGCCCTTGTGTGAAAAGTGTGTATGTGTCGTAATCAGTCCAGCTAGAAAGACACCCAAACAGGTGGCCAGTTGTGACATCAGGCCAAGTGTGCTGCAGCTCTGCCCTGTAAGACCATCAAGGGGACAGGCCAGAGCAGGGATGTTGAAAGAGACTCCACCATGAGGCCCTACCTGTGCCTTGGAAGGCTCCCATGAAGCAGGAGAAGCCAGAGGGGTGCAGGTGGCCTCTTTGCAGCAGCAGGCTCACTCAGGCAAGAGAGCAAGTTGCCCCTTATTGAGGAAATATGGGACTTGGGGGCTTGCTAGAGGGATGCTGTCTGCCCTACATCCTGCTGCAAGTAGGAGGGGAGAACTTATACGCTGTCTCTTTTGGGCCCCTTTCACACATTACACAGAGCAACTCACTAAGGTAGCAGAATTCAGAACTGTATCACTTCAGACAGCAGCGCAGGCAAATGAAGGCCCCTGCTCTGTGGGCAGAGAATTTAGCACTTCTCCCTGTGTGCCACTTTAATACACCCCACTAAGTTTCTACATGGCTCCTGTTGCCTGTTAAATAGATACACATGAAGGGAGCAGCCGATTTATCTGGACGGTGGAAACAAAGGATTTCAGTTTTATTAAGGTTTCTGTAAATATTTCCCTATGACAAAATGAGAGAGTGATTGAAAGTAACCTTTTTTTATCAGCAGGTCAATGCAGCAACTGTACTTCCAGGCAAATGGCAGAGTAAACTGAAAGGGAAAAACAAATAGGCTAGCAACAGCTCAAGGAGTGGCAATGACATTCTCCCTTCAGGGCTTTGTTGTTGAACCAGCTGCCAAACACTCAGAGCTGAAGCAGAGGCGCTTTCAGGGTAGTGCGACTGGTTCAGCCATGCTGCAGGGGGCGCCACAACAATGCTGTAGAACAGAGCGTGAGAGGTGGGGGGTCAGCAATTTTTAGTGTCACACAGGGTGTCACTGAAATTTGAGAGCCCAAAGTCCATCACTGGCTGAAGTGTGTGTGTCCAGATAGAAGGCCACCCAAACTCAGGAGACACATGCTTAAAATTTAGAAGTTACTCCCTCCACTGCCAGTCAGGATTAAAGATGGACTCGGGCATGAAAAGGTTGAATGCAATTTAGTAATTGTGCGCAAACATCTTCAATGAGGTACAAATCCAAGGTGATTCCCTTTGCTTCAGAGGTATTCAGACTCCCTGAGAATCAAAAGTTATTCCAAAACAGTCTGTGGCAAAGCAAACCGGTCCCCCAAGCATCAGAACCACCTCAAAGCCTTGGAAGGGTGTTTTTACTTCCCATCCAACTAATCTGATACATTTTGTACCTCAACGTCTGCAAAAATGGGAAATGCTAGAGAGGGTGGAGGGGTGAGGGAGAGGAGTCGATATGCAGTTCTGTTTTGAATTGGGAAATGCTTTTACTGGAGCTATTTTTTACTTCCAATCGCAAGTGCTTTTGGGAGGGTCACAGAAGAAACAGATCTCAAGCCGTTTCTCTGCTCTTTGTGGCTGGCTCTGGCAGCATTCAAGGGCCCTGTGGCTCCAAGAACAGCTTGAGGATCACAACTAACAGGGAGATGGTATCTGTCCCCACTTTCTGAACCAATGTCTGCCCTCCACAGCATCTCCCCAGGAACACTGGTTAGTGGACAAGAGAGGTGTACCCAGGATAGCTTGGCCAGGTCCTCCTGACACTCCTAGATGTGGATGGTCCAGCAGAACAACGGGCTTACTGGCCACCTTCTCCACCTGTTCCACTAGCTAGCGCACGGTGGTCCAGCACGCAGCCCTTGAGGCTTTTTTTGGTGGCTCTCAGCAACATTTGACACACACACATACCAGCCCTCATGCCACCTTCCCAAAACCAGGTAAGCAAGGCACTGGGCTTTGAGGAGGAGGCATGAGGGCCCCATAGGGTAAAGGGATCCTTAAAAAAAGGAAACTTTACAGGTTCCCTGTTGGGTGTAGTGAAGGGTTAACCTTCTATGCCTCGTGCTTGAGGGGACGGGCTTACAAGGGAAGTAAGCCAGGACGTGAGGTAAACAGCTTGGTATGCTGTGAACTGAGTGGAAATCGAAAGCATTCAGTTCAGCTGCTGCAAGGAGAGAGAGAGGAGGCAGAGAAAATGCAGCTACAGACTGATGGCTGTTGTGGACTGTAAATACGCTATTTTGTTTCCAATAAAGAGATATTGGGATAGAAGAAACGTCTGGACTTATTTACTGCCCTTTCGACACACATACGCTGTGTAATTCTGCTAATTGCTTTACGACCGCTCCAAAGCCACACTGCGTAAACAGAAGCTACAGAGGCCCGCAGGGGAAGCGTGGCTGGGTGCCAAACAATAAAGCAATAAATCTATCGAACATTCCCCTTGCCAAAATAAAAAACCCTGCACCCATTTACCTGACATTTAGACTTTCAAATTTCATCCAATTCTTCTAAGAAATAAAAGTGACAGACATTTGTTGATGCTGTCTTTTAAAGAACACTCACAGTAGAAAGTAAGCACTCCGTAAAAGTGAAATCCTGAACCAATTTGGCAGAGTTCATATCCTCAGAAGGAGCTCCTGTGCCTGCAAATTTCACTCAGCTCTGCTCAAACATTAACCTGTTATCCAAGCTGACACTGTGGGTTCTAAGGCTCTCCCTCCCTCCCCACCCCAGCCCTTCTGTTCAATCAAATGGAGGAAGTCACAAAGCAAGCAGCAAGAGCCTGGTCTTTCTGGGTCAGCAGCAGTCCCTGTCCTCCACTACAAAAGGAAGCAAATCAATAGTTCGCACTTACTTCAATCCATTTCAGCAACTTCTCACAAGCATGACTATCTGCTTTAAAGGGCGCCACATTCAGCAAGTCAGCCACAAACTCCTTAGCTGTGATCTCTAGGCTCTGCAAGATATGAGGGCACACAGCAACCATTTTCCAGAGCCAACTGCATAGAAGAGCAGTTAGCAGGATTGTGAGGAAGGGGGGGAGGTGAAGGACCAGGACCAGGCAGGCAGGAATGGCTGCAGGATTCTCTTCCGCAGAAACCTTAGAAGAAGGGAGACATGAGGGCAGGGCAAAGCTTATTGCCTTTTGGTGGTCTCCAAACATTCCCAGAGCTCACAGTCAAGCTGTTAGACTAGGAAGGAGGTCTCAGCAGGTGACATGCCCTAGGCGAGCAGAGCTTGTGCCAAGAGACCACATGGTTTCGGGATTGGCACCCAAGACCTCTATAAGCCCAAGAGCAGCCATGTTGTCTTCTTACCCACAGCCTCTGCACAAGCAGCTCGACTTTGGCAGTCATTTTCTTGGGGTCCTTCTGCCTTATGGAATCCAAGATGACATCGGTGAGAAAGCAGTGGCACTTTCGGGCATAAAAAATCTCCTCTTGTGACAATGGAAAGCTCAGAAAGACAATATCTATAAGCGGAAAGAATTAGGGAGTGTCATCAACACCCATTTCTTTGCCAGACCTTCAGTGTCTCCCACAATCACCCTCTTGAGTACAAAAATGGCACCGCCTAGACTGATCTTGGTTTGGCTTTGGGGCATTTTGTTTCTGACTTGGTGGCACCACCTCCCATTGTTTCTGCCTGGCCCTGTAACTCAGTGTGGCCAAGGAGTCACATCCTTGGTTCACCACAGATCCAGCTAGTCACAGCACAATCCACAAGTATTCTAGTGCCACTGCAAAACTACCCAAGGCAAGTTGGAAACGTGAGGAAGCGGGGATCCTGTCAATTTTTATTTCTCTCAGTTTCTCAGTTTTAAATTCGGTTCTCTATATTTCCTTATCCGTTTGTAAAAAAATAAAATAAATAAAAATTCAACAGCATTGTAGTGTGAATTTCTCCCAATGTATACATTTCCCCCTAATATTTTTGCAAAGCAATTTTCCCTACTATAAAGCAAGTTTCTATGTTACTTTCATTTTTAACCAAAATATGCATTTAGGGAGCCATGTCTCATATTTTAGTCAAATCTTTGCATGGTGCTGCTGCTGTTGTGTCCTTCCTTAAATCAAACTGCAGCCCAGTCGTGGCTCCTGACCCACTGGTTGAAGACCATTCATCTAGCATAATCTGCCTGAAGACAAAGCTGTCTTACTCAGCAACCCACACTGCTGACTGATGCCAACAATCCAACCATGTGAGCATCCAGAAGAGAGCAACTGCAGCAGCATATGGGGCCTAGCAGAGCAGGTCACTCTCATGGGACTTAAGCAAGATGCAAGTTCCATGACATTCACTAACCAAACTGCCCAAGAAGAAAATCCCAGATACACTGAATAGTCTCACCAAATTGTATTATTGGACACAACTCTATACAGCTCAGAGCTAGTCTCTACTTGTAGCATTATTTGATGTTCAAGAAGCACCATTACCCCACTGAAATACAATAGAAAATGCCTTCACAATATAACCATATTTTTTTCTTGAACTCAACAGGGCAAGATCTTTGTTACGGGAATGGTTCCAAGAGTGGGAGCTTCTTGCCAAAATATACAGTAATTTCTCATTTTGCAAGGAGAAATAGTGAAGATTCTGGGTACAGAATCGGGGGGTTCAGCCCTGCCCCTTCTTTATATCTCCTTCCCATGCCCAGTACCTTTGGCCATGGGGTGTGCTAGGCCACTGGCTACTTTCATGTCCTCCAGGTGTGTGCTGTAGAGAATGCTGCTTTCATGAGATGAGCAGGAACCATCACAAGCCACAATCGGAGGATGCTCCACTTTAAGAATCAAGCCAGTGTCCCCATGGGGCTCATCCATGATAGCACTGCTGCTTTGTTCAGGGAGTGTCCCTGGGCAGAAATGGGTAAAAATTGTTAACATGACATATGTATTGGCATATAAAGAGTTATCAGATGTTGCATCCTGACTTGCATCTACCAATGGAATTTAGGAAGTCGTATTAGACATGGAAGGCAAAGAGGCACCATTCTGTGGCCAGTTCTACACTCCATGTATGCCACAGCATGTGCACACCTCTCTCACATTCTCTCTTATTCACTTTTTCCCAAATTAAAAAGTGCCAGGTATGTAACTCTTCTCATAGGACAGTTGCTCCATCCCTTTTACCTTTTTGGTACCTTTCCCAGTGCTTCAATATACTTTTTGAGGTGTGACCAGAACTATACACACTAAGCCCATGGTGGTTTCACCATGAAATTGTACAATGGCATTATGATATTTGGTAGTTTTATTCTCAATCCCTTTCCTTATCATCTCTAACGTGGAATTTGCCTTTTTCCACAGCTGCTATACACTGAATCAACACCTTCATCAAGCTGTCTACTACAACTTCAAGGTCTCATTCTTCATCAGTGACCCCCAGTTTTGGTTCTATTTGAGCATAAGTGAAATTAAGGTGGGGGTGTTGATCCCACATGCATCAATTTACACTTGTTTTTAATTTCCTTTGCCATTTTATTGCCCATTCACTCAGTTTTGGGGTTAGGCTAAGCTTATTTATGAATTGGTTTCCTTTTACAGCTCCTCTCAAGCCTCTTCTATTCTAACACTTTGAACAATTTGGTACCACCAGCAAACTTGGCAACCTCACTGTTCATCCCTAACTCTAGAGTGAACAAAGTAAAACACACAACCCCCAGTCACAATCCTTGGTGGAGCCCACTTTCTACATCCCTCCATTGGGAGGCCTATCCATTTAGTCCTCCTCTCAGCTTCCTATTTCTTAACCAGTTACTGATCCATAAGAGGACCTCTCTTTGGGAACAGCTGACTTGAGAGACCATCTTGCCCCTCATAGCGGCCCAGCATAGAGGCACTATGAAGGGCACCACATGATGTTTTCACAGGGAACTCAGTGTGTCTGCACCTTGGCCTGGAGCTCCTTGCCTATTCATATTAAGCAGGCATCATCAGTAGTTTCTTTCAATTGCCTACTTAAGGCACACCTGTTCACACAGGCCTTTATTTATGCTTCACCATCCAATTCTTGACTCTTTTTATGCTGTTTGATGGGTGTGTTACATTCTTCATTGTATGAGATAAAAGCCCCTAAAATAAATAAATATGAAGCTATTCAGATATGAATAGCCCAGTCCTGAACAATTCAAGCAACTTTTCACGGCAAAGTATCAGCTAAATAAGCCCTCTATGGCAACCGTGGAGCTTGCATGAACTTGCAGAAGCCTGGGAACAAGCAGAAGAACAACTGACGAAATAGCTAACCTTCCTCTTTCTGCATACAAACGCTAGAGACTTAATCCCTTAAAGATCCCTGCAACCAGTTCATGGAACTCCGTAAGCAATTAAAGAACAGATCCTGCCCAAGTGGGTTTTCGAATCAGCAACATCACAGACTTGCAGCTTCTACCTCTAATTGTTAAACACGGAGCAACAATCATGAAGATTTTCCCCTTAGATGCTCCTTGCAGGAGGAGAAGTTAATCACTGTTTTCCTCTTTCGTTTTTTCTTTTTATAGCACTGATTTCTGTCACTTGTATTCCAGTCTTCATCCAGCCTATTTCATCAACCACAGCTCTTCAGTACCAGGGAGTGGTCTCTACAGTGCCAAAGAGGACCTTTTGGAACAATTGTGTCAAAGGCCCCAGTCATTTCACTGTTCCACAATGAAACAAGAGCCTCAATGGGATCACTTGCTCTATCCAATGAAAAATCTGCTAAAGCCATCAGCCTCTAAGGGTGGACCAGCAGAGGTCCCCCACCGCTGAAGACAGGAGTAATCATTGCAAGACCAAACGTCACCAGGAAGTGACCTGATCACGACAGTGAGATAATATCCACCCCACCTGCTTCTACACCAACCCCTCTCCATCATGAATAAAGAGGTGATTGATCACTAACACCACATCTCTGCTGAACAAGAAGCCATTATGTATAGGCAGAAGGGGCAAGGAGAAAGGAAAGGTCCCAGCACCCCCTGCTGGGGGGGGGGGGGAGAGGAGGGCACTCCTTGTTCCTGACATCCTCAGAGAGCGCTAATTTACAAGCAGCAAATTCAGGTGTTCACTCACCTTTCTCTCTCTCTTTCTGGCCACTCAATTCCTTGGCTGCAACATTTTCAGCCACTGAAGAAACCTCCTCAGAAATGCTTTGTCTTCCAATCTTGACAAGCCACGCCTCAGAAGCCGGGATGCCCAGCAGGCACTGCCCAGCTTTCGGCAGCTGCCCATTACTTGTGAGCTCAGGACTGGTGACCCCAAAGCAAGTGGCTGGTGGGAAATTACAAGGTACTCTCCTTTCAGGCTCTTCAGCCACTTTGACACCATTGGATGTTCCCACCTGCTGGGCTTCACTGCACCGATAGTTCGCCATATCCCATCCCTGCACTAGGGAAATGAGCTTCTGGATGGGAGTGTCTCTGTTTTCCGGTTTTTTGCTTAAATTGCCTTTTGCTCCTCTTTTCCTTTCAGGCTGTCTGAAACAGCAGGAACTGTCCCACCCATCTGTGGACTGGCTATATCCATCCCAGTTATTTCTTCGCTTTGATCCCTTGGTTGGGGAAATGTGGGGGGACTTTTCATTCACTCTGTCTCTTTCTTCCAGGTCTTGTGTATTTCTAGATATATTCCAGCTATTGGCACATTGATCTAAATCCACAGCAATATAGGAGTGCTAAAAAAGAAAAGAAAAGAAAAGGGAAATTTTCCATTAAAATTCTAAGATAGAGTGTAATTTGGCAGTGTCAATGTATCCTGTTTTCCAACTGCTTTAATATCAGAGTTCCCTTAGAAGCAATATAACAGGATTCTGTTATAATTTTATGAGGTGTGGCAGCTTTGTATCTTTGGAGGGTGAATAATAAATTGGGCTCTTTGAGAAATGCTGAGGATTATAGAACCTTCCAGAAATGATTGGGAGAAAGTTAAGACAGTTAAACATTAGAGGTTTGTAAGGTAGACTCATTCTAAACCACAGGGATGACTGCCAACTTGGACGGCCTTAAAAGAGGGTTAGACAAATTCATGGAGGGTAAGGCTATCAATGGCTACTAGCCACAATGGTCATGCTCTGCCTCCGTGGATGGAGGTAGGTTTGTTTCTGAATGCCAATTACTGGAAACCATTGGAGGGGCGAGTGCTCTTGTACTTGGGTCCTGCTTGTGGGTTTCTTACAGGCATCTGGTTGGCCACAGTGGGAGCAGGAAGCCAGACCAGATCCAGATCCAGCAGGCTCTTCTTATGTTCTTAATGATAACATTGAGTGAAGAATAACCTTACATTTTGAGGCTCTTCACCAGACTCTTGTTCTTTCTCTGGCACTGCAATCTCAAGACTTCTAAATGGAAAAGCTGCTCTTTGAGCTTCCTGTTGTTGCACCCATAACCTGTAAATAAAACATTTCACATTACAAGAATCATCTGTGAAGTCAGCCATGGCTCTGGAGGTAGTGTGCCTGCCTCCGTATTTAAGAATATTGCCTGCATCTTCAAAATGTATTAAGATGTAGACATTGAAAAAATGGAGGGGGAAAGTAGAAATTTCAAGCAGTTTGTGAGCAAAAGCTAGAGGAAGAGGAGGAGGAGTTAGCTGTATCAGTTCCTGGAAAAATGAGACCTTGAGAACTTAGTGGATAGTTTGATGAAGATGTTGACCTAGTCTGCTTCAGCTGTGAAAATGATGTGTTCCATGCTAGGAATAATCAGAAAAGGATTTGGAAATAAAAGTGCTGATATTATAATGCCATGATCTAAGTCTATGGTGCAACTGAATTTGGAATACTGCGTACAGTTCTAGTGACTTCACCTCAAAAAAGTTATTGCAAAGTTGAGAAACGGGTGCAGCATTACTCCCCTACGAGGCAGGTTGTAATGTTTAAGACTTTTTAGTTTGGAGAAAAGGTGAGTAAAAGGCAACATAATAGAAGTTTATAAAATTAGGCATGTCATGAAAATTTTGTGTCAATACTGTGTATTTTTAGCAGTAATTTGTTTTAATTTGTCCTGTGAGCTGCCTTGGGTCCTATACTGCAAGAAAGGTGGAATATGAATTACATAGATCAAGAAATCTCTCCTCCGAAACCTCCTCATTGTACTGATGCCTTCTCATTCTTAAAAGCAGGGGGGTTTGCGCCTGACAGTGCTGATGCAACAAATATCCCATTCAGGAGGTTGGCCAGGGGGCGGGGTTGGATAAAAGACTGTTTCCTACCAAACTCCCCACCCCACCCCTGCTTAAAACTGCCTCCCAGCTGTTTACCATGAAGAGGGCATTCAGGGACAAACAACTATAGGGAAGGGGCTCATAGATGTGCTTTGGATTGCTGTAATTCTGGCCTATCGTCCACCCAGACCGAGTTCTCATGCCCCCTGAACATCACTGGTTGATACGTGATTTTTAAAAGATAAAGGAGAAAGAATCTGAGGATACCTGTATGTGTCATATTGATGAAGAGCCTCGACAAGAGAAGGGATCTGATACGCAGCCACTTCCTGGCACAGCAGAGACCATTCTCTGACAATTAGAAACAAAACTCAAGGCTTGTTTATGCAAATCAATTGTGCAGAGAGCCCTGTCAAACTTTGTAAAAACATTATTGGCAATAAACAAGACTGTGCAACTCAAATACATGTGCTCTAAAAAGCGTGTTGAAGCTCATGTCTTAAAATATCAGGGTGGCACATGTTCCCTCAAGAGCTAACAGGTTTCTCCTCCTTACACTCTGCTGCAAACTCAAACCAAATCTTGGGTGTGAGTCAAAATGGAACATTGGCTATTTACTGTGAAGGTCCGCACTGGCCCAATGTGTTGTTATATCTTCCACCCACTACCCAGATCAGGCGGGATCACATGATACAGCTGAAGAGACTTGAGCAAACAGAGATTCCTTTGTAGTGCCAAGCTGGAAGCAGAGTAGATGGAAACTGGCACCTCCACAGGACAGCACTACATGTATCCCTCACACGGCACCAGAATATGGAGTTTTATGGGAAGTAGCCAGCATTCCACTCTCTGTCTAATAGGAAGGAGGCATCCAGGTGGGACATGCCTAGGCCAATTTCCCTTGATGGGTAGCACTGAATGGTGACTGTGAGTTTAAGATTGCTGGAGGACTTGCTGCAGCCCCTCTAGCCAAAGGCCACTTCTGCCAAAGCATAAACTTCCAATTGACAAAGCCCACGTGGCTGTCCTGCATTGGTGGAGAAGGCTGCATTAATCATGAGCTGACCATGTTAGGAACACAGGAAATGGCAACCATTTCACTTACTTAAATTCAGAAGGCAAGAAGAGTTTGCCAAATCTAAGGAAGTTGAGGATGTGTCGAAAAATTTGTCCATCTCCGTGGATGAGGAGAGCCTGACCGTAAGTAATCCAATACACCTTTTTGCTATTTGACAGCAGCTCTGGAAACTGGCAAAAAACAAAACCAATGCCATAAAGAAGAACAGAAGCACAACCTGTCTGAAAGAGAAAGCAGCCCTCTTTTGCCCACACTCACCCACAATGATACAACCCTTACAACTTTTCTACTCCACAAGGAAAATGTATTATTATAGGTTCTGGGTGCCAGAGTTTGTGGGCGGAAGCCACTCATAACTCTTGGATTTAGTAAAAGTTACAATTAATCAAAGTTTGATTAAACTGGGCCAAACAAGGAAACCCTGGATTTAGTTAGGCTAATGAGCCAGGCTGAGCCATTAACCTATTAAGAAGCCCAATAACACGCACACTCTGGGCCAGACAGAAATTGGTGAAAGCCTCTCCTTGAGCTGAGATATAGCAGAGACAAAAGTCCAGAGTTTCAGGAGGGAGGGGCAGAAATGCTGTGAGCAATGAGGTAAGTGAACAGGAAAAGTATCCCTTTTGCAAGCTGAGGCAGCAGGGATGGGTATGCTAGACCATGAGGCAAGCAGTCCATTTTATGCTGCAGAGAAGGTCAGACAGGATGTTGGAGTCTCTTGGAATATGAGGCTGCAGCAATGGGAAGAACAGGAACCTCTTGGGATATGAATGTTCTGTGCTCTCTCGGTCTAGACACAGGTTGTATATATGTGTAAATAAACCATGCACTGTAGAGGTGTGAATTACCTTCAGTTTGTGTGCTAGTCTGTAACACTATTATCAAGTATGTCTGCAAAGTCCCAGGTTCAATCTCCAGGATATCCAGTTAAGGAGTATTTGTATGCCATGAAGCTTTCTTCCTTGTAGCTTTCTCTGGCTGTCTCTCCAGAACTATCTCAGGCAGAGAAGAGGCTTCGCTCATCACCAGTTAATTAACCCTTTAAACTGAAGATGGTGGAGACTAAACCTGAAGCACTGGAAAGCTGCTGGGAAAGTAAAGAGCACCAAGCCAAGCGGGCCAATGATCTGACTTGGGATAAGGCAGCTTCAGGTGTTCATATGAACTATTCCACTAGGATGTAGGGAGGGGGACATGTTAACAGATTCCTGCCCATAGAAAGCAAGCATGTGACAAGGTGAGCTCAGAACTTTTCATGCCAAAACGCTAGCAGAAATGAAGTTTAGTGCCACCTCCTACAAGCATGCTGATACAGTTCAGTGCAAGCACCTCAATACTCTTAGGAAATTGGCCTGAAGGTTCAGACTATCAAAAGGCAAGAAAGGCAATGTAACACGTTCTTAAGAACTGTACCTTCAGTAATGTTTGCAAGTAAGTTGCGTACCAGTGACTTCCTACATACACTTTGACAATATGATGGAGTGAAAAGACTGTTAGTCCTGCTGCCCAGCCTGCATGTGAAAGAGAAACAGTATGCAATTTTAAAGGCATTGCTGCTTTTGTCAATGTGGTGAACAGCCTTGATCCACAAAATCCCTCCCTATCGCAAGCTCATATACAAATGTTTTGCCCATGCAAGGAGCAGCAGATAATCTACTGAACTTGAAAAGCAAGTTTCCCCTCCATTTGCCCTTAGAGCAGGGCAGTTTTCAGCTGACCCATGGGGAATGACAGCAATACCAGCCTACAGCTCAGCATTCATGCACACATATCGCCAATTACTCAACATAATGTCATTTTTTGCTCACTTCTATTAATGCTTACAAAGACTCCTTTGCAGTCGCAGGTCAAAATTTGCTCTAGTCTTACTTCAGTACACTGTGGCAGAAAGTTTATAACTAGAGTGGGGAATTAGATCTAGCCAGTGGGCCTGATTCCTAATTCTACCACTGTGGACCAATTTTGACAGCAGTAAATCACCTGACATTAGGTGTCTGCCACCTGCCAAAGTTCAAAGAAGGTCACTGTAACCACCAATCAGCTGTGAGAATGCATTCAGAGGGGCTCGCTGTAACCACTGATCAGTAGTTACAGGGAGCCTCTTTGAACAAAATCCAAATGGAACATTTTTTCCTCTGCTTGTGGGCTTCCTAGAAGCATCTACTTGCCCATTGCGAGAAAAAGATGTGAGATTAGATGCATCTTTGGTCTGATCCAGCAGGGTTCTTATGTGTAGAAAGTTGCTGCATATATATGCACAATAACTTCAGTTTAATCGTCACAGTTGCCAGCTATCACTTACATCACTTGCAGACAGTGGTGGATCTTCAAGCTCTGGCGGGGCGGGCGGTGGAGAGCAGGTGGGGGCATGGCTGGCACGCGTCCCGGGGGCATGGCCCACTGCCCACTGCCCGCAGGGGCGTGGCGTGCTGCCTGCGGGGGTGTGGCGCCCAGCACAGGGTGGGAGCAGCCACAATGGCACCCCACCAGGATCATGCCACCAGGGGTGGTGCACTCCCCCCGCACCCCTGTTCCTCTGCCAGTGCTTACAGACAGTCCACTAAAGTCCCTACTTAGGTTGCTGTTTTTTGCAGATTATCTGAGGTTACTTGTACACTGCAATAATCAGATTATGCTGAAGTGTGCATGTTCTTGGATATAATGCATATTGCTCAGAGAATGTATAATAGCGCTCAAGATATGCACAAAACATGCAGTGTACACAATTCTGCTAAAATATGCACTTTCTTTGATGTGTCTTGGAGGTTATGCATATCACCTGGAGAATGTGCCAAATGCTGACAAGATACACATATTCTCCGAGGCCTCTTGGAGAATATGCAGTGGTTTATTTTTAAGCATTGGGGTATGCTCAGGCACACACCGGCAGACTGAATTCACATCCCTACAGTTACATGCAGTTATATACTTTTGTGTGGAATTCTGATTGTGCCGCTATAATTGTAAATCAGAGTATTCTGGACATAAAATGCAATGATATTCCTTATAAAGATGTTTGCAATGTTGGTGACAATAAACACATTGTGGGGAATGACTACTTATTTTGTAACAACCATTGGTTCAAACTTAACGTTTCATATTCTGCTCTTTTATAGCTTCAATATTCCATGTTGTTCATTACTAAAAAGACATTGTTCCCTCCCTTAAAACTCAATAAGAAGGGTCAAACTAGGAACAGCTGACTTACCTTTTCCCACAGTTTCTAAAGGTGCCTTTTGTTTTAGAAAAGTTTTCAAGGCATCCTTCATTGGCTCATATATGATATCCATTTGATCCAAATAGGCACAGAGTTCAGGAAGCTCAGACATCTTCCGTATAAGTGGGAGTCTGCAAGTGCCTAACCAATTCCTTTGGATAAAAAGGGGAATAGACTTAGAAAAAATTACTTTATCTATTTTTGCATTTTTAAAAAAATGTGATTTCTTTCCTACTATTTTGGCTACACATGGATTCTCTCCACCACCACCCCAACTCCCATTTTATTTAAATCAGATTCATTAGACAACTAAGAGAAACTTCAGTGTGCCTAAAACCTTCAATTGCAATTGTGCACCTGAAGAACAGTAATTAAGGCTGGTGGAATGCAAACATGGTCAAGAATCAACCATCAAAGTACACAAAAGTAAAACCAAATAGGTGTATGGTCAAATGTATTAAGATCAAAGCATTTCCCTACATATTTTGAAGCCACCAATGATTCCCCTTTTTTCTAGGAGCACAGCAATTGCTCAAAGACCCAGTCATGCTCTTTTCAATTGAGAAGCTCCTCTCTTTTGAGTTTGAGCATAGTGCAAGGTCAATTATCCCACCTCACCCCAGTGGTCTTAGGCACACTGACAGCTAATTGGTTCTGCTTTGGTGCAAAAAGACATACATTACATGTTGAAAGAGAACTCCGTTCCCGGATATATAGAGCTTGTTCCCATCCAGGGTACTCTCCATGTGAAGCTGCCCCAGAGCAGAGTCAGGATATTTGACCAAGAGACCAAGCGCCATTGGGAACAAAGGGAGACTTGCTGCTTCCTGAACAGCTTGCGGCTTCTTCATGGTGCTTTTCACATTGCCTTGAAGGTCAGCTGTTCCCTCTGAGTAGATTCCTAAAAGGGAAATGTACAAATGAGAAATGAACAATTAAGAATCCTGATTATATTTTATCTCTCTTGACTTTCTAATCCAATGAAAGTCCCATGGCCCAATCCCCATTTTATTTTGAAATCTATTAATATAGAGATGAGTTACACTGAAAGATGCAATTAAGAACCACACCAGGGTTCGTCCTGTAGGTCTTCACTGCTTCTGTGACTTCGGGGATCCCCAGTGCCTCAGCCTCAGCCTCCAGAGCATCCATGTTGGAGAAGTTGTCGGGCAAAAGCATCTTCTCTGAGCGAAGAAAATTAGCTAGAAATTATAAAATGAAAAACACAAAGATAAGCCCAGAGTGTAGCAAGACCTCAACCCTATTCTCTGAACCTGCTGCCATAGGTACTAGCAGAACACAGTGCCACCCACCCCCAGTTCATAGAGTTGGTCCAGGAGGATACTGTGGTCAACAATAATTGAAAGCCGCTGAAAGTTCTAGCAAAAGCAACAGGGTTGCACTCCCATTCTCTTGAAGGTTTCCCATCAGGGCACCAAGACCAAAACCAGACCTGAACCCACATCCTACTCCCACATATTCCACTTGCCCCAACCCTTCAAACATGACCTGTGGTTCTGAGACTGCCTCCGGTAGCATATTAATAGTAGAAACAGTGTTATAATGATTTTTAAAATGAAATAGAAGGAAATATTTATTTGTTGCCTCCTCCTGCTGTTGTCTTCCTCAAGGAAAAGGCTTACCTATGAAGCGAAACTCGCTGCTTTCACATTCTATCAGCACAGCATTGTCAGACAGCCACAGCAAGTTGTCATCATTGACCAAGGAAGGATATTTTTCAACCATGTCTAGTGGCACAAAGCAGTAATGCACTTCTTCTTCAGTATCTAGCAACGGAGTGTCCATTAGTCCTAGGGGGACTTTCTCATGTAATCCTAATAGGGAGAAAAAGTGAATGTCAGCAAGGAGCTAGGAAGATCAGAGACAGCAGATAAAGGACTAGAAATCTGAATCCAGAGCCTGGGGTCACACACACCATACACTGAAAGCACATGGCTCCCCCCCCCAAATCCTAGAAATTGTAAGTTGAGCTAAAATTCCCAGCACCCTTTAACAAACTAGTTTCCAGGATTCTTTGGGGGAAGCAATGTGCTTTCAGTTTTTGATGTGAGTGTGACCGCAGTCTGCACCCGACATCCCATGCAAATAGCACCAGCTGTTGCAGCTGATAATCACTAGGAATCCCAGCAGGCTAGGAAGCAAGCTTAACCTTTTCTCCTTGCTGTAGTCCTGTGGAAAAATCCTCATCTGAAGCTGGTATTTGTAACTGAGAAGAAATTCTCCACTGGTGCAAGCAGGGGAGCAAAAATTCCAACTGCTAAGATCAAGCTCATGATAATCTGTGCTGGCTAATGCTATTTGCATTTTTTTTAGACCCGGCAAATTAAATACAAAGAAATAGTTGACCTCACATGGTTGTTGATCTTCAGCAAGCTTTGGGATTATCTATGCCAAAATATTAGCCTGGGTCATTGTTAATTAATTAATTTATTTAATAAAATTTATACACCATTTAATTTAAACAAAACTCATAATACAGTTTACAAATCTGAAGTATATTTAATGGGTATAAACTCAATAAAGGGAATAGTGAAATCTTAGTAAATGTGACAAAGGAATTAAAAATGAAGGGAAATAAAGCTGTGGCACCTCTCAGAAGGGCACCACTGCCATTCTAAGAGAACAAGGCAGAAGTTCATTGTGAGAAGTTCATTCTAGAAAAATAGCACTGGTTATTATAATATCATTCACATATATATATATGTATATATATATGTATCACACACATTTTCTCTCTCCTTTCTTATTACATAGGGGTATCTATGTTGGTTGTGGTATTGAGTAGTAGTAGTAGTAGTAATTATAATACAGAAATACATCATTTTTTTAAAAAAACCTGTCATCATTTTTCTACTAAAGTACCCAGGATGATGTACCTAGCTCGGTAAAATGTAGTAAAAATAAAATATAATATATAATATAAAAAAAGATTGAAAACAATTAAGAAAAGAAAGGCAATTAGTAGTAACAATTCAGCTGAAAAGACATCTGGGTAAATAAAACACTTGACTTTGCTCAATTACAGGAATATGTGCCAGTGACTCTAAGGCAGTATCTGTATAATGGACACAACTCTCTCTTGTCAATGAGCATCAACTTTCAGTTCAGCCTCCTACCTCTAGGGGGCAAAATGAATCTGGTCTTGTGCCTTGCTGCCTTTTATCATGCCTCTGGGACCAAAAGTGACAGGAACTTGGTTTCCGTTTGGTTTCTCAGGGGATGTTTCTCACAAAATTATACAAATTTGTATTGAGAGTTTTGTCACAAACAACTTAGCAGTGTGCATAAGTTCAACTGCTAATTTCTCTCCAGAGGACTTAAAAAACAAACAAACCACATTCAGCGCCTTCACGGGCATGCTACTTATCCTGTCATAACCCAGACGAGTGAAAAATAAAGCAAGCCTCATTCTAGAGCAAATGACCCAAGGGGCAGCACTCTAATTAATGTCAGGCAAAAGTTTATTAGGAGGAAGAACAGTGATTTGGAATGCAGCCAAACAATTAAACATCAACATCAACTCGTTTTATAATCCTACTGAGATATGTGATTGTAACTGAAAGTGAATGACTGTAATCTGCTCACCTAGCCACCTGGGGTTGCCTCCGAAGGTTTGGAAATGTACAGCTGCTAGGCTTAATTGGAATGAGTCATTGCAAGCATCTTGCACCACTAGTCCTCTCCTATAAAGCCCTTCTTGACGTAGGGCCAGGGTACTTGAATGATGGCCCGTCCCCTCACCTGCCTCTACACTTACATCTGCATTGGAGTTCCTTCACTGAGTCCCCCCATCATCTGAGATATGGCCAGTTGCTATCAGCAAATGGGCTGTTTCAGCAATGGCACCTGGTTTTGTTTTTAATTGTTTTTACTGAATATTTTCTTGGGTAACAAAAGTATATACAGTGTTTCAGCTTTCAGTTCATAGAGTCCTTTCTATGGATCAGTTACATTCGATGTGAAACACTAATAATGTTATAGACATTATGAACTGGTCCCGTCCCGTCCCCCCGCCCAGAGGCTCACTTGGAGACCACTCTGAAGTTGTTGTGCCACCAGGCAAAGGCTTCTTTGTTTTCCTAGGTGTTTATGCTTTTTGGTTGATGCTTTTATAGGGCTGCTGCTTTAAGCTTATATTAATGTATTCATGTGATGTGTTATTAAATATTATACTTTAGGTAGTCCTGTTGATGTATCTGAGGGGTGGGGAGATATAAATAAGCAATGACTGAGTTTGCTTGGAGTCCACGTCTCCTGGGCTTCACCCGCACTCCATTCACGGGATCATGTGGGCTGAATGAAGCCAGGGGAAGTTTATAAAAATTATCCAAGATGTTTGCTTATGATCACTACAATTGTCATTTTGGTCCTGTCTAACCTTAAGTAGTTGCTTACAATGGACTTTTACCAGTAAATGCTGGACTTTTAAGAGGAAATTCTGAAGGCTTGCTGATACATTTTCGTGTTCTCCAGTAATTCATAGATGCTCTTTCAGCTATTGGTATATCCGCAGGACGGACACGTAAATTATGTTTTCCTTCCTTCAAATTGTCTAAGGTCTGTTAAGACAGGCAAACATCTCTTAAGCATGCATTTTCATCATATTTAAACAAAATAATAGGAGTGTTAAAAGAGGAGGGCTGCAATACAGCATGGTGCGCATAGGATACTGTCCTTCGGCACTGCCATCAATGTTGTTTGCTTCAGTACAAAGTACAAATTGTAAGCAACATTGTAAGAGTTCCTAAGCAATGCAAAGCTTAAAGTTTTTAATAAGCCCGTGGTCATCATCATCAATGTAAGTGCTATTCTAAGCTATATGATGCTATTTTCAGGGTCATAAAGATGCTTCCCTTTGGCAAACCTTTTATGTGCTTCTGTTCCCTCATTAAGGAGGGACTAAGGAGGAAGAGGGAAGGTAGCTTCTCTCCCTTTTCCTGAGGTGGCATCTGGAGAGGCTCAGCTAGGGAGGCTTCAGAAAAACACAAGAGCCTTGCAGCTGGCTCAGCCCAGAGGGCTAGCACCCTATTTCCATAATGGCCAATCAGATGCCCCTATAGGGAGTCTGCAAGCAGAACCTGAGCTCAACAGCACTGCTCTCCCCACTTATGACTCCCAACAACAACTCAGGTCCTGCTTAGCTGTCCACTCCTCTTGTCATCCAAGTTGGTGGCCATCACCACATCTTGTGGGAGTGAGTTCCATAGTTTAACTATGCACTGTGTGAAGAAGGGAGTGATTGCAACAAACAGCATAACTGCTTATCAGCTCAGCAATGTAGGCAGTGGAACCAACTTATTTTTCTGTCTTCAGGAGAAGCCTAGGAGGAATCTGCCATAGATGTTTTTAATAAAGGGCAAGTCAGACCTGTGAAACCTAGCAAAGATAACCTATATCCTATTCAGAAGTGTAAATTACTGCCAACTCAGACAGTTCATGGCTGACCCATTATAACCTGCCATAAGGCTCATCCAGACTTCCTTTTGCACTGTGCATTCCAGGCACAGGTCCACACTTTAAAACACTGTGTCAGAACAGTTTATTTTAGTCCCAGCGCTTTATCTGGGAACACTCGCATTTTACCACTGAATTGGAGCAAATGGCAATACAGTATGTGGAAAACCTGATTACTGTACTGTTTGTTCCAATTCAGCGGTAAAACATGGGTTTTCCTGGGGAAAGTGCCAGAACAAAAAACAACAATGCTCAGACATGCAGCTTTAAAGTCCAGACTTGTGCCTAGAAACACAGCACAAAGGCAGTTTGGATGAGTCCTTAATGAGGGTACTGAGTAATTTAAGAAGGTGATGAATCAGTGTTGCTGTCCAATTCATTGTGTCTTGTAGGAAAAAAACAGCTTTAAGTAGCCCTGAAGCTCTTCATCAACCAGCTTGCACCCACATGTCTATGTGACAGGTCCCACCCACACCTGTTGATAGGCATCCTTCCCTCTCTACGTTCCCTGTGATGCCTCATCTGAGAACAAAGCCAACCTTTGGTCTTGGTGCCCCCATTTCATTGCCTGAAAGTGAGACAGGCAAGCAACTGAAGACTGAGGTGGGTCTTGTAAATCCTCATCACCTAGGTTTGGTTTAAAACACTGACACAGAAGGCACAATCCACTGAGAACTTTTCCTGCCCAGTCTATCCCCTTGAATGAAATGGAACTTATCTCATGCATAGAGGATGTAGAGCTAGAAGTGGAAAACTCAGGATGGGGAGGGATCATGCTCCATAGTACGCTTAGGACTTGCAGGGTCCTCTTCAGAGTCAGCAGGAAAGTGGGGAGGGTGATCCCACAACAGTCCCATTAGTGAAGCACGCATAAAGAGGCCTCCAGATGGGCCAAGCCAGGTATAAATAGCTTCTGCTTTGGCTTCTGCCTAGACAAGAGCAGAACTCCCAGTTTACTGTTCTCTTGGGCTTCTGTTTCCCTGGACTTCAGGCTCCTCAATCTAATTGCCTTTGCTCCATCTGCCTCAGTGCTTTGATTGCCTGCTTGAATACATAATTCAGATGTAACACTGAACCATGGCTTGGCATGAGGGAGGCCTCTCTCCTCTTGCATGCAGATTCCTTCTTTTGTATTCTGCTTGTCATTCATCACACTCTACCCAGACATGAAAATTGGCAAACCCAGTTAACACTAGCCACCAAACCAGGGTGTACAAACTCACATTGGGATTCAAATCATGAATGTGAAGAAAATTATTAGCTGTAGTTTGCCAGTCCAGAAGCCACAGCAGCTTATGGCTGGCAAAAAACAGGTAGTGGGAAAGAACCCAGTTGTAAGATGAAGCTGGGAGCACGTGAGTTCTCATGGAGCTCCCACATTCTAAACCCATGGTTAAGCCTAACTTGAGCTGTTGTTGCCTGCTTTGGCTTCTAATTCTGCCAAGGTTTCTGTACAACTGACACAGGCACTTGCTTTCCCAGCCAGACAGAGCTGAACAACCATCCCTATAAAGTGTTCCACAGTCCAAAAGGGACAATCCCAGGGCAGCCAGAGAAGAAACTACTGTTGTGAAAGTTGTCCCATTAAACTGGGCTCTAACTTATCAGCCTTTTGACAGCTTACATCTTATTTGGTCAATAGAGCATGTTCTCAACCACAGCCAGGAAAGGCAGTACCTGCAATAGTGGGGTCAGCTGCAAAAGCATGGCCTGCTCATACAGCAAATTCAGTTCAGCACAGCTGGAGAAGGACAGCTTGGAGGTGTGCAGGTAATAGTGGACATGCCTGAAGGTGTAACCATCTCTGTCAATGAACAGGCGCACGTTTTCATTCTGAGTCAAAGCCGAAACCTCTTTCCAGATCAGAGAGTCTGGAAACTGGGCGATTTTGCTTTTGGGGACTGAGAAGCACCAGCCTCCGACATTCAGGTGAATCAGCTCTTCCTCAGAAGATTCAGCTTCAGAAACTATTTCTGATTCTTCCTAATTGAAAGGTGGGGGAGAAATCAGTACAAGCTCAGAGCAGATCCTAAGCCTTTAAAATAACCACACCAGTGAATTCCCCTCCCCCACCCGCTCTTTTTAAATCTATATTAAAAAGAAGCATCTCCGATAATGCTTCGGATCCGAGGATGCTGTCGAGTGCGGGGCAAGGAAGGATGCATGCTCCCCAGCTGCACATGCTCAGAGACGCTCTTTCCTGGCGCTGAAAAAAGGGCGGAGAGCGCGCTCCGTGTGGGGGCGTGTATAGAGGGAGACCTCCCCCGCCCCCTGTCCCCAGCCCCGCACAGGGGGCCCATTTGGGGTTTCCGCGCTCTCTGCCCTGCTCTCCTGAGGGGATCCCCTTTACCATGTTGCTGGGCAGGCGGAGGGAGGGGCGGAGGACCATCCTGAGGGGACGGGGCAGAGCGCCCAGCAGGGCAAAGCAAAGGCCGGGCGACGGCGGCCGCTCAACGGCCTCCTTGGCTCGCGGCCTTCCGCCGCCGCCGCGCGGTGTTTGCCGGGGTTGCCAGGCAACGCGCGGCGGCCTCATGGCGGTGGCGGTGCCGCTGAGCGAGGCCTGGATTCGCCGGCAGCCGGCTCTGCGGGGGCTACAGCCAGGTACTGACCGCCAGCTAGCGAGAGGCCTGGCCGGGGGCGCGCGCGAAGGGGCCTCCTCGCTCGGTCTCCCCAAGGAGCGCCCCCCACCCCATCGCCGCCATGGGGCAGCCTCCCCGGCCGGGCGACCACGGCTACTTAGGCCCAGCCAAGCTCAAGCCTACTTCCAAGCCTCGCTGCTTCCAGAGTTAAGGGACCCTTCGGTCACCGGGTGTGGGCATTCTGCACATGCTCAGGGGCGCTCCTTTTCATAGTCTGGCACCGTCCACAACTTCATTAGAGCATTCGGACGTTTCCAGGGAAGGCTGGCCGGTCGGGAGGGTAGTGTGGGGTAGGAGGCATATGCGAAACAGAACTAATTCCCCTGAACTTTTGTTCCATGCGGAACGGCTCCTTTTTTTCTTCTGGCTTCTTCTCTTGTCCCTCCGCCCTGGCGAAAACTTCTCGCTATAAGTGCGCGGAGGAGAGGCGAAAGTACTCCGCGGTGGGACCTCAAGAGGAGGACTCAGAGGGGGACTGAGTGGGGAGGGGCTTCTTTCGGGGACGGTGGTGGTGCGGGAGGGGTTGGGGTGCTGGTCCTTGGGACAGGGCAGCCAAAGTACCTTGCTGAGTAGCACGAGGTCACTTCAGGGAATTTTCTGCAACTCAGGTGCACTGAAGCAAAACCAGGCTAGGGTGAAGCAGTAGCTTTGTTTTGTTGTGAGGGGATCTTACATAACAAGGGAGATCCCACGAGCCTTCTACAGCTTTCTGCCCTTGGCACCAGGTTGGGGAATTTAATATTGTTAAACCTATAGCAGCAAATTCAGTGCTTCCTTAAGCCCACTCAATGTGTTGGGCAGATTGCCTGCCTCCCTTTTTATGTTTTTAATACTATTTATAACACACTCTTCTCTCTCAAAGCAGCCAGTCAAAGCAGCTAATAAAAGTACAGTATTAAAAAGAAAACAAAGATAAATCGTTTTTTGAAAGAAAGAAAAAGAGAAAGAAAGAAAGAAAATGCTAGATAGTTTGTGTTTACACTCAAGAGAATGGAATCTGATTTGAAAGAATTGCTTCTCATTTTCTAAATGCTCATCAGAGGCAGATTTAGGGGAGTTTGACCAGTTCGTTCACACAGTGCGGAGCCTAGGGGGCACTGCAACTATTATTTCAAATGTTGCGGAGGAGGTGCTAAATTAAATATTGAGACCCCAAGGTCCTCTGCTGTTCTCATCCAAACCATCTTTGCCTCTAGATAAACTGGTTGTGCAGGTTTTGAATGGTTACAAAAACCTGTTTGATTAGAGGCAACAGTGCATAAAAAGAAACGTTAGTGCACCATGGAAGCTCTTCTAAAAGTATTTTCTCTATCCTAAGAGATCCTCCTTTGAATGCTGCTTACTACTTGTGTCTCTTGAGAGTTATTTCTTTAATTTTTTTCAGTTTAGTGCCAGTTTGCACTATTGTTTTCTACCACAGTGGGGTTTAGGGGTTGCAGCTTAATAGGACTCATACTTGTGGATGACAGCAACATATTTTACATCTAACACACACACCCCCACACAGTCAGAATATACAAAGCTAAAAGAAATCAGATAAACAAATTTTCTGATATGTGAAAAACTGCAGTTTAAGAACTGTAGGAAAGACCAAAACACATTTACAAGTTGCCATTTTTTTCCAGAACAGGTGGAGTCCATCTCTCTGCAGGGAACCCATGCAGCCAAAATTGTCTCTCTTGGAGATGGCCTGAAAGCCTTTAAAAACCTTCAGTCCTTAGATTTGTCAAAGAACCTGCTTGCTTGTCTAGAGGTGAGTTCTGCGGCCTTTCATGGTTGCTGCAGGATAATCTATTGAGAGATTACCGGTAGCTCTTCTTTCCCAAAAGCCAGAGCCTGGGATGCTCCTGAACTGCGAAGCCGGTAATTGTGGTGATGAATGATTCTTGTTTCCCAAGTGGAGGAGCTTGGTATTAGTAAGAGGCATCTCGCCCATCTCCTTTCCTGCCTTCACATGTCTAATATGGTGTGCTAGCAGCTCAGTCTTGGAAGTGATATACACCTAAACTGTAGGCTGCAATCCTAAACCTGCTTACCTGGGAGTAAGACCCAATGAATTTAGTGGGCCTTATGGCTGCATAGACATGGTTAGGATTGTGTTCTTTCTGCCCTGGATGGGCAGCATTTAGACTTATAAAACTTTTTCAATTGCCCTGTGGAAACTCTGGCTCTTCCTCTCTTACCTGTTGCATGGCTGTGGCCATGGAAACAGGCGTTCTCTCCCAGCCATTCTCTCTCAAGATTTTGCAGTCAGGTATGGAATACTGTTATAAAATTAGATAGAAACCTATTTAACATTTAATTAAGTTTATGTACCTACACCTATCCTCTATATAATGAGTTATGTATCAATGTATGCTTTTATTTCTTTGATATTTTGAGTTCTATGCTATGTGGACTTCTTTGCCCCTTGCCTTTCTTTTTTCTTTTTAAATTTTATTTATAGTTTTCATTTGTATACATTTCAATAATTTTACAAAAATCCTAACATTTCAAACAATTTGACTTCCTTCTTCTTTCTGCGGTTCCTTAAATTTGTCTTATCATTTCCTGCATATTCTAAATTAACTTAACTTATGTTTTAATTCTATATTCTTTTTAAAACTGCAGGTTATTATAATAATCTTGCCAATATCTTTACCTGTTTACAAGTTGTTTGTAAATATTCAATCAACCATGTCCATTGTATTTCGACCCCCTGTCTTTCTAAGTGCTGTTTTCATAGTTTAGGTGCAGAATGTTTATGTGCAAGGCATTTTTTACCTTGAATCTAGGAAGCTATAGGGATGGGATGATAAGGACTATTTTGAAGGTCTGGTTGTCAATAAAACAGCGGCAAGTAGGTGAAGCAGAAGTCCTGAGGCTCCAGAGTATTGTGGTACACGAGATAATAGAGACAAGAAGATAATGAAGTGGAGCAAGACAGTTTTTAACTCCTTGATCTGTGACCTCCCTTTATTCTATGAGCTAATGCTTGTACAAGAAGGTCAAACGTATCCATTCTTAAGGAAATCAGCCCTGAGTGCTCACTGGAAGGACAGATCGTGAAGTTGAGGCTCCAATACTTTGGCCACCTCATGAGAAGAGAAGACTCCCTGGAAAAGAACCTGATGTTGGGAAAGATGGAGGGCACAAGGAGAAGGGGACGACAGAGGGTGAGATGGTTGGACAGTGTTCTCGAAGCTACAAACATGAACCTAACCAAACTGCGGGCGGCAGTGGAAGACAGGAGTGCCTGGCGTGCTCTGGTCCATGGGGTCACGAAGAGTCGGACACGACTAAATGTCTAAACAACAAAAATGCTTGTACAACTTAAACTCACACAGGGACAAGCAAAGGAGGATGCCTTCACCCCAGTGTGGCTCCCCTTTATCACATATACAGCCCCATAAGACAGTGTCCTATCCCACCCCACCCCACAACAACATACAAATCAATATGGCTAATCTGACCCAACAACCCCCCCCCCCACATGCAAACATACCACATTGCAATCAACAGAACACAACCAACCAAGCTCTGGATCCGCTAATATTTTGTACCACCACCAAAAATAGATATATAAATAAATAACTCACATGACGTTGACACAAAAACCCTGAACAAACACTATGCAACAGAATGAAAAATCATTATCTCCCCATCTCTCTCTCCCCCCTTCCTCCCCCAGCCACATAATGTCTATGTCAACAGTGTCTCATACTGAATGTAAATGAACTGTGAAAAAGACTCTATGAATTGAAAGTGGAGACACCATATGTTCTTTTTTGTTGCACAATAAAATCTTTAATAAAAATATAATTTAAACAAAGAAACAAAAAAACTTTGTTAAAATGTGCTTTGGAGCCGTTCTCCTAACTTCTGGTTTGGAGTAACTATCAGTATGGCAATAGTTTCTTTGAATAAACTGGGTTCCTACCAGGAAGCTCAGCTGGCATATCTGTCTTGGATTTCTTTCTTTAAGGTTTTATTCCCTCACCTGGGCATGAACCATTGGGAGGTGGTTTAGAAGCAAATCTCTAGTACAATGTAAACAGAGATGCAGCTCTGTGCTGGCTTCCTTGTGTTTTCCAGCACAATTCAAGATTGTACCAACCTTTTACAGTTATTTGAGAATGTTGGCAATATGTGGAAATATAAAGGCGATTATGCAGATATTATATATTTTGAAGGAAGGGCCACAGCTTCGTGGCAGAGCAGCTGTTTTGCATGCAGAAGGTCTCAGGTTCAATTCATGGCATCTCCAGGTAGGGCTGGGAATGTTCCTTGCCTGAAACCCTGAAGATTTTCTGCCAGCCAGTGTAGACAGCACTGACCTAGACAGACCAAGGCTCAGTATGTGTTCCTATATACTTCCAAAACACTTCTGACAAGAGTCTTTCTCTTAAGCCAGTTTACCAATTGCAGAATTGTGTGTTCTCTTATGGATCAATAACTGGTTTAATACCAGGAAGCAGATGGTAGGGAAACGTTTATCTTTTGCACAATAGTGCAATATTTGAAATTTTTAAAGGCAAAAATAATATGCAAATATTCATAAATAAATAAAAGCATTCAACGTGGCTCCTGAAGGCCACAGGAGCTGGTGCCTGTGATGAGGCTGGAGTTAATGCTAAGGCTATAGGTTGGCTGTCCATGCCTTGAGATTTTCAGATGAAGGGCAGTATATAAATTTAATAAATAATAAAATACATTTGGACTCAAAGGTGAGTGTACAGCAGTAGTAGTGGGTTTGCAATAAGAGTTTTCTGAGCCACAGAAAAAGCCAGAGGTGGAGGTGGGTGGGCAAGTCAAGAGAGAAGGCAAAAGACAGAGGCATCTCCAAGGAAAAGTGTGAGGGACTAATGTGATGGAGGGATAGACTCTGTCCTCAGACCTGCACGGGAGGCTGTTAGGTCCAGGAGCAAGGGACAAAGAGTGGTGCTGAGCCCTGCCTGCCCTCTGGCACAAGAGGGGTCTAAGAATACTCTGGAGGGTTTGTTCCTGTGGAGAGTACCACAGGGCTATTTACGGTAATTTATTCACAAATAATCTGGAGGTACAGGAGGCTTACTTTCCACATTAAGTGACAGTGTGAATGAGCTCATAGTCATTTAGAATGACGACAATGCAAGTAGATTGTGAGAAACACCAAAAGAGCTCAGCAAACCAGTGTTTCCCAACCAGGGCCATATGGCCCCCTGGGCCCCTCTAGGATATTCCAAGGGGGCCATGGGTGAAAATTGCATAAATAGGGGGACCACAGCATGAGGCTACGGGGCCACAGAGGGAAGTGAGAAGTGAAGGGATATATATATCTACTTGGACAACCACAAGAGGGTAAGAGGGCAGCTCACCAGGGCTTAGCACTCTTTTTGGCCATATGCATTTTCTTGGAGCAGTCCTCATTTGTTTCCAGCAGGAGAGGGTCGATCGCCGAGGCTCCTGTCTTGACTGGTAGAGCCCGCGATCCAGAAGCCCCAGGTCAGTGCTGGGTTAGGGTGGCAATGGGTAGGGCTGGGAGAACTGGAGCTGCTTGTTGCTGTCACCACTTCTAGGCCCAGTGGCAGTCTGGGCCTGACTCTGCAAGGTGCAGGGTGCAATCCACTCCAGCGCCTAGTGGATCAGGGCTTTCAGATGTTGCCAAGGGGCACAGGGCCTGTTGGCAGCATAGGCCTGGCTCTGCAAGGTGCGGGGTGAAATCCTCTCCAGTGCCTAGCCAAGCATGGTCGTCTGGTGCTGCTGACCTGCATCTAGTAAATAGCTAAGTATTTACTCAGAAGAAGTCTGCACTGAGTTCAGTGGGCCTTACTTCCAGGTAAGGGTTTGTGGGGGCTGTAGTGTTTTATCTAGGCAGCCAGGGCTCCTTGAGATGACAACATCTTTTTTTAAAATTTTCCCATATATACAGAACTCCCTATGTGCCCTTTGGACTGTATTTGTAGGTTTTCCCCTCTGTGTCAAATAACTGGAGTCAAACAAATGTTGTTTACTTTTTTATAATACATGGAAGATGGATCTCCCTCTGAAGGTTCTGAACTCTCCTTCCTTGGAGGTTTCTAAGTGAAGGTTGAATGCTGGTCTCGCAGGGCCCACCTTTCTGTTTCCTCACACTGGTCTGGCCTAATATATTGCCCATCTCTAGCACCACACTGGAATGCTGTGTGTCCTTGATAAAGGACAGCAAAGAGTTGGAAAAGATCTAGAAAAGATCAACCAATTTGTTCAGGCAGATAAAGTATATTCTCAAGAGGAAAGCCTTAAGCATTTGGAGCCATTTAGTGTCGAAAAAGATAACTGTGATAGACCTGATGGAGGTTTATAAAACTATGCATGTTATGGAGAAAATGCACGCTCTCCCCCTCTTCCAATGTATTACTCGCTCAGTTGGTGAGATCAAGTTCAGTGCTTAAAGAAACCTTTTATTTTCAAATTGCAACCTTGTCTTTTTCTCCATGCAGGGTCTTGAGTATTTACAATTGTTACAACATCTGAATTTGTACTATAATCATGTTTCATCCTTGCTGGAAGTTGCCCGCCTTCAAGCGTTGCCTCTCCTTAGAGAGCTGGACCTGCGTCTCAACCCTGTAACCAGGAAGGAATCTGATTATAGACTGTTCACTGTGTACAGATTACAAGCTCTGGAGATGCTAGGTGAGAGATGAAGCAAGGAGGGACAGTAGAGGTCATTTCTGTGATGTTGGCATAAGGGCAAAGCTTGTGATTGTTCCAATTGTTTACTCAAACATTGCAGTCATGGCTTCAGCCAGTAACTACAAGTAGCTCTGCCCCCCAGTCTCATGGGGAGCTACGTCGATGGTCAGGATACCAATCCCAAATTCTCTTTCCTGACCAACAGATGAGGCAGGTGAGAGTGCATTGCCCCCATAAATTTAAAGTAGATGGGGAACTCTCTCACACACCCCGCCCACACCACTGCTTGTGGATCCTATCTGCCTCTAAAACATTGCCTAGACACCCACCCCTCCATGGACTGACACCGTAGTTTGAGAACCTCTGCTTAATACTATTTTAGCAGTCCTAGAACTGAGCCTTCCCCCTTTTCTTCATGACCCTGTGCACTGTTTCTAGGGAGTGCGCCCATGAAAGGGCGTGTGTTTGTGGCTGTACTGTGTACTAAGGGCTTTGCCTTCTGTTGCTATGGAGAAGCACATTATGCTGTCACAAATCTTTGCCTCACTGAATCTTCCATTTTACTTGTGCTCACTTTGGATAGCTAGATTAGTCAGTAGTCTGATGTTTTTGAATGAAAACTGCAGGTCCCTAGAGTTTAAGATTAGACTGAGCTCCTGCTATAGACCATTTGTTTTCCTCCAGATGCTACCTGTCATGCATGGTGTATCTTCTTGAAGAACAACCAATCTTGATACAAAGACTGGAAGGTGTGGTGGAGTAAGTTTGGAGAGAGAGAACGGGGAAATGGTGACATATAGCCAACTGTTGCTTCTATATAATGAACTTAGAAAGCAAATTGGGAGCATAAACCATATTCTGTACCTTGAACCGTAGCAAAATTCCAGTAAATGTTTGAGTTTTGATTCAGTGAATACCATGCCTTATTTCTAGTTTGCATCCATCTACCTTGAAATTGTCCTGCATCCTTCTTTGCAGTATTCTCAAGCATAGAATAGGACTGGACAGAGCTGTACCTAGGAGTTGGTGAAACCAGCCTCCACCAGGGTGTGTGGGGAAAATCACCATTGGAGATTGACTGGGAGATGAAGTGGCACTAGCCCGCTTTTGGATCCTGCAGCACGGGGCAAGAGAGGAGAGGGGAGAGAGGGCTTTCAAAATATGTCTGTCCCCACCCTGCAGTAACTGCCTTTCAGTCAAACCTAGTGACTGAAGCTCATCAGTCACAGATCAGGACAGGCTGCTGCAATGACGAGCCCTAACAGCAGCCAGTTCCTTTTGCTAGAAAGGTGTCAGACCGACTCTGTGGAATATATATGCGTGAATAGAGTTGCAGATTTAGGCAGCAATCCTATACACTTAATATGAGAGTAAATCCTATTGAACTCAATGGGGCTTATTTCTGAGTAGGCCTGCAGAGAGTTGTGCTTTTTGTCAATTTTTTTGGCATCAGAGATACAAGCCTTACTGTATTAAACAACATGTTCAGCAACATGCTGAATATATAGATTTGGGCTCATGTTGAGGGGGGGGGCATGTTACTTTGTGGGTATTTTGGACCAGCGCTCACTGGAACATTTGCTTTTAAAAAATAAACTGCAACCCAAAACAGTTCAGTTAGCAAAGGTTCTGGCCTGTGCTCCAGTCTACAAGGCTTACCAGGATTTCGAGTACTTGGGTTGTGTAAAATATAATAATTTCTAATGTGGCTATTGCAGTAAAGTGATTTTTTTCCCTGAGGGTGATGTAATACAGCTCATTGCCGAAGGTGCAAGGGGCCCTAGGGCATCTCTGTGGCCAGATGCCCTGAGTTGTGTGAGTGTTGTCAATGTATTTCATGAACAATACTAGAATGTTGCTTATGAAAAGAGGCACAGAAGTGAGCAGAGATTGCCCACGTGTGTGGCATTCTAAACAAATGTTAGGCAATATGTTGCCTAAAACTGTGGCCTAGTTCAGGTGTAGTGTTTATCCATGGTTTACTAAACTGTGGTTTATCTAATCACCCAAGGCCTATCCAGCAGCTTAACCATGGCTTGTTGACCACAAACCAACCACATTCATAAGCCATGGTTTGTTGTTGGATTACAAATCTTAGTTTACGCTAACTATTGCTTAACATTGCATATATGGTGAGAAAGACCTCTATGTCTGTTCAACTTGCACATTTCACATTTGGAAGTTAGCTGTTAGATGGAAAACAACACTCAATTCACCAGGACTGACACAGAACACAGAACATAGAACATACATAGTTTTATAGTTACATTAAAATAAAAAAATAGCACGTTCCAGCAATCTTTCTGCATTTTGGAGGTGTGTGTGTCATATATACAGAAACAGTCTTCATTCTATGCTTCTTCCTTCTTCCTTGGAATTGGTGGGTTTATGAGGGGCCTGTTAGAGATTTCTTTACTTGCAAGATCACAACTCCAAGGATTGGGTGAAATAAGACTTTGTGGTGTTGTGAGCCAGTAGGGTGTAAAGCAGGGGTGCCCAAACTTTTTTAAAGAGGGCCAAATTTGATGAAGTGAACATGCGTGAGCTTTTTTTAGGCTTGGAGGGTTGAAGTTTTGAGCTTTTTAAAGGATTTAACCCCAAAATTTTTGAGCTTTTTTGGGGATTGAAGTTGCTGGGCTTTTCTTAGGATTTTAACCCAGGACATATACTGGCACAGGGGCCAGATTAAATTGACTGTCAGGCCGGATTAGGCCCCCGAAACAGACTTTGGACATGCCAGGTGTAAAGCATAGGGAGACATGAGAGACCCAACTTGGGCTTGGTTCATTGAATGGCCTTGGGCTAGTCACTCTGCTCTCTAAAACTCTTAGGAAATTACTGGACAGTGAGGATGAGCATTCCATAGTTTACAGGATAAACCTTATACTTGCTTACATCGTGTGCTGAGTGAATTTGAACTGCTTGGTCCCATTTCTTTACTGTTTCATAAGTCCTTGGTGGGCTCTGCTGCCTAGTAATCAGATACCAAAGTAAATACTAAAAAGGAGGGCAGCATATATCACCTGAATAATCATATTATCAGATGAATTTTGTGGTACTTCTGTAATTCTGTTGTCCTTTGTAAGCTGATGTGATGCTGTAAAGTGGGATATTAGTATTCTAAACAAATGACACCAAGCCTATGGGCAGAAAAATGGCTGCCTGCCTCCATAATTTCTAGTGCTGCTGCTGCCCTTTATTTCTGACACTTTGGTCCAGGAGTGGAGAATTGTTATGGTTCTGTGGGCCAGATCTTTATCTGTCCCCACCTCTGCAGGCTAATTCTAACAGGTTGGTAGAGGGTAGAGCAGCCCATCTGTCAATCACATGGCACCATTATGATTTCATATGATTGCTACCGTTCTTTGAAGCTAGTCATTGATCCTGCATGTCTTCTTCTTCATAGATGAAAGAACTATTAGGAAGTGTGAGAGAAAAGCTGCCCACCTGCATTTTAACCTCAGGAGCAAAGAGGATCCATTGGAAAAAGACGAGTCAAGGTATGGAAGTGGTCTGCTGAAAAGTAACACTTTTGGATGGGAAAGGAGGTGCTTGATATTGAAGGTTACCTTAATCCTAACATCGTTGTTGTTAAATTTACCTCTAGGGAAAATACAATGAGGAGTGAAGTGCTAGACCAAGAAAGCTTTGCAACATCCAGTATGAATACAGAGAGCAACAGGACACGTACTGGTAGGTTTTATGAGAAAATCACACTGGGATTGGAAAACCTCAGTATGCTTAGCCTGAATATTTGATTGTGCTCATGTACATTATGTGGTGCTGCCCTTGTATCTGGTCTGGAAGCTGCCATTGTCCCTGACCATTGACTCTGCCGACCCAGCATGCCCCTCTGCCAGAAGCCACAACAGAAGAGAGCTTTTGCCTCTATGTCCTGCTTCTTCATGGAGGCTGCTGTGGAAAACAGAATGCTGGACTGGATGGGCCACTGGCCTGATGCAGTTGGACTCTGATGAGTGACTGACTCTCCATGAGACATGCTTGGATATTGGCTGCTTTGCGCTTTACAAGGCATTCTTGCAATTGTGAGTGTGTCCACACTTTCCTTTCCCCCCGCTCTTTCTAGGCACAGTTCTGTGCTCTAAAGCTCAGTGTCTGGGCATTCTTCTTTTAGCCTCCCAGCTTTCACTGTGAAAACACATGCTTTAAAGCTGACATGCAACAAATGGCCATTCAGGTTTTCACAGATTGCCAAAAGTAGGTTTTCATAGGGAAAACTCTGGAGTAAAAAAATGGTGCTTGGACACAGAGCTTTAAAGCGTGGATCATGCTTGATCTCTCCTTTCTATAGCTAGTCTGTAAGTCCTTATCTGACCTTTGTTTCACTCAGACTCTTGACTTGCCTTCCCTCCTTCTTTCCTATGGAGGAAATGTGTGTGGCTGCAATTTGCTGGTGTTTGTTTCACCACAGATCCTAACCATCCCTTTTCCCTGAAGGGCAAAACTGTACTGTATATTGCTACAATGCCTTGAAGCAAAGATACCCTCAAGTGGGTAATCCCTTGAAGTCACCTTCTCAAACAAATCCTTTCAAATGCATTTAGGGTCTTCAGATGGGGTTATCAGAAAGCTTTTCTTACAGTGTTGCACAATTTATATTCTGTTTAAAGGTCAGGGAGAAGAGATTTAGATTTCTCACCCAAACTTACTCCCTGGTATTTTAAATCTTCTCATATCGTGTAGGATATGGCCCGCCTTCAACTATTTTAACAGCTAGTAAGACACACACACACACACACACACACACACACGGTACAAAGGCCCCCATATGTTTGCCCTACAATCTCCCTGGGTGATGTTGTCACTCCCAGGAGGAACTATGGTAGGATTATAAATGTGTGTGGCAGAGGAGCAGTGTGCATTAGCCACTTCAGATAGCTAGAGCCTGTAAAAAAAGGTGGGGAGAGAAGACAGCCCCCAGACTATTTTGTGAGCATTTTAAAGAAGTCCTGCATTCATGTGGATTCTAAAAAATCCTCACAGAAATGGGATGAAACTAATTTCCTGGTCAACACATGTAACATGGAAACGAACTGGTATAATTAAGACTGTTCCATCCATCCCTAATTTGAACCAATGTTTTCTTTGTTTATTCCTTTGACTGTAACATTGTGTGTGGGGGGGTGTAAATAAAAAAAACCTTATATTTGTGGGGTGGTGTTCTGATCTTTGATAGAACCCTTGGTTTGGGGGAATTGGGTTGGCAGATTTTTGAACCCAGCAGAGTTGTGACACTATTCTCCACTTAGATTTATCTCTCTCCCCAGATTATACTAGATTTTTTTCTCTCTAACTCAGGAAGGTGTTGCAGTTATTTATTTTGGGGGTATTTTATGGTACATCTGAGCTCAGTGGTATATCTGGGAGCTATAAATGGGTTTAGTGCCCCACTGCGCTGCCAAGGCAAGGAAATGGATAAATGCCCCCTGAGGAACTTCCTCTAAGAGCAAAACAAAAGGATGGGCCTCAGCAGTCTGGAACAGGTGGGTGTGTTTCATTCTGATTCTTCTGCAAACGAACGGTGGGTGCTCATCATTATTTCTCCTTATGAAACGAAACCAGGTACAAAGTATTCATCTCCTCGCCATATGTCATGCCATGATGAAAGAGACTCATTTCTAAAGACATCGTCTGTTTCTGTTTTGCCAACCAGCAAATTAACTAAAGGAAACAAGGACCAGATCCTGGTAAGTGGGCTTGATGAAGTCAAACAGAGGCAGGTGGCTTCTGCTGCTGTTTTGGGCAGCGCTTTGCTATGTTAAACTTCTGTGTCCTCTAACTATACAGTTGCCTCAGTGTCAGCAGTAGAAAGTTTTCAGGTGTCATATTCATTGAGAGGGAGGCCTTTCCTTTTCAAAATTGTGGCAATCCCCCTGTTCATGTCCTTTCTTATATATAAAGCATGATAATGCCAAACCTCCTCTCTTTGTGTCCATCCCATTTGTATTGGTTCATTAAATGACTAGAACATGTGTTCACATTTTGGGTTATGCAACTAAGTGAAGTCAGTAGTAAACTCCAGGCTAGTTCATAGACTAGAAGGAGAGAAACAGTAGGCCTATATGAGAGCTTATTGTCCTACACCTCATATCACATGGTGCTTCCGGGGACAGTGGCATGATGGTAGTTTTATGACTGTTTGCTACCACTTGCCTGTTGAAATGCCTAATTCTGCCCCAAGATCCATTTATAGCCTCTTAGTTGAAACATTCAGAAACATTTCGTGTGGGGAAAGAAAAGGGCCAAAATGAAAACCAGATATGCTTCCACTCCCAGCCTGGAGAAAGCAACTAAAATGCAACATACTTAAAACTCTTATATGGTAAAGCAATGCCAAAAGCTAAGGTGAAAGACTGATTTTTCTGAAACAAATGAGTAACTCTTGCTATTGGACAGAATATTAAATTTGTAATATTTTCCAGCTAGACAATGCAAATGCAAGACAGTTTCTGAGTCACAACTCTTTGGACAGAGGTGAGTGTTTTCCTTTTCCAGCCTGATAAAAATCTGTGTGCATTCTCAGCCTTTCGGGGTCAGATGACTCTCCTGATTCTGATGTTTCTCTAAGGCCAGTTCTCACAAAAAAGCAGACAGAAAGTAGTAAAATCTATCCAGATTCTGCTGCTTGAGCCTGAAGATTTCATCAGTACGTTAAAAAACACACCTTGCATGTCAAGGTGAAGAAGGCTTCTACCTCTGAGGTCCCCCCCACAAATGGGGACCCATACTCCATCATGTAAGTGTCCACTTGCAGTCTGAAGTGGAACAGTCCAAATATGGGCTTACCACCTACCTGCTCTTTCTGAGTACTAGGCCTAAATCTAGATGAAAACTTGACTAGTTGAAGATTTGGGTGTTTCTTACAATGTTTTATTTCAACTTATTGAGATGTTTTTCAGTTTGGTACAAAAATATAATTTACAGGATAAGTTTGGAGTGACTGATGGGTTTTCTTTTTGCAACCATCAGTATAAATGGCAGGTATATCGCTAATATGCTTCTCAACCACTAGAGCTCCAGTTTTTTGGCTCGCTCAGCCTTTGCCTCAGAGCATGAAATAAACATCTGTCAACCCACATAATTTAATTTATAAATGGAACCTTATCTTAAGTGTGACTAAATTCACATCTCTTTCTTCCCAGCAAAGTTTATTAAGCATGATTATCTTGTGATAAATGGAAACAACTCCTGATATGAATTTATGTAAACCACTTAGAGGGTGTGTTTTTTTGAGCCATCTATGCTTCTTGTTGAATAAAAATTTATTTAATGAATGAACAAGTGAATTGTAATGTCCTCCCTCTGCTTGTCGCTTGCAGAACAGAAACTCCGGTCTCCCACTGCCCTGCAGGCACAGACTTCCCTGCCCTCTCAGATGAAAAGCAGAGCTGTGTCTGGTAAGGGGAAGTTTCACGTGTCCTTTTCTGAAGGCTCATCTCTAGACTTCCTCTGTCCAGGAAAAAGAGAAACGGGAAATAGGAAAGTGGACATTCTGGACCTTGGCCGGGCTGCTTCTCCAACTAGGAGGCTGAGTCTGAGTGATGATGCAGGGAAGACCAACCTCAGGCCAGAGAGTTATGAGCACCTGTACCTCCAATCCTCTGCTAATCGCAGGGAGCTGGTGAAGAGGCTTCATGATGAGAGGAATGAGAAGACGGCAGCCGATGATGTTTGTAATTACACCTCACAGTTTGCTAACGAAGTCCTGACTCCTGCCCGGTCCTCATGTGGAGATTTCCTGGGACAGCACTCAGAAGCGGATGCAGACCATGCAAGTCCCTTAAAGCTCAGCTCAGGTAAAGGCTGGCTTTATTGTTTTAGTTTTCAAGACGTAACTTCTTCAGTCTTTCCTAACCTTCCTGAATGAGAGGAAATCTTTGTTTGGTTCTCTCCTGGTGACGCAAAATGTCAACTTTTGCCACTATTAATAATATTTCTTAGCCTTCTCCTTTTGCAAAATACAGGTGGTCAACAGTATAATGAGCAGCCAGCTTCTGTTCACAAATTTCAGCTTCAAAGAAAGAGGCATGAAGGCAAAAACACTGAACAATGGGCCTTCTCCTAAATTTCAGAATTCAGTGTACAGTGGTACCTCGGGTTAAGTACTTAATTCGTTCCAGAGGTCCGTTCTTAATCTGAAACTGTTCTTAACCTGAAGCACCACTTTAGCTAATGGGGCCTCCTGCTGCCGCCGTGCCGCCGGAGCACTATTTCTGTTCTCATCCTGAAGCAAAGTTCTTAACCCCAGGTACTATTTCTGGGTTAGCGGAGTCTGTAACCTGAAGCATCTGTAACCCAAGGTACCACTGTATTGTCAATAGTCAATAGCCGTAGAAGAGAAGATCATCACTCTATCTCTTCCACTTAGCTTAAAAGAGGCAGACCTAAAGTGGGACTAGGGATGGGGGAGCAATTTGATTCCATTCTCAAACTTTATAAAGTACATTTTCTTGAAAACTAATAATTACAGCAAAGATTATTGTTCCTCTATCTATTGAGTGCGTAATAATAATAAATAATAATAATAATAAATTTTATTTATATCCCGTCCTCCCCAGCCGAAGCCGGGCTCAGGGCGGCTAACAACAATAAAACAGTACAAAAGTACAGCATAAACAGCACTCTAAAATCATTCATTATAAAATTAATTAATTAACTGAATGCAGTTATGAGACTGATACTCAAATCTGGGAGTTAGGAGAAATACCCACAAAAGGGCGGAAAAACAGGGCACAATGAATAGAAAGAGAGAACAAAGTTGATCCTCACAACTGTTTCTGCTATGTTCAGCCCTTTCCCACGCTCCATTGGTAAAAGTATCCTGAGCTGCTCCATTGGGAAATGAATTTACAGCTCTTGTCACCACACATGCTTGGATTGAGCCCGCTCTTCCAAAGAATTTTCACACATGGGTGATGGTGTACTCTTTCTACCTGTAGGAGCATTTGGAAGGACCACTTTGTTACACCAAAGTTTCATGATAAACAGGCCTGTGCACAGCTTGTCTGAGGCCTGGGGCTGGAGCCTTGTTAGAATAAAATTATTAGCATGACAGTGTTAAGTCCTAGCAGGGGCCCCCAGCCGGCTTAGCCCTCCGAGGCCCGGGGCAAGCATACTTGGTTCCCCCCTCCCCTGCACAGGTCTGATTGTGAACCATAGCAAGCATGGAGGATTTTGGCATGGCTAGCAGAATTTTTGGAATTTGGTTGGCCTAAATTCTACTTTGGTTTCATTTGTTTTCGAGAGTTGGCCACAAGTGTAGAATTGATGGCCGCTTGCTTTCAAACTTGGTGGGAAATGGAAAAGGGGAGCTCACTGTGGGTGAGAAATAAAATTATGGGCATGCATGCTAGTGAGCTTGGCTCAACAGCCTAACTTGCTACCTTGTCCCCAGTGCTTTGGGTAAGCTAATCACCTTTTAAACAAATGCTGGATTAGTATTTATTTGTTTTGACACCTTAAAAAAAGTGTAAACTGTCTGAGGAATTGTGACACCAAGGGCATCAGTGAAGCAGTACTGTGTACAGTGACCTGCAGACTTGCAGGATTTTTTCCCCAGACATCAACTCTGGAGAGATCATGCATTTAGATCAAGAGTGGGGAAGACAGGGTGTCTTCACTGTTATTCTTTGCTCTGTTACAGTGCTTGGATGCTTAGCCACTATGAAAATAATTCAGGCCCTTTGGGGGCTGGTGGAAGATAGAACTGGACTAATAGCCCACCTTTAAGATGGCTGGGAATTAAAGATGCCTTGTGACAAGTGTAAGCCTTTCTTTCCCATCTGCTAACCAAACAGTTCCTTTCTTTCATTATTCAATTCAGCTTCTACAAGCTTTGGAGATTTCCTGTCAAAGCATCGTTCTTTGTTAAGTGAGGTGTCTCTTGGGAATTCACAATCGGCTACAGCCTTAACATCCACATCCAGGAAAGGGCGAGACCCACCAGCCTGCCGATCTCTCAGTCCTTCAAGAATGGAGTTTAAGCATACCAGCAGCCAGCACACTCCAGTAACCCCCAAGCACTGTTTTAAAGAGCCAGTAACGGAGGTGAGTGCTTTGTTCTGGATCCTCTTTGTGGAGCAGGTAGAGCAGGGGAAGGATCATGGGGTGGTATGCTGCCTAATGAAGCATGTGTGGTATCTGTTCTTTAGCATGGATGTGAGACATTTATGGGCATGCCTCAGATTGTTCTGAGTGACATTCATTTGCCCTTTCATCTGTTCCTCCCAGCCCCATTCTGCTGCAGTTGATTTCTTCAGCACAGTATAAACTTACCATTGTATCTCAGGGTGTTTCCAGACTTCCAGTATTTTGTGAGAGGGATTCAAACTCTTACTGGAACTTTAGGTTTGAGGAGCTAAAATGAGTCAGAATACTCTGTTGCCCTAGCCTAGTGCAACAAACCCACTTTAGAAAAACAACTCTTTCAAAAGTGTGTGGTTAATGAATGTTAAACAAGAAGCTTGCTCCCAGTGCCAGTCAGTTGGTTGGCATGAACAGTGCATCATCAAAGGTCATAGGCGCCGACTCCATGGGGCTTGAGGGGGCCCGAGCCCCCTCAAAAATTCGTTTGGGGGGGCTCCGCCCCCCCAATAATCTCCGGCGCCCCTCCAGCAGAGCGCCATCGCCGCCCCTCCCCCAGCCCAAAATGCACAGGGAGGGGCGGGCTGCATGCCTCCTGCCCTCCCTCCCGAGCAAAAGCTCCACCCAGTTTCCTTTGGAGCTGATTAATAGGCGCAGCACGCTCTCCCCTATTCGCTCACGAGGAGGCGCCGCCACTTTATTTGCATATTCATGAGCTTATTTATTATTCATGAGCTTTCCCGGGCCCCCCCAATATTTTTTATAAGTCCGCGTCCCTGTCAAAGGTAATCACTGCAACCACTGGTCTGCCATTACAGCAACCTCCTTTGATCTTAGACTGGTACCAGTCACCTGACAACATTATGACATCAGGTGATTGACAAGTGGAAAGTTCCGCCAACCTGTCAGAGTTGGCCTGGGAATAGGAGACTTAGGCATCCAGCGCCGGATCCTGTTCCCCACTCTTACATACCTCATTATAAGGTCTTTCCAAAGGGACGCCAAACAGTGGTTCCAGTTGTACCTTTCCCTCATGCTCAGGATCATGGGCTGTCAAAGTGATTCTGATCCTGAATTGAACCTTTGCCCTGCTCTTCTGATTTCAAACAAGGACATAGCTCAGTGGCAAAGGATAGACACCAGATTCATATACTGAGGAGAGAGCCTAGATTAGCTAAAGTTCAGTTATAAAGACCGGGGGCAGGACAAACCCAGTTTGATAAAAATTGGCAGTGAGGCACGGCATATAGCTAGTTAGCAAGGCTGAGGGCTAGGTCAGGAGCAGACCAGTATCAGCCTCTTTGTTGTCTGCGTTGTGTTAATTACTTAATAATAACAATAATATAAGAATTCTAAGCTACAAAAACAACTGAAAAAACCAAGAAATTCCGTGATTTATTTGAGAAACAAGTTGTCAGAAATTCTCTCCAACCCTCAAACTTTAATCCACCTCTTTAAATGCGCATAAATAAATTTTAGATGCTTGTCAGAATGCCTCCATATGTCCAGATGTGACAAATGTTACTTATGTGTTTTGTAGCTTCACTCCAGAGAGCACAGCAATATCCCTCTCCAGACAGCAAGTATTGTCAGCAGCACTGAGAAACCATGTCTTCTTGTCACTGTCCTGCAGCAACTCCTGGATTTAGTGGATCGTTATTGGAATGGCTCTGGCTCCCTTTTTATCAACAAGGATTTCCTTGGTATGCTGTTCTAGGCTCAGGCTATGTGCCTAAAACTCCCACCACCCCCTTCTTTTCAGAGAAGGGAAGCAGACCACTTGCCAAGCATGTCACCAGGCAATATTCAGTGTCCTTGTTTGCTGTGCACATCACCAGACTATTTGCATCAGGGGTCACAAAGAATCCTATGCAATTCTTGTATTCTATGCAAGGCTGTGATCATGGGGCCTTTGAAACAGGAAGAATACCTCTGAGGATGTGCAGAATGACTTTCCCTCATAACACAGTAATGATAACCAGGTCACACACACCTGGGCATTGGGGTAAACACTTTTAGGTAAACAGGATAACTCCCAGGCTAGCTAGAGGCTCAGCACCTCTTGTCTTTACTACCTCTAACCCTGAACTTGACTGGTGAGTGCCAACAGCATAGTAGCCAAAATTGGGCCATGTAGAATCAAACACAAATTTTGGCTTTGTTTGGCCTGCTTAACTTGTACTAATCTTCTCTTTTTTTGCATCCTTGTGACCATCATAAATCCTATCAGGTGGATCTGCTTATTTCACTTACTGTATTTACTCGAGTCTAACGCGCCATCGGGGACGCGGGTGGCGCTGTGGGTAAAAGCCTCAGCGCCTAGGGCTTGCCGATCAAAAGGTCGGCGGTTCGAATCCCCGCGGCGGGGTGCGCTCCCGTTGCTCGGTCCCAGCGCCTGCCAACCTAGCAGTTCGAAAGCACCCCCGGGTGCAAGTAGATAAAAAGGGACCGCTTACTAGCGGGAAGGTAAACGGCGTTTCCGTGTGCGGCTCTGGCTCGCCAGAGCAGCGATGTCACGCTGGCCACATGACCCGGAAGTGTCTCCGGACAGCGCTGGCCCCCGGCCTCTTGAGTTAGATGGGCGCACAACCCTAGAGTCTGTCAAGACTGGCCCGTACGGGCAGGGGTACCTTTACCTTTTAACGCGCCATCAAATCTAATGGGCACCTCAGTTTTCAGAACCTTGGAACCAAAATAAGTATTTGCTGGCAAATGTAAATGTGCCATTGAATCTAATGTGCACCTTAATTTTTGCAAAATGTGCACCTTAATTTGGCCAAAGAAAGGTGAGCATTAGATTTGAGTAAATATGGTAATATTTCAAATTTAACTGTAGGGCAGATTCTTTCATCTTTAATGACTCAGCAACTCCTAGCCTAGTTACTAAACTCTAGGCAAGACCAGCTCTGTTGATTTTTCTTTTTGCCTGAAGCAAATTCATTCAAGATATTACAACACCCAATGTATTTCTTACTTTAAGTAAACACTATGTAGATTACAGCAGTAATAGGTAGAGAGCACACCACCCAGATACTTTACTCCACAGAAAAATGCAGCTCTTCAGGGTTATGAGATGACCAGCCACTCTTATCTGAAAAACACTGTGTTATGCAATACTCCCTTTACTGTCAAGTCTGAATTCATTAAAAATATAATGTAATTGACCTGCATGAAGGACTCTGCAACTTGAAAACAGAGACACTGAATGTACTTTTGTTACTCATTAAAAATCTTTTAATAAAAATGTATTTTTAAAAAGAAAAACCAGACCTCCAAGCAGATAAAATCCAGACTTATGTCCTCTGGTCACCACTCTGTAAAATACAATATTGATAAGGCGAGTTAAAACCAATTAATACAAAATTAAAACTAAATTAAAACTAACTTTAAAAACTGAAAGCTGCAGAGTAACCAGGATATACCAACATATTTTGGGGGATCCTGAAATTTGCAATAGTACAGAAAATCTTTAGAAGGGAAAAATGTGTAGGACAGGGTCAGGAGAGATGGGGTGGGGTGGGGCTGACTGGGTTATCCTGAGACAGGGCAGGGCTGGTTGGCTGGAACCCTGATCAGGAGTAATATCCACACTGCAACATTTGGCTGCAGGTCCCACTTCGTCGTCGTTTAGTCGTTTAGTCGTGTCCGACTCTTCGTGACCCCATGGACTAGAGCACGCCAGGCACGCCTGTCTTCCACCGCCTCCCGCATTATATGCCTGTTGTCTTTGTCCATGGAGTTTTCTTGGCAGGGATACTGGAGTGGCTTGCCAGTTCCTGCTCCAGGTGGATCACGTTTGGTCAAAACTCTCCACTATGACCTGTCCATCTTGGGTGGCCCTGCACGGCATAGCTCATAGCTTCTCTGAGTTATTCAAGCCCCTTCGCCACGGCAAGGCAGTGATCCATGAAGGAGCAGGTCCCACTTACCATGTTTTAATCTGGTTTGTGCTTTTATTGTCCTGCAGCTCCAGCACGCGATTTGCTTGCATACTTGATGGCGGCTGCCCGTTCACAGCAGGACGTTTGCTCAGCCCGCAAAGCCGTGCTAGGTCCCAGCTCCTCAGGGTTCAGTTGCCAGCTTCCCAGGGAACAACCAAAGTATTCTCAGCAGCACTGCAGCAGTGCCATCGACAAGGCTATGAGGGTACGTGCTTCTCACCATTGCTTCCCTCTTCCTTCCTCAGTAAAGTGGAAGCAAACCTAGTTCTGTTTTATGAGAGAATCTTTAATGTTTTATAATTAAGATAACTTACTGTCCAGGTATCTGATAAGCCATGTGCGCAAGTCTGTGCTGCTGCTCTGAATTATGGAGCCATCCAGCCCAGATCCTGTGACTTATGTGGATCACCATGTGCCAGTGGCTGAGAGCCCCCATGGACTCATAAGGGACCCCCCCCTGACCCAGCCTGTCTGTGCCAGCACTTGCCACCCTCCATGCCAGCCCCCTCGGCTGCTATGCCACCTCCGAATGACAGAACAAGAAATGTCCACAGACCCCCCAACACACTGGGGCCTTCTGCCATCTGACACTGGGCCTGAGAGTTTGTATTTTTCTTTAAACATCAGAATATGATTCAAAATCCACACAGTACATCTTCCCTTTAGGTATCTGGGTAGCCTCCCACTGCCACACACTCTCATAAACAGTATCCTACAGCCTCTGGATTGCTCTCCCAAGCAAACACAGGCCCTTACAGCACCTTCTTTGCAACCCAGTATTCTCAAAACCTCTATACTCTCTTCATAGTCATGGGGGTTTTATGTTGTGGTTTCATTACATGCATTGCATCTAAATGCCCAAAAACAAATATTGCTTTATTTAGATGGTCCTGGGCTGATTGGTGACGGGTTGGTGTTGTCTTCAGAAATCTCTAGCCCTGCCTAAAGAAGAAACCTTCTTGATCTCACCTGCGTGGCCACCACTGCCACATATTTGTGTCAGACCACAGAGTCCCCTTTCCCCCTTGTTGAACTACTCTACCAACTCTTTCCTTCCCTCCCCAACAGAAGGTGGAAGAGAGTCAGAGCCCACCTTTCAAAGAACGAGGCATGGAAGGTGCTGCTGCTGCTGCCGCCGTCACCTCCAGTTCCAGCTCCCATGGAATATATTCTCTCTCTTATGGTAAGTTCACTGGTAAAACACCAGAGGGATGTCTGACTGCATTTGTCAATGCTAGGACATTTCTACACTTGTGTTGAGGGAGGCTTTCACATAATCAGTCAGCCTAACTGCTGTTTCTACATGCTCCAGATGAATGAGAGATTGACTACCTCTCCTGCTCGAGTCAAGACTCGGGCTGGCATTGAAGATCACAGGCACAAGCCCCTGCCCCAGTAAAACAAACAATGTCCCCCATAGGATGTTTCATTGTGCCATTTTCACCACCAGTGCACATTGCTACAGAGCTTGCCTGGGAGAACTTCCTCTCAGCTGGGGAAGGCAGATTTGTACCACACCATCCAGCCATGGGGCAGGGGCTTGGGGTGAAGCCAGAGAGATGCAAGATGACATAGAAGGTTGGACAGGGTGACAAAGGAGCTGGAAGGAACCAGATTTTGAACCCTGCTGATAGCCATTAAGTTTACTGCACCTCCTTGGGCCAGTCACAAGGATAAAATAGGGTGCAGGAGGAATGAGGACATGAGTTTATTGGAGGAAGGGCAGGCTATAAATAAAATAGTGTGTTTTTTTTATAAAAGATTAAAAGCGTTGATAACAATTTAAGGCAGTTTGCAACAAACTAAACAGCAGTAGCAGCATCTCAACAATACAAAAGTACATTCGAAGTCTACAATATAGGTGGTAAAACAAAGTCTCAAAAGGGGTGCATGTTCCAGTTCAGTTTTCATACTATCTCTGCGCCTAGATTCAGAATAAAATGGATACCCCAAAAAGCCATTTGAAAGACTTCAAATGATCATAGCTAGAATAATAGGTGGGGTTCCATGGGTCACTTTGCTCTGTACCTTTTCCCATGCCTTTGATCAAGCACAGCTCTAGCTTTGCTCATCCGCTGATATTTTTCTCCTAGATGAGTTGTTAAGTAGAAATGAGCAGCTGAATGCCCAGGTGGACATCTTAACTTTTGAATTAAAGCAGCTTAAAAAGCAACAGGACACCATCAGTTTGCTGAAGGAGAGCCAAAGGTAAATTAAGTTTGGCAGTTTCATTTAGGGGAGGGGACGTAGGGCTATCATTCCATTTTTTATCCCTCCTTCCTAAAAGCAGCTCACATGGCATTCATGGTGCCCACCCCCACTTTTGTCATCACAACATCGCTGTGAGGTGGGCTAATCTGAAAAATTGACTAGTTGAAAGAGTCACAGTCCATCTTTATCATGACACATAATTGACAAGCAGGTTGTCCCTCCCACCTGTCAAAATCTCTTGCATGGGGATTGCAAATTTGATGTAGAGGGGAAGAAGAAAAGAGCACTGATAGCAGATCCTGTCCTTTGCTGATGCTTGTGATAGACACCTTTTGGAGGGGAGAAAGAAAGCTGCTTTTTGTAAGCAAATGCAGCAGGCAGGACTTCTCCTGTGCTCTGCCGATGCTCACAAAAAGCACCTTTTATTTCTTCTTGCCTTGGCTGCTGTGCAGGGAAAACGCAAGAGGCAAAATCCTGGTTTGGCTGCAAGTACCTGTTTGCAACGGGACGTGGGTGGCGCTGTGGGTAAAACCTCAGTGCCTAGGACTTGCCGATCGTATGGTCGGCGGTCCCCCCGGTGGGTCCCATTCGGTCCCAGCTCCTGCCCACCTAGCAGTTCGAAAGCACCCCTAAGTGCAAGTAGATAAATAGGTACCGCTTTATAGAGGGAAGGTAAACAGCGTTTCCGTGTGCTGCGCTGGTGCTGGCTCGCCAGAGCAGCTTCATCACGCTGGCCACATGACCCGGAAGTGTCTCCGGACAGCGCTGGTTCCTGGCCTCTTACGTGAGATGAGCTCACAACCCTAGAGTCGGACACGACTGGCCCGTACAGGCAGGGGTACCTTTACCTGTTTGCAAACCCAAGACAGGATTGAACCATGCCCTCCTGTCCATTAACTAATGCCATGAGCAATGTGACCTGGTTTATAGGGGAACATGGGTTATGGGACAATTAAACCTTCTGGTCAGGGTCAGGATTAGTCCCTATGCCACATGTCCAATGATTGAAAATATCAAGTTGGAGACTTACAGGTTGGCAACTAATGAAACTCCTGTTTGAAGTACGTAGCGTTTCTTGTTGGTTTCACATGTCCAAGAAAGCTAACTCATTCAGAGATGCTGGGCTCAGTCAAGGGTGGTCCCTGTTCATTGTTTCCTTCTTGCCAGGTCTCTTGTTTCCACAAACAACTTCCTTCTGCAGCAGCTGAATAAAGAACAAGACCCTTCCGTTGGTAAAACAGGCCGTCTTTCAGAGAAGATCCCTGATGCTCCTTGTCATGCCTCTTGCCCTGCGAGAACGTCCCATCGTGCTTCCCTCACCTCTCCCATTGCTTGGAATCCAGAAATGTTAAGCGGCTGTCCTCTCTGACAGAAAGCACAGAATCACTTTCTTCCCATGGTGACTGTCTTACAAATTATGCTTCATTTTCACATAACCAATCAATCAATCTCTTTATTACAGGCAGTGACCAGTATTCTTCATTTTCACATAAGTATATTATGAAAGCCTGTTGGCAGGTGTGCCTACTCTTTGCTGCTTTTATTGGTACTATTTCTTTGACTCCTTGTGGCCCTAGGAGGGACTGACTGGAGTGTCCAGATGTGCTCTGAGGACATCCCAAAACAGAAGCACCCACAAACATACTTATTTCACACACCCCAAGGCCAGGAAGAGAGTCCACAGCCTCCCTGCTCTACCTTTTTTCCTCAGGGACATTGGCTTCAGCCCCCATCTCCCAGTTTGTCCTCCATGCCTGAACCAAAGCCCAGCTTTCCAGTGGCCATCCTATAGTGCCTATGGTTAACTCTGTCTCCTTTTCCCTATTCAAAAACACCCTTCTGCTGTTCTCTTCCACACATGCCCCTCGGTCCTTTCCCTGAGCCCAGAAGGCTTCCTTTCATCAGAACTTTATAGAGTGGCCAAGGCTTCATCGTCTCACAGTATCCAGATGGAAAGGTGTGGTGGTTTGATGCAGTAACACAATGTATTAATGCGGAGTATAATCCTTAGCTAGTGGGATTACACACCAGAGTGTGCAAAAGGGGAAATTGTAGGTGTTGTTAAAATGATAATTGAATTCAAGATGTACCATCTCTGATAACAACAGCTTGAAAGTATGTAGCTAACACTAAGCTTGAATTGAGAGGTATCACCCAGTTATCCTGGCCCATCGTCATGCATTTATGCAGCCCTAAACTGTGATCTGGACTTTCTGCAAGGCAAACCCACAAAATCATCTTGCAGCCATAGGGAGAGAAGCAGACGTCTTCTGGTCAATTGCTCTGGTTTTGGCCTGACCTGGCCAACTTCTCTCTCCACCCAACCCAGACGAGTAATAAGATGGAAGCTTATTATGGAATTGGTGCTGCTTGTACAAATAAGCATTTTTGCAGCATCCATATATTGCATCATCAGAATGACAGGCCAGACTTTCTTCTGCACTTTAATCTGAATTTCCCTTTACTGTGGAAAATCTGGCAAGTAGAAAGAGCCCAGAAAGAGCTGCAGGTGCTGCTTTTGTGAAAGGCTCATGATGGCACATTTCTTTATGATGATGAGCGATTTGTGGGGGTGTGGTGATGTTTTTAGTGGGCAGCAATTCATGCCACTCCCCTCCTTCCATTTGCTTCCATCCATGTTGATGACACTCCTGTGCCTATTTTCACCACTTTCTGCACACGGAAGGCATGCAGATTTCAACAATCCACTATGTGTGGAGAATTGCCTTCAAGGCTGTAATGAGAAAAGTACCAGCTACAGAGGTCTAGCACAAGATCTCTCTATCACTCGTGCACAAGAAAGACTTCAGTATTTATTTTTAAAAATCTTAATAATTTTGCCAGTGCCATATCTCACATACAAAGTACCTTTTTTGTTTCCAATACCTAGTCTTCTTGTGTCACAGCACTTACAGTGCTCAAAAGAGCAGTCCTAGTTTAAAAACTGAGCCCTAAGGACACATGACTGCAGAGGTGGCCAGCTCACTCCAAGTTGCCTCCTAATTTGAGAAACCTTGTGATGTACTGGTGAAGGCAAAACTGCCAGCAGCCTTTTGAGGTTGGGTTCACCAATGCTCTGTTTTGCCGTAATTATAAAATGGCTTCTGCGAGGGAGAGCTAGTAGGATAAATGGGTGCATGTTTCGTTGAGGGAGGAGTGCCAGTAGCCCAGGGCTGGTGAGTGGAGATAGGACTGGGAATGGAATGCCATTTCTTGACATGTCACATTTTGGGACAGAAGACAAGAGACCCAAGAGATGCCGCTTCAATTTTTATTCAAAAGACTCATGATATAAAGCTGTACAAAGCCTCAGGCTGCTCCAACCTCATTATGCCTTGGCCCTCCCTTTGGTTCCTTCCGAGGCTCTCACCATGGCAAAACATTCCCTTCCCAAGTCACCAGCACCCCGTGTTGCTTTTCAGAGAGGTTGCAAAGCACTTTCATAATGCCAGACACACTTTCTTCGACAGTCAGGTCAGCCTGCAAGGTACAAACCGTGGTCAGATAGTGATTCTGCAGAGGCACAAGAAAATCTGCAGTGATGGATGAGAGCTCAGCCAACTACATGAGTGATGGTTTTGCCTATCTAGCTACCAAAGGAGTGGGCAGAAGGGAGGGATGGGATAAGTCTGTCCTTGGTTGTAATTTTAGTGTGGGCCTGACTGAATATTCACTTCTCCAAACAATAAGCAAAACTATATGCAGCTATCCTTGGAAATCGGCACACCCCAAAAATCTGTGATGCAATTCTCCAACAAAAATGTGATCAGCAGTGTATTTATTACAGGCAAGTGTGAATAAAAATGCATCCATTAGTGAGCTCTTGGCTTCCAGGTTGATGTATATATGAATGAATACCATGGAGAAAGTGGATAGAGGAAAGTTTTTCTCATAACACTAGACTAGAATTCATGAAAATCCAGTGAAGCAGAATGTTGGAAGATTTAGGACAGATAAAAGAAAGTTAAAAATGGAACTCACTCCCACAGGAGGCAGTGATGGCTGCCGACTTAGATGCCTTTAAAAGAGGATTAGACAAATTCGTGGAGAATAAGGCTATCAATGGCTACTAGCCATTATGACAACAATGCTCTGCTTCCACTGCCAACAACTGATGGCTTCCTTAACTCAGACTTTAGTGGCCAACTCCTTGAGGTGGGCAAGAAAGGTCAATGTTCGAGCCTGCCAGGAGGAGCATCTTCCCTTGGGTGTGCACAATATTAGTAAGACTTTCAGCAAGAGAACTGGTGAGGCTTAGGCTCAGCCAGACTTCCTTTTGTGCTACATTTCTAAGCACAGATCCAGGATTTCCAGGTCTGTGTCCGGGGTGTGTGTGTGTGATTTGGTTTTTGCCCTGCCACTTTCCCCAGGAAACCCTGTGTTTTACTGCTGAATCAGAGCACACAACAGTTTGCAAAAAAGCTGATTGCCATTTGCTCCAATTCAGCAGTAAAAACACTGGTTTTCCTGAGGAAAGTGGCAGGGCAGTACACTCTTTCTGCCTGGACCTGGAAATCCCAGATGTGTGCCCAGAAATGTGGCCCAAAATGAAGTGTGGATGAGCCATTAGTGTGTGTGTATAGTTCTGAATTAGAATGAAGTAATGCAGAGAGTTCTTAAGAAGAAATCCTTAGCTGACTCACCTGCTCACTTCCCAGCTCTGTTTTCACCCAGCCAGGATGAACAGCAGTGCACAGGATCCCATCATCTTTGTAGCCCATAGATTGGCACTTGGTGAGCATGTTCAAAGCAGCCTGGGGATGGACAAAGACATGAGCAGACCCCAATCATAGATGCACAAAGAGCAGAAAGGTCAACTAGGCTGCTGGCTCAGTATACCGTATTTTTTGCTCTCTAAGACTCACTTTTTCCCTCCTAAAAAGTAAGGGGAAATGTGTGTGCGTCTTATGGAGCGAATGCAGGCTGCACGGCTATCCCAGAAGCCAGAACAGCAAGAAGGATTGGTGCTTTCACTGCGCAGCGATCCCTCTTGCTGTTCTGGCTTCTGAGATTCAGAATATTTTTTTTCTTGTTTTCCTCCTCCAAAAACTAGGAGCATCATGTGGTCTGGTGCGTCTTATAGAGCGAAAAAAACAGTAAATTGAGGTTATAAGACCACTCACTTTGGACCCAAAATCTCTCTGCTCTTCACATAACCAACACTGATTGGGCAGACACTGAAGCTGAATTCTCCTAAGTTCTGGGACAGTTTTGCTACTGAGACATGGAATATACTATGCTAAAAAGATGATGATGTCTGTGCCATGGCCATAAAGTGTAGTTGCAGTTGCCACATCACTTGTAACTGGTCCAGAAACTTCCCCCACCAACCCTAACATCTCTAGGAGGTAACAACCACTGACATGGAAACTGCAAACAGGTACCAGAATTATATAATGTAGCCTTACCCAACCTAGTGCCCTCCAGATGTTTTGGACCTCAACTCCCATCAGTCTCAGCCAGAATGGCAACTACATGACTTTTGGAAGAATTCTTACTGTGGAATTCAGGCACACAAAGCAATTTTATCCACTCGTAAGACAGAACAATATGTTCTGTATGGACAAAATGTCCAGCTTGGAGAGGGAGAAAGTTGGTGGGTGTTACACAAGGCATTTCAGTAGAACATCACTCACTAGGCCAGCCATTGTTGGGTACATAGAAAAACTTTTTCAAGGAAGGCAATGGACAGAAATACCAGATTTGACCCATGTCCCACAGGAGAAGCCTGACCTTGCTGCAGCGATAGGAGACAACTGGGAAAGCGAAATAATGCTCTGGTGTTTTCTCAATGGATCCTAGAACAGTGGACATGTTGATGATGGCTGCTTTCCCGCAGCTCATGCCTTTCTGATTGGATCCGTGGGCAGCCTTCTTCAGCAACGGCAATAATTCCTAAAGAGAGGCAAAAGCTCTTCAGCTGTACAAAACTGGTCTGCATAAGGATCTGCTAGTAAATGGGGACAAGATTGCAAAGACCATCCACCTCTGGCCTTGTTTCTTACACCTCTCAATTTCTACCCCAGAATATCCTAGTTGGCTTTTTCAAAACGGAAGATATTAAGACTCAGCTCTGTTTGGGAGTAATGGAGGGTAGATGCTGTCACAGAGCTGGGCTGATCCTGCAGAACTTTCTCTTCCCAACTCAGCCTGTGAATTCACCTATTCTCCAGGGGCCTTTTGAAGATAGGAGGAGTGACCTCCCTAACTCAAATCCAGGTGTCACCATTTACAGCCCACTGACCAAGCCCACAAGTCCCATTCTTTTCTCTTAATAATTTTGACCCTCAACAATGAAGCAGTCTGCATATGCAAAGAGGAAAGGCTGCTGTATTGCCCTTTTCTGTCTCCGGCCAGCTGTGCTGCCAGGAGCTGGCCTGGGAGGGCCAAGTCCTAGTCCACTCTGCGTCAAGGGGGCCTGCTTCCCACCCTGTAGTCCAGGAAGGGATTGCTCTTCTTGTGCAGAAAACTGACCTTGGTCACTAACATTGGGCCCACAAGGTTGATGGTGTAGACGTCCAGCATGTCTT